GAAAAGTGACGTCGTTTGGCTAAAACGTAATCTCCAAATCGTGATAAATTCCAAATTCCGAAAATCAAATGATGAGTCTGAAGAGGTCGAAGACCCTGAGACAAAACATTTTTTATAAACTAGGTATTATATAATTTTCCGGTAAACAAAACAATGTCAGATTCCTTCGAATCAGACTCATATAGACAAAACAAAATGGCTTATAGACAAAATTATTTATTTCCAAATTTTTTCCATACATGGTTCATCCTCACCAACTGTCAGCTATAAAGGTTATAAATAAGGGGAACCAAATTGCATGTGACCATAATTAAGAGCGAATTTGCTAATAAATATCAAGTCAAGCTTTTTGTTTTGTTTTGTTTTGTTTTGAGTGTGTGAAAAAGGTAAAATTACAAAATGCATAAAGTCAACTCTCGCCGTTTAAACTTTTAATTATGAACCGTATTACAACAAAGTCGAGATCGAGAACTACAACTGATGAAACCAATAAGAGAGAGTTTAGAAACGCCAAGGTCCGCTAAAGTCAAAGGCAAAGTTAGTACTGCATTTAACAATTAAATTCCCCTACCCACAAAACTTGCCCCAAACATACAAAATTATTAAATACGTACCAAAGTCTATACCCACGCATTTCCCATTTCCTCTTCTAGAAAAGCAAAAACAAAACACACTAAGCGACACGAACACAACAAACTCAAACAACACGTGTTTGTTTCCACTTTTTATACTGATCAGATATTCAGATGCACTGAGGCTAACTCCAAAATTCCAATCACCGTCAGTCACGTTCGATATGGAAACAAAAACCCTTTCACGGATTTTTAATCATCATATACAATTTCCCTATAACACTTATGTTACTATTATTGTGTTTCATACAGAGAATGATCTGGTTGTGTGATGTACCAGACCACCACGACGAACGCATGATCGTCAACAACTGTCCCCAACCACATCTTCATTTCATAACATTTTGACTTTATATAGCTCGTTGAGACATAAAATACAATAAGTTATAACATAACTTCGTAACTTCTTTGATAACGAAACACAAAAGCATTGATTTGACTATTTTCCTAATTTAACAACAACAAAACTTGAAGAAAAAAAAAACAACTCAAAGGTGTAACTTTCGCGGAGGGATTAAAGCTCGAGGCGGATTTGGTATTGAGTCCTCCGGTCCAAGATCATCAATAGGCGGTTGCTTTCTATGGGCATCAGTGACCGATTGGTACGCCATACCCAATGCCAAAGCCTAACACACAGCCAAATATATGTATTTGAAGGTTACAAATATCAAATTCTACTCTTAAATTTCAATCCATTGAGCAACGGTGTATAAGATTTATCATCGTTTGGATTTACTTACGATATGGTCACGTTCTGGCGGAGCATAAATTCCAGCATTGGTTGTTGTCCTTCTCCGGCAACTGTTAGTTGGTGGATCCGATATGTTCTTGAAACCTGTTGGAATCACTAGTACCGGTAAACCCACAAGGTTTCCCATACAGACTTTCTCCCAGTCTGTAACGTTTCCAACAAACGCATCGACTGTAAAGCTCTTTTCGACTTCTCGAATCAACTTCCCACGAGCTCTCTGCGCCTATACAGGCATAATCAGATAGATAAACAAACAGACCGGACATAATCATCACAAAACCGACCCAAAAACCAAAATCATAAAGCGGGAACGGGCAAAAGAACCTGAATGTAATCTACGGCTGTAACCACACGAGTACGTCTTAACTCAACCGGCCATTGATCTTGAGCTTCATAGAGATCATCTTGGCCAGTTCTTTGCCATTCATCAAAATGAGCTAACATGTCTACATCCATTGTGAAATTCAGTATCCCTTGAACCGAGTCCACTGTATAATTTAGCTCAAAAGGAACCATATTGACACCTTTCGACCCAAGAACTTCCACCACCTGAAGAAGTCAAATGTCAAATCAACACAAACCCGGGTCATTTGTTCTGTTTGAAAACTATTTGTTTACCTTCATGTCAGCATCTTTAGTATACCCAACAGTAAGTTTTGTGATATCCACAGAGAAGGGATCTTCAAACGCAATATTTCTAGATGAGGGATCGTCCGGATCTTTCCCTTTGATAATGTCAAGGATTACAGCACAATCTGCTGCTGTTCTACAGAAAGGTCCTAGCTTATCCTGCAAACAAGAAGAGGAGTTGGAACTTAAAAAATTCTGAAGTTTTCAATCTGTTATAAAACAGCTGCTATTTTTACCATACCAGGCTCTCGGATATGCTCATCACTCCGGTTCTACCAACACTCCCAAATGTCGGACGCAATGCTGTTATGCCACACCGAGCTGCAGGGTATGTCATTGAGCCTGCCGTCTCTGAGCCTATGGCAAACGGAACCATACCTGAACAAAAGTTTTAATTTCCCCAAAAAAGGAAAAGAAACTGATATATAATCAAACTGAAACATAATATTCATACCAAAAAAAAAACACTGAAACATAATATTGGTTAATTTTTGATAAAAACTAACCAGCCGATGTGGATGCAGCGGGTCCAGCTGATGACCCGGTCGAGAATTCCTCAATATTCCACGGGTTCCTAGTCCGTCCCCCAAACCAGATGTCATCATATGCCAGAGAACCCGTAACCAGCTTTGCTACTAAAACTGCACCTGAAGCTTTTAGTCTAAACAAACAAAAAAACTAAGTTTCCAATTGACATTGCCAAGTTAACTACAAAAGATCAGAAAAGAAAAATCAATGAACATGGCGATATTTTCTTTTTAGTACCTTTTGTAAACCCATGCTTCAAAATCAAGAACTTGGTCTTTAAAAGAAGTTGAACCCCATGTTGTTTTGTATCCGGGAACCGCAACTATATCCTTTAAACCATATGGAATCCCATGAAGAGGTCCTACCAAGGCAAAAGAAAAAAAAACACACAATCAGAAACTTGAAAAACCAAGAAGTCACTAATCCATCAAACAGGATCTATCACATGAGAGTACATATACCGAGATAAGTTCCTTGAGAGAGCAAATCATCAGCTTCTTTGGCTTGTTTGTATGCTAATTCCTCAGTATAAGTAACCACTGCTTCGAGAACATGATTGTACCTATATATTTTCAAGAATCTCCATAGACAACATCAGATCAAGTAGAATTCCTTCAAAATCTGACTGCGAACAGAAGCTCCCATACCGTTTTAGTTGCTTGAGATAAATCCGAACAAGTTCCTTGGAAGTAATTTGTCTCGTCTTTATAAGTTCTCCAAGTTCAAGAACCTGCCATAATGCATTCTCAAATAAGATAAATCTACCCTTCTATAGAAATTACAACAACAAAAAGGGAGATGACTTACGCTCATGAAGGCAATATCTTTTTCATCTCTAGGGAGTTTTACTCCAGATACAGAAGGATATTTGAATCGCATGCCTTGTACTCGTGGACCTTCTCTGTTCCAAGACGGGTTAAACACGAGCGGGGACGAATTTTCCAACCCGCCATTCTTAGTAGCGACAAGTTTCCGGTTGGCTCGATATATAGGAACGTTCATTTCACTGACCCCCTTTACAATCTCCTGAATCTAGATACACAAACATGAAGTATCCATTGTAACTGATAAGTAAGCAACTAGCTGTTCAATATCCCATGACATAATTAGCACCAAACAGTTACAAAATTAGGATTCAGGTTCAGAGCATAAACTAGAGTTATAATAGAATATAAAAAAAGACTTACTTTAGTTTCATTGAAGAATCCAAAATCAATTAACTCAAACATGCTCTGCAGATGCTTAGCTTCCATAGTCCTATCTGATAGTTCAGTTTGAGTTATGTCTACTGTCCTGATCATAATAAACATTATAAATCACAACCAGCTAACTAAAACCACAAAATCGAATAATAAATATCATAATTTTTTTTTTGGGTTTACCTAGGCAAAGTTGTAATCTTACGACAAGGAATACACAGTTTCCGGTCCAAAAGTTTCTTAAAATATCTCACCATTTCTAAAGAAAGGCTCACATGGAAGAGACTCGGAAGAATTAGCCTCCGTGTAAAAGACCGTTAAACCTAGGAGTAGGAGTAGCCAAGCACTATTACGGCTACGAGGAGGTGAGCCTAAGCCACGCGTCGCCAAGCAAGGTCGTGCGCTTGGAGCACACGTGGCGATCGTTTGTGCTACCATGGCCGCGGTTGGTGACTCGCTTCTCTTTAAGTACCTTTGATTCGAAGAGAAAACGGAGTGAAAGAAAGTAACGGCCGTTGACTCTCTTGACCTTTGCTCCGGTGAGGGACGAACTCAAATCGAATCAAACTTGGAAGCTGGATTAACCTGTGAAATCGATCATTAGTTTAATTGGTGTTGCTTACAAATATATTATCCCAAGTCTGTGTCAACTATTTCAATGTTAGCTTATGGCTTAGTCTACTATTTCAATGTTAGTGAAGAAAAACGTAAAGGTGGATCATATAAACGTGTTGAGAAAAATAATAACACGAGTTAATCATACGCCGAAACTTTTGAATTTCTCCTTTTTCATATCGTTTAGACAAAATTGTACATGTACGTTTCACGTTTGATTGAGTTCCCATCGATTTGATAAACTATACAATAGTATTTGTTACAAAACAATATTGTATAATACAGCAGATAAATCATAAATCAGTGAAAACAGTTTGTTGATTGGCTGATTTCATTGTTAGCAATTTTTTAAAAGATGACACATGTGGTATTAAATAAAAGGGAGAATAACATTAAATAATTAACTAATGTATATAATTGTCCAGCTAGATTGCTTCGGTGCCTCAAAAAGAAAAGTAGAAAATATAATAAAAATCAAAGCTTTCGATTTGTGAAGAGAAGAATCGTACACCTTTCTTATCGTCTTCTTCTGCTTCGTCCCCATCGCTTCTCCCTAAAACATTCTTCGTCTACTAATTTTTGTTGGGTAAATCTTTTACTTCATCCTTTACAACCATTTAAAAAAAGGTGCCTTCCATTGTTTGTTTTGCTTAAAAATCTAATAGCTTTTCATGATTTTGAAGGGATCCTACTTTTGTAAAGTTCCCTTTTCTGCGTTTTTTAGCAATAAAGTTGTATGAACAAAAAGCAACTAAATTTTTCGTGATTTTCTTATTTTCAATTAAGTAGCTGGATTGGGAAATTTTCCTTATTCAGTGTTGTTTTCTCTTTTGTTATTTTGTTTATTTTCTCTTCTTCTTTTAAGCGATGAGCAAGACAAAAAGTTTTGATTTTGATTTTGTTTTAAAAGAATGTGAAGAGAATTGAAGAACCCTATTCTGATCTCTCGGTAGGACAGTTAGTTATATTCGATCTGCGATTCGTTGATTCAGAATTATAATATTCCTGGAAAACTCTGGAACAAGGTTTCATGATTTGATTGCTTAGCTCTGATTGTTGCCAATTTTGTAAAAGAATGTGTGTAGATTTGTAGATCAGTAGAGGTATATCTAAGTTTCTGAGTTTTGTTTATAACAAGTTCATTGATTGCTTACTAGATATTCTAGTAAATTAGTTTTGGATCACTTTGACAGTTTCAGTAATGTGGCTTTTCTCCGGATCTTCTTCTTCTCTATGGTGGTTCATATCTATGACTTTTATTTATTAGGGGCATTGTCAAGTTTTCTTTATTGCCTCTGATGGGATCATTTGATTATTTATTTTCTCATTGGAAACTGAACTTCAGATCCTCTTAACATCAATTCATAGTTTTGGTTTCTCCCGCGTCGTGTTTTTTGGATTTGTGAGTGATTTCTTATGTATCTAATTGGTAATTTTTCTGGTTCAGTCTCATACTCTGACCAAGATGCAGCTCAAGGTCCCTGAACATCAGGTTGCAGGACACATTGCTAAAGACGGGAAGCCCGGCCCCCTTGTAGATGACAAGGGTCGTTTCTTCAAGCCACTTCAAGGCGATTCTCGTGGTGAAAACGAGGTTAAGTTCTACGAATCTTTCTCAACAAACACCGAGGTTCCAGATCACATCCGCAGATATTTCCCTGCGTATCACGGCACTCAAGCAGTTGAGGGATCTGATGGAGCAGCCATGATTGTGTTGGAAAATCTTCTTGCCGACTACTCAAAACCATCAGTAATGGATGTTAAGATGGGTTCAAGAACATGGTACCCTGATGCATCTGAAGAATACATCCAAAAATGTTTGAAGAAAGACACTGGTACCACAACTGTGTCATCTGGTTTCAGGATCTCTGGGTTTGAGGTGTATGATCACAAAGAGTTGAGTTTCTGGAAGCCCGAGAGGAAGCTTCTTCGTGGGCTCACTGTTGATGGAGCGAGATTGACTCTGAGGAAGTTTGTATCATCGAACTCACTTTCAGACATGGGTTCAAAACCTGACTCTGCTTTTGTGTCTAGTGTTTACGGCAGTTCCAAAGGGGTATTAACACAGTTGTTGGAGCTCAAGGCCTGGTTTGAGAACCAAACGCTCTACCATTTCAACTCTTGTTCGATACTAATGGTCTATGAGAATGAATCAATCTTAAAGGGAAATGATGATGATGCTCGACCACAAGTGAAGCTGGTGGATTTTGCTCATGTTCTTGATGGTAATGGTGTCATTGACCATAACTTCTTAGGTGGTCTATGTTCTTTCATAAACTTCATTCGTGATATTCTTCAGAGCCCAGATGAGTCTGCAGAATCTTAGATTAAGTTATCTTCTTCTTTTTTGGTATTTTATTTTGATTGGCTGATTCCAAATTTTTGGATATAAACTCTTCTTTGTGTACTTGGATATCTAAAGAGCATACATTCGTACTCTTATCTCACGGCTTTTCCTATTAGGCATATAAATATGGTTCCATTTTTTTTTTTTTACTTTACTTATTTTGATTTGTGAAGAATGCTACCAAAAATTTTAGAGGCAAAAGAGAAATAATATAAACTAAAGGTAAACATTGGTAAATAACGAAGAGTTTGTTTGCAGTGAAATCCCAAATACTACTATAAGTATAGGGACTGAAACGAAATCGTCTTCTATTTAAATCACTCTGCTCTGCTTCCTCTTTTCAAATTCTCGTCTCGCGCGCATCGAGGAAGAAGACGACGACGACGAAGACGACGACGACGAAGACGATTGACTGAGAATGGTGCTAATATGTTTCATCTTGGATCTTCGTAATATCTCTCCTTCTCTGATCGGAGATCTAAAGCAGGTCTCTCTCTCTTTCCATTGTCAGTATAAATTTGTAATCGTAGATCGCTGAATCTATCTGTTGATCGAAGAATCTGATTATTGCTGCGAAGTTCGTCTCTCTGAATCTCGGATCTGATTGTTACTGCGAATTTCGTCATCCTGAAGCTTAAATTTGATTATTTGGGCGAATAATTTCGTCTTCGTTTCTGAATTTCGAATCTGATTGTTGCTGCTCGATTCTGATTCTCGGATTTTGATTGATGCTGCGGATTGTGTAGTTGTTACTGAGGCTGGGAAATTTACATGCAATTTCTTCTCCGGTAGATTCTCTCACTGATCGGATCGGTTTGTGTTATATCCTGAAAGATCGGATTTCTGGAAACGATCAGGTTATATTCTCTGTCATTGATCGATTGTTTCCTTCTGCTTTTGGTGGTGGTTGTGTATGGATTTTCACATTTTTAAGGATCTAGCAGTTGAAATTTGCTTACACACCTACTGGAAACTTCTGCCTTCGAGACTTCCATCACGCTGTTGACAGCTTGCCTTTAGATGCGTTTCTACCTGAGATCGATGAATCGGGAGCCATGTCTTGCGGAGGTATCTCTCTTCCTCGCTTTTCTATCTATCTCATTGTTTCCTGGTTAATTTAATGATCGTTTATCATACTGAATTGTTCATAGATCTTAAGCTATCAAGTGTTCTGTGTGATCGAGCTTTGTACTCATGGGGAGGTAGAGACATTATGAGGAAAGTTATTGTACTGAGTTCTTCCTTCCCTGAAGATATGGATTCTGACGCGAGAAATACTCTTATGGTCAGTCAAGTGTGTCAAATACTATATGTGTTAAAAGGTTTAGCTTGTTTTCTCAGTGCTGAATCCTTTTGCTTCAGGCTGCAGCAGAGAAATGTGTGTCGGTTGAGTTTCTTTTGTTTGAGAAGAAATCAAGCTATCTAAGCCATACGCAGGAGAAGATTAATAGATTCCAAAGATGCTTATCGGATCTTGACAATTGTTCATTTCAAACCTGCATCTCTGGTAGGTTCCATATAACTCAGGCTTTTCATATTCTTTTTCATACAGAGAGTTTTGAATAGTTCTGAAACTAATCTGTTCTATGAATTCAGATGGAAAATCACTTCATGGCCTTGAAAAGAGATGGCTTCTGGAGATTAAGGATGACACTGGAGAATCACTGCAGGCCCAGATAATCTTCAAAAGTAACCTTTTTGGTTCGGTGAACAAGATCTTCTGCAATCTCAGTGCAGCTGCAAATCAGATTGTCGACGGATTTATCCCTTGTCTAGTACTTAGCCAACCCCTTAACTTAAATAGTTGATATCTTAATAATCTATTCTTACCATAAGGCCGATGTTGGATAAAGTCATATTATACATTTCATAAGTTACTTCAGCTAATGCTTTTCCCACTACATTTTTTCATCCTCTTTGTTGCTGTTTACAGGTATGCAGGTGCCACGGCATCCCATTACGAGATACAGTGGAAAACAAAACAGAGAAGCTGCAATGCTCCATAACCAACCATGAACTTGGGAAATATGATGTGATTGAAAATTCTGTAAAAGTTGGCAACAGAACTGTCCTGTATTTACCTTCAATCCATAGCCTCCAGAAACTTCATCAAATTTCTTCCCAAGTTGAGTTCAATGTCATACAGAAGACTAATTTAACTTCTCTCAGCGAAGGTAAGGCTTTGAGCTATTCTACTGCACTCTGAATTCGGTTTTTGCCTCCATGGTTCAACTATACTACTTTGACGCAGGCCTACTACTTGGGGCACCTTACATTGTAAGCCCTTCAACCTGTCATGAAACAGACGCTTCTTCAGAAGAAATGGATCAACCAGATCTGAACACTCAGAGTAAGCACATTTTTCCCTAAAGAAACCCACATTGTCATAGCTCAGGTGTCTATAGTATAAGTATATACGCATGACTAATATTTTTCCTAATCAAGTAATCATCTATAAATCCAGTTTTTCAGGGACTATGTGGTGCTCTATATTCAATGGACCAAGGCTTGGTTTGTTCTTCAAACTGTAATCTAGACACCATGACAGTCGTGGAATTTCATTGTTATTACATTCTTCAACCGTCAGAAAATGGCCCAATGCTCCTGAAGGTAAAATTACATTACTCTTGACTCTCTTCCTGATTAGTATTTTACCTATGATATAATAAGTTTCTGTTATGTCTTGAGTTGTGCAGTTCCTTAGTTTAACAGACAACTGTTTGCAGAGATTGGCAGGGTCAGAAGAAGTCCTACCTATTTCCAGTGCCAGTCAGTTTGCAGAGTCCTCTATTCCTAGAGAAATCGAGATCTCTGTCAAAGGCGCTTTGTTAGAGGTCGATTTCATTTCAATTTTTTTATATTGATATCAAGTGATTAGACCTATAACTTGTCTTTTATTTCTGCAATTTAAACAGATTGAATCAACAGACTACAATCCTCTGACACACAACAGAGGCTTCCACCAAAAACTGAACCTCATTGTGAAGGAAAGTCTTCAATTTGGGTGATTATTCTCTTCTCTCTTCTCTTCTTCATTAGAACCCCTACAAATCTGTTACAGATCTCAAACTTATCTTTCTTATTTTTGGAAGCTCATTACATTCACACATAAAAGACGCAACATATGAACCGAGTTCAGTGTCTTCAGATTCTGTACTTCCAACGGCACAGACCTTTCCACACATAGTCAATCCAGAAATCCTTCAGGAAGTTCATATAATTGATGAAGAAGAACAAGCTTCCATTACTAAAGAATGGGAACAACTAGTAGTCACTGAGGAGGCTGTCATGAAGTCCTCTTCCCCGGTTATAACTACACACAAACGAAAGATAGACAGCCAAGCTCTGTCTCCTATACAGAATAACAACAAACAGTCTGATATGAAAACGTCAATGATTTTAGAAAGACTTGAAGCTCCGAGGAAGATGAGAGGAAAAGTTGGATCACCAAGCGTAGTCATTCATAGTCCCACCACATCAGATGTGTGTGTCTTGTCTCAGAAGAAGCCTCTGATTCCTTTTCAGACAACTCAGATTTCATCAAGCCAGCTCATGAAACCCAACTTCCAGAGACTGAAAAGAAAGCAGAAGTGAGCTTTAAGTAACTCTCAGGGTAAGGTTCTGTTCTTTCTTTCCTTTATTATAGTTACTCATGATAGTGAGACAGTTAAAAAGAGTGCTACGACATTTTTGTTTTTCAGCTGAGACAGTGTATAGGAAAGGATCTCGAGGAAGCTTGATATTTGGAGGAAAGTTAAGGTTCTGTAGTCTGCGTAGTAATAGACAAACATGATCTGGTATTTGTTGTTTAGTTTCCTTTCTTTTTTTTGTACAAAACCAAAACTATATCAAATCTCATTATATATGTACAATTTTAACTATATCAAATACTCTTAAGAGCATTGTTTAACATAGATCTTCCAAACGTGATTTTCTTAGAAATTCTCTTTATGGAAAATGAACTTGGTGGAGGTCTTATGAGAGAAATCCAGTGCTAAGTGTCGTAGCTCTTTCACTAATCCAGTTGCTCCACAATAAAACACTCCTGCCAATTTTACCAAACATTCACATTATTTGACATATACATAAATATGTGAGTGAGTGTTTGCTAACAAGAAACTCACCGACTCTAGTCTTAGGATGCTTCACAGCGATCTTTTTGAAAACGCTTCTCCAGTTTGGCCTAGCGAAATGGGACATGACACGTGTTCCTGACACAACGTCCACTCCATTCTTAACTTGGTTCAGCGACTGGAGCATCGTGATCAATGCGGACCTCGCGTCTCCTTCCTCGTAGACGCTGGTGCAGTAATTATGCAGTTCAATAACGTTGTTGTGGTCTGTTTCTGCCACTTCGTCCATCACGTTCTTGAACCAGTCAAAAGATCCTTGCTCTCTTGTGACCCAGTAGAAGTAAGCTCTCTTGGTTCTGAACGTCTCACTTTTTCTTGCTGGAGATTGAGGAGGAGAGACCATGTTGTGGATCGGTGACTGTCTTCGGTTACTGCCTTCTTCTCCACTGCCTTTTAAGTTATTGATTATGTCCTTAACAATACTAATCATCGGAGTAGCTCCAATTCCTAAACCCACTAGTAGAACAACTTCAAACTTCTGGTAGTCTTGCGCTGGTGCTCCATATGGACCGTCGATTAGGATTCTTGGATAGCTAAGTGATCATGTTTCGAAGATAAATTTCACAATGTTATAGACTGGTTATGTATTTATATAAGCCTCTATATATGCTTCAACGGTTTGAAATGAACCTAGCTAGAAAATAACTGATGAATAGTTTAGTTATTAACAAGACTTACTTAGATATGTTATCCTGGTGCCTCGGGGAGGCTATGTTCAATCTGTTTCCACCAAGAAGGTGTGGTTTACACAGCTGAGGTACAGACAAATACGAAGAAATTTACATCCTTGGACCCAAATTAATATCATGTGTTCATATGTTTAGGGGAAATACCTCAGAGAATAATGATCTTAACTGCCGAGTCCAATCTCCTAGAACTCTAATGTGGACACTGAGGTAGTCATCTCCCGGAGCTGAGGTAATTGAGAATGGATGCCTGTTTACATGTAAACCACTGTTCAGCTCAATTTCCATACAAATGTCTCAGATAATATAAGAGCTTTCCTTATTACCATTCTAAAGTAGAAACTGTTCTACAATTGAGATACATGTATTGTCCGCTCTTGTATCTGAAGTTGTTTGGTCTTGATAAGTGCAGCGACAAGACATTCCCTGGTAACACAGCAACCTGTCGAAAATGTAAGGTAATAATAAAACAGATGAATATATATACCGCAGTCTTTCTTTTCTTGGATATTTCAATGTAGAAATATTTATAGATTCCACCTTTAGCACTGAAACAGCCTCGACGCTTGACCTGAATGCACGAATCAGCCTTTCAAACAAGTAAAGAACCACCGGTACCATCAAATACATCCACGTCTATGAAATCATCACATGAACCAACGTCAGAGTCCATATTGCATCTGTTACAACTTTGTGTTGGGTCTCTAGTGGTTAGTAAGTTACTAACCGTTTTCTTGTACCATGGCTTGATGAGGTAGACATAGTATCCGTGAACAACAAGAAGTGAGTATACAATAACAAACAAGTGGTGAGAGTACCAGAAGGCGTTGAAGCCTGTTATTTTCTGAAGTGGTCCAGGAAGCTTGAGCTTACTACGTCTGAACCATGTTGTAGCCAATGTGAAGGCTATGGTCATTAGTGTAACCATTGCAATCCCCGTAACTCCTTCTACTGATTGCACAAAGTCCATATATCTCTTTGTCTGTGGCCCAAAATATTGCACCATTGGCTTATACTTGTCTTCATCAGCAGCTATCAGCCGGGGGAAATCACAGGCTAAGTGAGATGTAGCATGGATTCCAACTCCAACTGAAATTCCTATTGCTATGACCTGTGTAAGATTCAATCATAAGCATTCCTATCTGAAACCTTTTTTTTTAATACTCTCCAGCGAGCTAAAAGCGTTACCTTGTGAAAATTGAGGCTGTCATCAAAAGGAACAACAACACCTAACTTGGTTTTGGTCCGGAGCCAAGTGATGGTGTTCCTACAAACTGGTAACAAAATCATAGCCATGTTTAGTTTAAGCGTCTCTGCAGCTCCTTTAGCTACACAAACACACACTCCCATAACTTGGTAAGCTGATCTTTTTCGATACTGCATGAACTTCCAGGTAAACAGCCCGGCCATAGCACCTATCCATAGAGCCATCACCCACACTCTCTTCCAATTATCAAACACAAAATACTTTATCCATCGGTAAAAGCGCACCCCGAGATTCCTACTCTGCGGAACCTTGAGATTATGGCTTAGCATCTTGCTCAGATTCTTACTCTCCCCATCTCTCACATCTTGGATCGGCGATTGCAATAGAAGTATCTCGAGATTCTCTATCTGTTTTGCATTGTAGCAAGTGCCTCCAAACACATCAAAAAACACTCACAAACCAAAACACTTTCTAACTAACAAAAGATCAATTAAAAACAAACCTCATTCACAAAACATCACATACCATGATGTACCCATAATGATAGGGATCTAGCTCTTCCATAATCAAAGCAGCATATTCATCAGCTTGTTTACGAATATTATCCAGCTCGTTTGCAGAAGCACTCAAAGCTATAATCTGTACACGTACCACATGTAAATCGATCACAAAGAGCTTCAAGATTCCTGATAAAACATCACTACAAAAATCAAGATTCTACCTCTCTTACTTCGCCTTCATTCAACCGTCCATCCGAATCCTTATCGACCCTGAAGTTCACACCACAGTTCGATATGAAACTGGAAGCTCACATACAGAAATCACAACAAATGGTTTCAAGAAGAAACATTACATGGCGAAAAAAGTTCGTAGCCTCGAATCAAAATCTTGATCAGTGATCTGCTTCCAGAACTCCTTAAGCTCATCTATGTTTATTGAATCTCCACTTACGTTTTCCCTCCTCGCTAAAGCATCGAACAATGCCAATGCAAACTCCGTCGACTTCATCCCTGTAGCAAAAATTAATGTAAAAACAAAAAAAGTTTTGCAAAAAACAGAGAAATCTGAAAAACTCTGCTTCTGCTAACCTATACATTCACCGAATTTGAAACGGTGCAATAAACCATTGCTAGTCTTTGTAATCTCATTGAACTTTCTCTCAACTTCAAACCAACCAGTGACGCCATCAGTCTTGGTGATGAACTTGAGACCTTTGAGTGCTAACTCTGCTCTAGACTTGGAACGGTGTAGCCGAGCCTGCTGCGGCCTCGGCGGTTTTCTAGAAACGGAAGAAGCAACTCGTTTCAGTTCGCTAGAAACAGAAGAAGCTAAGCGTTTCAACACCCAGTTACTCCTCCCTGAACGACCTGGTCTAAGAAGCGAGTCATCCTCGTATCTCGATCCGGCGCCTCTATGGTCCGGTGACTTTAAACCGTGAACGGAGACGAAATCGTCGTGGATATCAAGAGTGATCTCTACGTAAGGTTGATCTTCCTCGTAATAGCTCCTCGTAGTCGTCGCTGCCGCGTTCTCCGACGACTGTCCTCCGTACGGCGTCTCTGTGCCGCTTGGATAGTAGTAGTGTCTCGTATTTTCGAAGTCTAGCTTTTGCATTTTTCACTTCGATTCCTCAAATCTTTTCTTTTTTGTGCATCTGAAACAAGCAACGAGAGAGACAGAAGATTTATGAAAATGTTGAAAAAGAAAACAGAGAGAAGAACTTGTAATACCAAAAGCATACACTATGGAATTAAATTATGGTTTTATATAGTTTAAAATGTTATAGATTTGAATCTTTTTCTAATATAGAAAGATTCAAAGTAGCATGAAAGGAGACTTTAAAATTGTTTAATGTTTGTTGTGTTGGAGTTGGTTAGAAAATTTCTTCAGAGTTGTTGTTATTACTTTTTTTTTTTCTTTTCTTCATGGTCAAATCTCCCGCGCATTACCGTGCCACGTCCAATGTTTAGACTTTTTAAGTTTTGGTCAGCATATTCCGATTTTTTTTTTTTTTTTAATAAGGTTTATCGTCGTCATATTACTATGCTCACGTTACATCTAATCAATCATCAAAATCTAAATTAATTAACCAATGGAACATTTATTTTAAATTATTCAGACATTTGCATTTTTTATTCACCTACCACTTGCAAATATGGTATTGATTATTTTTGGCTAGATTGATGATTTTGACTTTTGTTTATTTTTTTAAAATGAAGATATTACTCAGAAAATTATCATGTAATTACAATTTTTTTAAAAATGGGTATCCAACAAAAACCGTAGCTTATAGTAATTTGACTTGAAAAATCATTAAATTAATAATAATTTGACCTTGGAAACAATAATAAAAATATTTACAATAATTTTACCATATATTTTGAAGGTAACAAAATTTTAATTAACTGCTGTGTTTAAGCGGGAAAGTTATGCTATTCGGACGAAGAATAGTTTTATCCTGTAAGCGAGACAGTCCCAAACCCCAAAGCACATCGATTTGGGAGGGAAAGCCAAAATCAGTTTGGGGGAAAGGGTTTTGCTTTCTCTTCAGATTTTGTTCTTTCTTATATTTTCCTAATTTTTGTGTGATATATGTAAAGATTTCGATTTCGATTTTGATGAGAGACATGAAACGGCGACACTGCGAGAAAGTTTTGATTCGTATTCACAATATTGGTACACCATTGATTTCTGGGTCTTCTGGTTTACCCGTAGAGTCAGTTCATATTGAATCAGATAGGCCGTACACGATTGGTCGAAGTGGTAGTAGTGATGAGTTTTGCGATTTCGTCATTGATAATGTCGGTATTAGTAGAAAGCACTGTCAGATTCTATTTGATAGCCAAAGTCGCAAACTTTACATTTTTGATGGAGTGATTCTCTTGCCTTCGGGTGGTTTTAGTCAAGTTAGTGATGAGTTTAGGAGAGGATTAGTTGGTGTTGAGAATTTGGGGAGTTTGAAGTTTAGGGCTTCTTTGAATGGTGTGTATGTTAATCGTGTTAGGGTTAGGAAAGCTAAAATTCAGGAGATATCTGTTGGTGATGAGGTATTGTTTGTTTGTGGTAAGGAAGGGTTGTGCAATAAGCATTGTCGAGTTGGGTTTGTGCTTCAGGGGATTGATTTTGAAGGAAAAGATACTTTGATAGTTGAAGATAGATGTCGAATGACTGGAGTGTCGGTTTCTTCAGGACATTCTCGAGGAACCATTTCTAGTGGGAAGAGAAGCAAAAGGGTTTTTGCGCCGATGGAAAACGAGATTAATTCTCCATGTTCTGGGTTTTATCCACCTAAAGCTGTTAGCGTTGTTGATAGATTGAATTCTCTTGTCAGCTATTGTAGACATGTATTAAGCAGTGGTGATCCTGTATCTTGCCTTAGGCTATCTATTATATCAGATTCTGTAAAGGAATGCTCATCCTGTTGTACATCCAAAATGTTAAGGTCAAAAGTAGATATAGTGGCCGATAATAGAGTAGTCAAGAGTGCCGAGACTAATCATGAGATGGGTCATGGTTTGTCCGTTTTAAGGGTGAGGGACGAATTACCAATCCCGAAGTCACATATAGATAGAAGACTTGGTGTGTCAAACTTGATAAGTGAAGTAGAAAACTATGGTGCTGATTGTAATTCTGTCAGTGATAAGACTGCGACTAGGCTTCCTCTTGATGGAGGAAAAGAAAACGCTCATGATATCAGTAAGGAAAAAAGTTATCAATGTTCTCTCCAAGCACCTGGGAAGAACTTTTATCTAAATCGTCTTCAATATATTGAACAAAGCTCAACTGGTTGTCAACGGGTGGTGTCCTTGCCCGAACTTCTTCACCCTGTGGAAAGCATTTCACAAATCTTTATTGCAACATTTACAAGTGATATCTTATGGTATGTCAGAAAGAGTATCTTTTATATTTTCCCTAGTACAGTAGTCTAAAAATAAAATAAACGTGGATACGATATCTCCATTTGTTTCCCATGTGTGTTCAAGATTCTGACAAAGTTATATAAGCAGGTTTCTTACCTGTTGTGAGATACCGAGCCACTTGCCGGTGACTATTGCATGTCACAATGCTGAGAGATGTTGGAGTTCACACTCTGATGCAAGAACTACTGTTCCTTTGCCAAATTACCCAAATGTAACTATGGTGTACGTAATACCTGATCATATTTCCGAGAAACGAAATGATGTGTGGTTATATTCTTTCTTTCTCTTTTTAATTTAAACTTCATAATTTTTATCTGAAGTGTTTTTCTCTTGTTTTAGGTTTCCACCATTTCCCGAAGAAATTGCATTTGGTAAAGATCGCAAGAACTGTGGCATTGCTTGTCATCATCCCAAGCTGTTTATTTTGCAAAGAGAAGATAGCATCCGTGTGATTATTACATCTGCAAACTTAGTAGCAAGACAGGTAAGAGTGTAGGCCTTAGTTTATAGTAATGTAACTATGTAAGTGAATCACAGATGAGTCTCAGGCATCACATTGGCTATAATGAGGTTTCAGCTATAACAGAGAGTCTAATCATATTTCATTTTCTAATGGAGATTTATAATTTCAGTGGAAGGACGTGACCAACACAGTTTGGTGGCAAGATTTTCCACGAAGAGCTGACCCTGATATTTTATCCCTTTTCGGCCCTTGTCGAAGAAAAACCAATATTAGTTCTAGGTCAGATTTTAGTGCTCAGCTGGCTGGATTTGCTGCATCACTTTTAATTGATGTTCCAAGTCAAGCCCATTGGATTTTCGAGTTCATGAAGTACAACTTTGAACACTCAGCAGGTCACCTTGTGGCTTCAGTGCCTGGAATTCATTCTTATAAGCCATCTTATCTTACAGAACCTGTTTGCTCAAATACCGTGAGTAGCTTCATCTTCCATCTTTTATGCATGGGTTTTTTTATTAGTATCAATATCTTAAACACATTTTTTGTGTTCACTTAGTTGTTTTTCTTAAATAATTTTGAAAGTTTGATTGTGTCCTGTATATTTAGAAACTAGAAATTTTGGTAATGCATCCCTATCTTGACTAACTGTATGATTCTTGTTTAACAGATTTACAATGAAGAATTTGTGGGATCAGTTGAAGCATCTGTCGTAGGTCTCAGTTACCTTTTCCGCTCTGCCAATGATTCCACAGGAGCACAACTGAAACGACTGGCTTCATATATCTGCAGAATCCGGGAAAATTCTCTCGGAATGTTGGAACTTGTTTTGAGAAGAAATACAAATGTTCCTGCTGACGTGAATGCTGTGAGTGTCCTTGTTCCTAACCCTGATGATGATTCAAGAGACGGTAAGTTTCATTTCACGTATGACAGATGGTTGTATGTTCTTGACATGAATTTTCATTCTATGACTCATACAAATTTTCTTTTTGACAGATTTTGTCCAACTAGGCTTTTTGCCACGGAATATTGCAAAGTGGGTGTCTCCTTTGTGGGATATTGGCTTCTTTAAATTTGTGGGATATGTGTATCGGGATGAAGTCCTTGGTGCTGCTTCTTGTAGGAGCAACCAGAAGGTGAAACTAATGCTGCATGTATTACAGGTATGGTACTCTTCATATGCTTATTAGATACTTTGCATAAATAGACTATGGATACATCTAAAGATCTCTCATGAATTTTTTAAGGGAGTGTCCATTTCAGACGTGTCAAAGTTGATTCAACCTAATCATGTTGTTGCGTTGTGCTCTTTGATCGCTTCACTTCAGAGGTGTACTGGCATTTGGAGGCTACAAGAGGTAAGCTTGATTACTAATAAAACAAAAGAATCCTGCTTTGAATTCCTTGAGTTTTAATGAGTGTATCAGTATCTAACTGCGGTCTTCTGTATTGGGTTCCTCGAAAGGTGCTAGGCTGTTACAAGTGGCCCGAATCTCAGGAATCTGAATTCGTCTACAGTAAGTGCTTTTCATGTGATAATGGTAAACTAACACCTTGATAGGGTATTAAGTTTACATATTTTTTCCTTATTATAGGTGCATCCTCAATTGGAGGCTCAGCAACCGCAGGATTTCAAGCTGATTTTGCATCAGCTGCGGGTAAAAAAGCGTTAAAGCATTTTGACTCCCAGGAGTCTGATCCAGAGGTATTGTATTGTTTCGAAGCACCATTAAAAGCTTTCACCACAAGTTTTGTGCATGAAAATGTTTTGTCCAATATTCTTTGATCAGTGGGGATGCTGGAGTAATAAGGAAGAACGGGAAGCTCCTTCCATTAAAATCATCTTCCCTACCATTGAAAGAGTCAAGAATGGTCATCGTGGTGTCTTGTCTTCAAAATGTCTGCTTTGCTTCTCCGAGGTATATGCCTATTTTACACATGTATTATGCACAAACCTTTGTCTAGAAAGAAAAAAAAGGATTGTTTTGCATTGATCCTATAATGTGCTGGAAAATAGATATCTCAAAACTTTGATAATCTTGTGCAGAAAACCTGGCAAAAGTTGAGATATAACAATGTGCTTCACGATGCAGTTCCTAATCCTGAAGATAGAGTTGGACACCCAATGCATATCAAGGTAAGAACAAAGGAGAACTCTGCGTGGGACAAGATAAGAATTTACGAGTTGACGAAACCCTACTCTTACACAGTAGTATAATGTCTTTATAAACTATGATCAGGTGGCTAGGAGACTATTCACCTCCACAAGAGGTTCACGGTCTTCTTCATTTGGTTGGGTTTACTGCGGCTCACATAATTTCAGTGCAGCTGCCTGGGGACAGACCATTTCCAGATCATCCAGAAACAACCAGGACCAGTCCAACAATGCCATCAGATCAGTCAGTAAACTTCGTGTATGCAACTACGAGCTCGGGATTGTCTTCGTTTTCCCTCCACCACATGAAGAAACTAACTCATTCGATGGGTCTAAGATCAATGATATTCTGCTGCCGTTTGTTGTACCGGCTCCAAAATATGGATGGAGTGATAAACCGGCTACAGGTTTGGCAATGAAGGAAGCTTTGGCTGAGTTTCGGGAAGGCTTTAGAAGTTTATGTGGAGAAACTGAAGTTGAGGAAGAAATGGAAGAAATGGAAGAAGAAGAAGCTGAAACTGAAGCTGAAGAAAGAGTGGAGTTCGTTGCAGAAGAGGAGAAGGCTTATGCTGAGGCGTTGTGGAGCCAGGTTGAATCATCATCCTCCCTCAGGGCATCCTCATTGGGGGTATCTTAGGAGGCTAAGATACCCCCACTTTTCCAAAGAAAATCCTTATATAACATACTTTCTTTGAAAAAGTGGGGGTATCTTAGCCTCCTAAGATACCCCCAATGAAGATGGTCTCAGCTCTTGAAAACTACTACATATGTCCTTCGAGAAAATGACGAATTTGCCATTGTGTCTCTCTATATTGCTATGTAAATCCTAAACTGTAGTGTTGTCTGCAAATTTTGGGAAAATAATACTCCAAAATTAATATTTATAATAGTTAAACTGCAAATTTTGGGAAAATAATACTCCAAATTTTATTTTTTTTAATATTTAATTACTTTAATTTATTAATCTAAAGAGGAATAGTTAAATATGCACATATACAATTTTTTTTTTCTTTCTCAAACATTTAAACTTGAAAAAGTCTTCTGTCTATAAACATTCAAAGTTGAAAAAGTAAAATATATCATCTGTTTTTTTTTTTTTTTGTTGAAAAGGTATCCTAAGAGAAATTATAGCAGGATACAGAACTGGATCACCACAAACAATTATAGAAAACGAAAATGAAACTTAAAATTTCCCATCTCTTTGACAGTATATATAACCCATGGCCATCTTCCCATCAAATCATCCAAAAACAAAAAACAAAAAAAAAAGGAAAAAAAAAAACTAAAAAAAACTTTTTTTTTTTAATAAAACAAAATAAAAAATAAAAATAAAAAAATGGGATACACAAATGTGTCCATTTTATTAGGCCTGTTGGTGGTCTTTGTTTCACCAGTGGTGTTCGCAGATGATGTGACACCAATCCCAGAGACCAAACCCCAAGTGGAGCAGTGGTTCAAGACCAACGTTGCTCCATTGGCTCAACGTAAAGGCTTAGATCCAGCCCTCGTGGCTGCTGAGGCTGCACCACGTACCATCACCGTATGAAACATTCTATATATATTGTCCCAAACTCAACCTTGTGGTTACAGTACTAGATATACATTTTGATACAAATATTGAAATATATGTAACAATATTTGCAGGTGAATCCAAAGGGAGGTGAATTCAAAACACTAACAGACGCCCTAAAGAGCGTTCCTGCAGGGAACACAAAGCGGGTGATCATAAAGATGGCTCCTGGTGAGTACAGAGAGAAGGTCACTATCGACAAGAACAAACCCTTCATCACATTGATGGGACAACCCAATGCCATGCCCGTTATCTCCTTCGACGGTACTGCCGCCAAGTATGGAACCGTCGATAGTGCCTCTCTCATTATCTTATCCGACTATTTCATGGCCGTCAACATCGTCGTTAAGGTACACATATATGACCAATGTATTTATTAGTCGACGCCAATGCAAAAACTTCTCTCTAGATTTCGGATGATTTAATTTTTATATGTTGCATATATATATATGTAGAATACTGCCCCGGCGCCAGATGGTAAAACAAAGGGAGCACAAGCCTTATCTATGAGAATCTCCGGAAACATGGCTGCCTTCTACAACTGCAAATTCTATGGTTTCCAAGACACAGTCTGTGACGATACCGGAAACCATTTCTTCAAGGACTGCTACGTCGAAGGAACATTCGATTTCATCTTCGGAAGTGGAACCTCTATGTACTTGGTACGTGAACCACCCTGTATCCCATTATTCATACATTTTAAAGAAGTCTGAAATCTCTATATACATGTTGAATTTAAAAGGGAACACAATTGCACGTGGTCGGAGATGGTATCAGAGTGATCGCAGCACACGCAGGAAAGAGCGCAGAGGAGAAGAGTGGATACTCTTTCGTGCACTGCAAGGTGACTGGAACCGGTGGAGGAATCTACTTGGGAAGAGCATGGATGAGCCACCCTAAGGTTGTCTATGCCTACACCGAGATGACCAGCGTCGTCAACCCAACCGGATGGCAAGAAAACAAGACCCCCGCTCATGACAAGTAAGTCCAACTTCACATTACATTACATGATAGAAATTAAAGCTTTGTGATGACCTAGCTAATTGGTCTGGTCACTTATGCGGGTTCGATCTAAAATGACAGGACCGTCTTCTACGGAGAGTACAAGTGTTCAGGACCAGGATCACACAAAGCCAAGAGAGTTCCATTCACACAAGACATTGACGCCACTGAAGCTAACCGTTTCCTTTCCCTCGGCTACATCCAAGGATCCAAGTGGCTTCTCCCACCACCCGCTTTGTAAACTCTTTAATATTATTAACCTATTCAGATTAAAACTAAAACTATACTTAATCATCACCGAAATATGTATGTCGGTGTATTTTCCTTTTCCCCTTTTTGTATCAGTTTCTTTTCCAAGAGTCCGATCTCTTCTTTGAATATCATGGAGGAGTGGAGACTTGTATAATTTTGGTTTCATTATAATAAAAATGTTGTCTCGGTTCATAACTCTTATATATTTGTTTCAAGTACGGATTCTATTGTTTTGATGACGCTCATATATTTATATTATTGAGATTTTTCTTTTCTTGGATATATATAAGACATGCTATATATTATCAATATTTATATTTTTCATGTTTTTAGAAGATAAAACGGTCACTATGTGGATGAGCATTATTGATTGCGAACTTAATTAGGTTCTATAATCATAAGAATAAGGTCGGTTAAAACAGAAGTCAAAACTGAATGTTTGTCCCATATCAGACATTTCTTGTAACTAATAACATCTTATAGTATTTTATTTCAAGTTTATAATATGATTAAAATTTTTTAAAGAAAATATAAATTATCATAAAACCACTTATGCCGATCAGGAAATAACTGGACTATCATCTCTTTTAATACCGCCAAAATTTATCAATGGTAGTAACTTTAAATCTATATACCATCATCTCTTACAATCAAAGAAAACTTCACCGCTTTGTATCACTAATTGTATCAATAATTTGTTTTTTATTTTTATTATTTTGAATCAGATCAAAGCAAAAACAGTTTTACAATGTACGTGACTCTTTAGTCGAAACTAATTGAAAGATTAGACTGAGATATATAAGCCATTACAAAACCAAAAAACAGAAATAACAACAGAACATATCGATAATTTGATCTACAATTTAATCAAATATGAAAAGGATAATTTAATTTTTTTGAATATACATCTATAAATAATGGACAAGTATTATGTAATTAACTACTTAGTAACGTTCCCCTCTGTATGTTACTTAAACCTATGAAGCAACTAACCGATAAAACAAGCTTGGTACTTTTTCATGAGCCTAAAAAGAGCTAGATGTTAAATTAACAATGCAGTTCCGGTAGTTATGGAATGCCTTTTAAAGTATTTGAAATCTTTGATCTCTGATTAATTATTAGTGAAATGAGAATAGAATAAATGGAAAGAGATACTATTGAAAAAAATAAGCTACTTAATTGAATCACACAAAAAGTGCATCAGAAATTACTATTTTATCAAGATTGAAATAATCAAAAATGCATAAAGGAATATGAACCACACAAACGAGAATTGTCTAAAGAAGAGGGCAAAATACCACAAACGAGAATTGCCTAAAGAAGAGGGCAAAAGACCACAAACGAGAATAGTAAAGAGAGAGATATATCCGGTCAGGCATGGACACGATCCCGACAACAAGTATATATAGAGCCCCTTCAGCTGCAAGGCTTCTTCATCTCTTCCATTACTAAAGTAAATAAATAAAAATATTTTCTTTTTATTTTCTTTTTTTATATATTTTTAAATAAAAATAAAATAATACAAAATTAATAATAATAATAATAATAAATGAAGGGTTACATTTCTCTGTCCCTGATTGCATTTCTTGTAGCCTTTGCTACACCGGTGGTTCTAGCCGATGATATAACTCCAATTCCCGCAGAAAAAGCCCAAGTTGAGCCATGGTTCAAGGCCAACGTTAAACCCCTTTCCGAGAGAAAGGGCACACTCGACCCCCTTCTCGAAGCTGCTGAAGCATCACCACGTATCATCACCGTAAGTGATTCACAACTACTACTCTATATAGTACTTACCATCATCATCCCAGTTTTAAATATAAAGAAACCTGATGATCAAAATCTAATAAATATACTTTAATCGTTATACTTCATTTCTAGTTTCGGATTATTAAAATCATTTTAACCGAATTAGACACAAATTAAATCATTCAATTTAATTCGAAAATGCAGGTGAATCAAAAAGGAGGCGGCGATTTTACGACAATAAACGCAGCGATCAAGAGCATTCCTTTGGAAAACAAGAAACGTGTGATCGTCAAGTTGGCCCCTGGCGTATACAAAGAGAAAGTCACAATTGACATAGGCCGACCATTCGTTACATTGCTTGGCAAACCTGGTGCTGAAACCAACTTGACATTCGACGGAACATCCGCTAAATACGGCACCGTCGAGAGTGCCACGCTTATCATCTGGGCACAATACTTTATGGCTGCCAACTTAAACCTGATCGTATGTATTACATTCTCAAATACTTTATTGATATTAGTATATATATAACACGTACGTTAAAGGATTAGTTTGTAATGGTTTTTTTTGTTTTTGTATTTCCTATAGAATACTTCTCCAATGCCGAAACCAGGTACACAAGGACAAGCTCTAGCTATGAGGATCAACGGGGATAAGGCTGCTTTCTACAACTGCAGATTCTATGGATTCCAGGACACTCTTTGCGACGACAGAGGCAACCATTTCTTTAAGAACTGTTACATCGAAGGAACCTATGATTTTATTTTCGGAAGAGGAGCTTCCTTGTACTTGGTACGTGTATACTTTTACTTATTTCGATATTTTGAACACATTTTATATCGCATGACTAATTATTACACCGTGTTTTGTTTTATCTATAGAATACACAATTGCATGCTGTTGGAGATGGATTAAGAGTGATCACAGCACACAATCGTCAAAATGACAATGAGCAGAATGGGTATTCGTTCGTCCATTGCAAGATCACTGGAGATGGAACCGGAATCTACTTGGGCAGGGCTTGGATGAGCCACCCTAAGGTCGTCTATGCCTACACTGAAATGACCAGTGTCGTCAACCCGTCCGGATGGCAAGAAAACAGGACCCCCGCTCATGACAAGTAAGTCTATATCAATTTCACTCTAAATCATGTAAATGTGCATGCAGTGATGATCTTGTTTTGAACCTTGTATTAACACTTGTTGACATGATGAATGATATAGGACGGTGTTTTATGGAGAATACATGTGCACGGGACCAGGATCACACAAAGCTAAGAGAGTGGCACACACACAAGACATTGACAACAAAGAAGCTAACCATTTCCTTTCTCTCGGCTACATCAAGGGCTCCTCATGGCTTCTCCCTGCTCCGGCTTACTAAATTAACCACACCCTTCATAACTACAATTCTATATTTTTCACTAAAAGAAAAATAGAATTGTAGGTTTTATTTTCGGAAAATCCTCTCCTTTTGTTATATATGATGGAAGAGTAGAGACTTGTCTAGTTTTGGTTTTATTGTAATCAAAATGATTATTATATTATATTGATAAGAGTTAATTAAACACATCTTTCGTCAATTTATTCATCAATTAAACTAAATGATCACCAAAATCCGGTTGGTTGGACATGAATGGTAGCGTGAATCAAATTTAATGATGATGTGAATTTGTGATTAAGGTGTGACAATGCGATTGAAATTATGAATTTATTAATATTTGGGGAAATTTTTCTTTTATTAAAAAGGGTGCATGTGTTTTACTAAAATTGCACATCTATGGATTGTGTCTTAAACAATACTAAAAAAACAATAAATATTACAAAAAATATTAATAAATTTAATGATTAAAGGGTCATTTTATTGGAGATATCTTTCTCCTTAATTAGTATATCTGCAAAGACATTTAAGACACAATGTCTAAGTTTTAAAACACCTGAATATTTTTTTAGATACATATTATATTTTAAATATATGAAGACACCTTCATAGTATGAGGGATATATGGAGATCGTCTTATACTTCAGTTCATATACAATTCCAAATCATGTTTTTCTCTCCAATTTTTTATTATCATTAATTTCAAATATTGATAAATCTATAATATTAGAGAATTGCGTTCTGATAAAAATAAATATTGTATGAAAATAAAAATTTATGACTTTGGAGGAAAATGATGTAAAGTTTTTTTTCATCTGGCAATGGGTACCACCATACACATGCACGTAGAAATAAAACAAAAAGGTTTATATAAAAAAGGTGTGAAAATCATTGACGCAGAGCAAACACCAAGATTTAAGTTACCACTGAACTAATATACACATGCACAATCAAAAACTTTGAAAAATGTCATTCGACCTAAAGCAAAAAAAAAACACCAAAATTCTAGTTACCACTGAACTAACTATTCATGTCTGATGTCTCACAAATTTACATCCAAACATAAATTGTTGTTTAGGTCTTTAATTTTGGTAAATTTATAAATAGATGATGCAACAATAGAGTTCTCTTTGGAGGAGTCAAATATTCAACATGTTGACTTTTGCCAACTGTAAAGTATCCTTTTCGTAGATGGTGATAGATGAATTTACAAATTTAACTACAAGAAAAATTACCAAATTTGTATTTACGACAAAACCAAATATTTAGAAATGCTTCAAGAAATATAAACCGCAAACGAGAATAGTACAAACAAGATCTGTACGGTCAGACATTTACCAAGCAAGACAAGTATAAAAACCCCTTTAACGCTTCTTCATTTCTTCCATTCTCAAAGTAAATAAGATTGTAGTAAAACGTAGTTTTTTTTTCTACCAATTCATTATTTTCTTTTATTTTGTAAAAAAAATAAAAGAAAATAATAAAAGATGGGTTATTACATTTCAATGTTTGTGGTTGCATTTCTAGTATTTTTTGCTTCGTCCGTGGTTCTAGCCACCGATACAGATCCTATTCCAGAAAACAGAGCTCAAATCTCGCAATGGTTCCAGACCAATGTTAAACCCTATTCCCAGAGAAAGGGCACGCTAGACCCAGCTCTCGATGCTGCTGAAGCATCACGACGTGTCATCACCGTACGTTACTATATATTCCGACTTTTGTTTGGTTTCAGTTGAGTGTGTGTGTTAATTCGAATGAAATTTTAAAAACTCATTGCATGCAGGTGAATCAAAAAGGAGGGGGAAACTTTAAGACATTAAACGAAGCGATCAAGAGCATTCCGACAGGAAACAAGAACCGTGTGATCATCAAATTGGCTCCTGGTGTATACAATGAGAAAGTCACGATCGACATAGCTCGACCATTCGTTACATTGCTTGGTCAACCTGGTGCGGAAACGGTCTTGACTTACCACGGGACAGCCGCTAAGTACGGAACCGTAGAGAGTGCAACTCTTATCATCTGGTCTGAGTATTTCCAGGCAGCTAACCTCATCATTAGAGTACGTGAAATATATTTTCGTTCTACGCTATTACATTACGTCAAAGATTGATTCCTACTAACCTAATGTATGTTATTCTATAGAACACTGCTCCAATGCCGAAACCAGGAACACAAGGACAAGCTCTAGCAATGAGGATCAACGGTGATAAAGCATCTTTCTACAACTGTAGATTCTACGGTTTTCAAGATACTCTCTGCGATGACAGAGGCAACCATTTCTTCAAAGACTGTTACATCGAAGGAACCTATGATTTTATCTTCGGAAGAGGAGCTTCCTTGTACTTGGTAACTTTATTATCTCTATTAACATGATATATATATAACACATGCTCTTTTGATCATACATAATAATGTTTATATTAGAACACGCAATTGCACGCTGTTGGAGATGGGTTAAGAGTTATCACTGCACACGGTAGACAAAATGCGAATGACCAAAGTGGATACACGTTCGCGCATTGCAAAATCACTGGAACCGGAACCGGAATTTATTTGGGCAGGTCTTGGATGAGCCACCCTAAAGTCATCTATGCATTCACAGAGATGACTAGCGTGGTCAACCCATCTGGCTGGAGGGAAAACCTCAACAAGGGATATGACAAGTACATAACATTTTATCATATATCATTTCATTAGTTACATATATTAACTCAATTAATTAACTAGGTACATTTAAAAATATATCTGATTATAAACTGCATGAATTTTCGATGATATATATAGTGTGTTGTGTGAAAACAGGACGGTGTTTTATGGAGAATACAAGTGCTTCGGACCAGGGTCACACGTAGAGAAGAGAGTGCCTTACACACAAGATATTGACCAAAACGAAGTTAGGCCTTTCCTCACTCTTGGTAAAATTCAGGGTTCAAAATGGCTACTTCCTCCTCCCAAATACTGAAAATTTTTCTTAAAGCAAAAAACTTGGCTGTGAGTTTGTAACTGTCCTTTGTTAGAGATCAAATGGAATCCATCTATTAATTTATTCTTTTTGTATTACTTGAGATACGAATACGATTAAGAGTTTTCTGTCTCTTTATATATAAAACTATAGTGCATCTCGCGTTTCAATATTATTATAGCCCTGTTTTTCTTCCTTCATTTAGTAAATCCTATAAATTAAATCTACACAATATACACGATATATATTTTTTTTTTTTTTTTGCGTAGAATATCAAAATCAAGTTAAATTATATATTCGCCAATCGCCAACCACTGGGGCTCATGATATGTTTTGAAGTAGAAACAAAAGAAACCGTCCTTATCTGTCCATGATATGTTTATTATTAGAATTTTGGTTTTTATAACAAAAGATAACGTAGAGACAAAAATATATATTAGTCATGCACTACACACATTGTCTAGATGTCATCAATTTTTTATAGTTCTATGTTTAACTTTTTTTTTCTATTTCCGTGTATTGTTTAAGTTATGAATTACACAGTAGCTAGCTTCTTCTCGCATTCGTTTTTGTCGGCATCAGCTAATATATATATAATCATATAGTCATGATGCATGCATAGTAAAATATATTACTCTTAATTAAAGACCTAATTAAAAAAAGGAAATTTGGATATGAACACCGACGAAGGCTCCGAGTAGCCGCGTCACAGCCAGGTCAGCAAAGAGTCGCCATCCAATTAAAACAAAACAAAAGCTTTCTCTACGGTTCAGGATAGCAACTTCTGCAACGTGTGCGTTCGAGTCTGACTAAGATACCGAATCTGGTTCCTACGATTTAAGACCATCCGATTTTTTAACGGCTTAGATTGCTTAGAACAAGTACGATGAACGTCACGTCCGCAGGGAATCACGTCTCCCTGAATAATGAACTTCATTTCACCACTCCTTGTTTTTCGCATCTCCTCGTGACAGCAATATTGACGGTCAATATTATTATTTTCGGTTTCACGTTTTCGTGACAATATAATACATAAACAACATATTCCCTATAATGTCAAATGTTTTAAATAATTACTATGTTGGTCATATTCTACAGTATATTCGGATTTATAATTTCACATATTATGTCAAGATGTTCCTAAAATACCCTTTAAAATAGTCTTCCCTTTTTTTTTATAATAATCGAAGATTAATGTCAGTTCATTGCACTAGAAGATATAGATGCATGTTTCAAACGTGGACCTTATGTAAGCAGGTTCCGAATGTTTATCCATAATTTGCTGGACTATATGATCTGTATGGTAAAATTGTATTCCCAAATATTAAATGTCTGATAAGTCATACTACTATGTAGAACATAATTTTATGGGAAATGAGAGTCATATAACACCGTCCCTAATAAAAGTCTGTCCCAGCTTCATCTTTATTGGGGACTTCCACCTACGTCCTGAACCCAGTAAAAGTTTTAAAAAGAAACCAATCATGATTTAGTTTGTTTAGCCTATAGAAAAATATAATATGAATTCATTTTACCATATTAAATACAAACGAATAGATCTTTTAAGATGTTGTTATCAAATTCTATTTTGTTTATATGGTCAAAATAAGTTTTTACATAAATCATTTTTTCCTTCATTTTTGAGGTTATAATTTTGACTTGTCCTATATATTTATATATATATAGGAAAATTGAAACTGGGATAATTAGTCTTTAATTTTTCTGACCAAAAATAATTTTTTCTTTCTAAAAGATTATATATGTTTGACTTTAAAGAGATAGATGTCAAAATAAAACCAAAATCCGAAATAGATAATTAGGGGTAAAAGAGTCATTTAAGAAGATAAGTTGATGTGTTGTATAGTCATCCGTCTGACGTAGGATATGTCAAAAATATCCAATCTCATTCAAATTACGCTTTCTCTTCTCTTTCCCCTACAAATACTCTTTTCTTCTTCTTCCCAATTCCAATCACACACAATTACAACATAAACCAAAATCCAAGCTTTTTCTTACCTTTTTCTGTTTTCCCCCATTTCAGTTTGGTTGATTTATCCGATCATCGGATACAAGTTGAAACCTTGGATCTTTTCGATCACTTGGATTTTGGTTTTTTTTTCTTCTTCTTCCCATCTGAGTTTGTAATCTCATTTCTTTTTTCTTTAGTGAAAGAAAGCATGAATGCTCTAGCTGCAACGAACAGAAACTTCCGTCATGCATCGAGAATCCTGGGTTTGGATTCCAAGATCGAGAAGAGTCTTATGATCCCATTCAGAGAGATCAAGGTTTGACTTTTTCCTTTTTCTCTTTTGGGGTTTTGCAACTTTTTTTTTTTTTGTTTTTGTTTTAGTCTCAATGGTTTTGGGGTTTTGATTTGGAGTCTTTGGATCGCAGGTGGAGTGTACGATTCCTAAAGATGATGGAACTCTGGTTTCTTACATTGGATTTAGGGTTCAACATGACAATGCTCGTGGACCCATGAAAGGTGGAATCAGATATCATCCTGAGGTTGGCTTCTTCTTTCATTTCCCAAGCTCTTTCGTTGTCTCTTTGGCTAAAAATCTTACCTTTTTATTGAATCTTAGCGTTTGAAATCGAAACACTTTGGTGGGTTTACTCTGTAATTGGTTAATCTAGGGATCTGGAATTTAAAGGGTTGTTTTTGTTTTTGGTTTGAAGGTTGATCCCGATGAAGTGAACGCACTGGCTCAGCTGATGACTTGGAAAACTGCTGTTGCAGACATTCCATACGGTGGAGCTAAAGGTGGAATCGGGTGTAGTCCTCGTGACTTGAGTTTGAGTGAGCTTGAGAGACTCACTCGTGTCTTTACCCAGAAGATCCATGATCTCATCGGTATTCACACCGATGTGCCTGCTCCTGATATGGGCACTAACGCTCAAACCATGGCTTGGATTCTTGATGAGTACTCCAAGTTTCATGGTCATTCCCCTGCTGTTGTCACTGGAAAGCCCATTGTAAGATTCTTATTACATCATTCATTTAAGTTGGTTGAATCTGATGGTTATTCTCTGGATTTGAACTGGTTGATTATTCCATGTTTGTGTGATTTACCAAAGTTTTTAGCTTTCTGGGGTTTAACTGTTGGATCACCTTTGTGTAGGATCTTGGTGGTTCACTAGGTAGAGAAGCTGCCACAGGACGTGGTGTAGTCTATGCCACTGAAGCTCTTCTTGCTGAGTATGGAAAATCGATTGAGGGCTTGACATTTGTTATTCAGGTAAAATAACTAATCAGCTCATCTCAGATCTCAAGCTTAATTTTTGTATCATATGATGAGAAAGAGAAGTTGATAGATTTGTATAATATGTCACAGGGTTTTGGGAATGTTGGAACATGGGCGGCGAAGTTGATCCACGAGAAAGGCGGTAAAGTGGTTGCAGTAAGCGACATTACTGGTGCAGTCAGGAACCCTGAAGGTATCGACATCAATGCCCTGCTGAAACACAAAGACGCAACTGGAAGTCTCAATGATTTTACTGGTGGAGACGCTATGAATTCAGATGAATTGCTCATTCATGAGTGCGATGTTCTCATCCCTTGCGCTCTTGGTGGTGTCCTGAACAAGTCAGTACAAAAAACTTCATTCATACTATCTACATTAACCTTAGATATTCACTTTCTGATTCTTAAATTTCCAATATTTGCTCAGAGATAATGCTGGAGATGTGAAGGCAAAGTTTATAATAGAGGCTGCAAACCATCCAACCGATCCAGATGCTGATGAGGTAATGCATCGATAACACAATAACACAGAGACCCGTCCCTAAAGCCTTTGAAAATTCTAATCTTAATCTGTTTGGTTTTGGCAGATTCTGTCGAAGAAAGGAGTGATTATACTTCCAGACATTTACGCAAATGCAGGAGGAGTGACTGTGAGCTACTTTGAGTGGGTGCAGAACATTCAAGGGTTCATGTGGGAAGAGGAAAAAGTGAACTTGGAGCTGCAAAAGTACATGACTCGAGCCTTTCACAACATCAAGACAATGTGCCATACTCATTCCTGCAACCTCCGTATGGGAGCTTTCACTCTTGGAGTTAACCGAGTCGCTAGAGCCACCCAGTTGCGTGGTTGGGAAGCTTAATTTAGCTGAATCCCCCATTTATACTCTGTTTTTTTTGCTTCATTGTTACTGAAAATCATTGAGCTTTCGAAATGGAAAAGAAAACAAAATGGATTGAATAAACTAACAGATTGGAATAAAAGATATTATTGCATTCTATGATCCTCCTGCCCAATCCATTTCTCCAAGCAAAAAAAATTCAAGTAGAAAAGTAAAAAGCACAAGTTTTAGTGTTTATCTCCAGTTGTTGCTTGCTTCTTCATTATAACTATTAAGGATTCTGATTTTATCTTCTTAAAATACATTTGTAGAACAGGAATACATTTGAAGTTCCCAAAAAGTTGTTACATATACCTTCAAAAGGTTTCATATGTAACATATCAAAACATGATCCATTATACTAATGTATCAAACAGCAGTGGTGACTTGACTATTACGATGGATCGATTGTGAATCTTCGTCATATAAATGCATTAGAAGATTCCTATGAAAATTTCTAACCAAAGAAGAAGGCTCTAAAAGCGGAGAGTACATCGTCCTCATAACCATCTCTCTTTGTAGTGAAGAACAATACTCGTTGTAAGCAGAACATGTCACATTCAATTGGAACCCTACTCCAAATAAGAAGTCCACCTCTAACAAGTTCATCTCCTCTGTGGTGATTCCTCCAATTTTTGCATAATATGCATTATTGTAACACCTACATTTTTATCAATTTCAGATCCTTTGTTAGAGATGAAATGTCTAATATTTCAATATGTCATCAGTCTGTCTGGAAATAAGCTTGCATGCATCAGTCTGTTAATTTCTTTTTTTTTTTGTATAAAAAAAACTCTAATGTAAGTACAGAATATTAATGTTAAGAGATTAGAATTGCCATTCTAAAAATAGTTTTAAGTAAATCTATAAAAAGAGATGAGAGAACTTACAAGTCATCCATGAACTTGGCAGAGATCAAGACGCTGGTGATAATGAGCCTATGGACATTACGAGAATCAATGGGTAGAAATGGCTGTTTTTGTATGAACCGATCCAAATATATATAAGCGACTACGTAACACGAGTCGCTACAATTTGCATACTTAAAGATCCTCTGCATATAGCTTTTGATCGATATGGTAGGTTTGGTCAGTGCAGAGAAAGCTGAGATCCTCTGGTGTTTTTCGAACGGACGGCTCTCATCGTCGTTCATCTCCGACACTCTTTGTAGTTGAGATGCCATAGCCGTTATGACATTTGGCAAAATGATCTCAGCCATCGGTTCTTGATCGTGAATCATATCTGATCAGCTATTGGAGAGAGATGTGTAGGCTTATTACATGGACCGAGTTTGTTTTGTTGTCTCTTCTCTTGCCTGTCGGTTTGGATGTTTATATAGAAGAAATTATAGTATTTAAATGTATATGTAGAAAAATGCTTTTACATTAGTCATCCTAATGATTATTGGTTTAACTACAAAATTCTTCAATAGTTATGATTATTTTTTTTCTTTCTTTTTTCTTTTATCGACAACATGGATTAATAAAAAGTTACTACGTAAGTATTCCTTTCGATTAATGGTTTTTTTGGAATTTATTCTTAGCTTCAACCACTAAATTTTTGGACCATTTGGCTGGCATATCCGAGACACACTGATCGGTTCAGAGTCTTATTAGACTAATAAAATTATTTGGTTTATAGATGAAGGCTTTTAATATATAAGATTGAAAATATAAGATTATGAAAAGTAATTAAAGGCCTATTGCCTGACATTGAATTGGATTATTTTGCCTTATAAATTACGTCGGTGAATCGGTGAAAGAAAAAGGAGAATAAATAATACTATCATGACGAAGAATAATCTAAATAATCTTAAACAGCTTATGACCATTAGTCCATTAGTGCCGACAAAAAAAAAAAAAGTTATGACCATTAGTAACAACTTACTTCGAATTTTGAAGATACGATATTAGATAATGCTAGACTGAGAGATTTGGTTTTCGTTAGGATAAAATTGGTTAACCATCAAACTAGTTCCCCCTTGTTCATTTTTCTGACTTTCACTTATTTTCTAGACTCTATCAAATGTGTATTTTAATAAACTTATAAGGTCAATGTATATGCAAAAACTTATTGGTATTAGTTGAGATAATACGCAATGTTTTTAGTCCCAGTAGAAGGATGCCGTGGGGCGGAGTGACAAGAGCCAGGACGAAAGGTGCCAAACACGTTGAAGAAATAATGAGCAACATGTTGTGACTTGTGACTATGAATAAGATTTGTGTATATTTAAGTTCACTGAATCTTTTCATGTCTTTTTCACTTCCTTCTCTCGTTATTTATTAATTGGGAATATCTTATAGAGTAATGTACTAATAATGCTGATGCTCAAGAACGGTGCCTTGTTTTTTCTTCATTAATATCATAATATGATTTGTTATATCACGTCTTATATTCTGAATGTGAAATCATTTGAAATGGTCAAAGTTATATCTTTTCCTCAGTTATTGGATTTACATATGAATGAAAAAAAAATGTAATAAGACGAGAATGTATAGACATTCATTACAAAGGCACAAAACTTGGAGACTTGGATGTTTCAAACTTTTAAAACACTATATATCAAATAACGTAACGTTAAAAGGATCACATATATATTAGGTAAGAATTGTCGTTTCGAAGAAATAACAAGATGACACACCGTGTGCGAGAAGGAGGTCTCAGGTCTCTAAAGAATTCAGAATCCACTAAGATGTCTCAGCTATTATTTTGATGTTGAGAACAGTGAACAGATGCTATTTGCTCGTAAAGCTACAAAATGGGCCTATGACAATTTCAAGAAATCAAGAATCATGTAATTGGGTCAAAAAATCATTTTCAAAAATACTTCACTTTTAACTTATAAATGACTGTGATAACATAGGATTCCAAGAGAATGCACATGACTTATTCAAATAGACAAATACTATATCTTAGTTGAAGTTAAGCAATTAAGATCTGAGATGATCCCAAATCTTTTATTATATATGAGCTGAGAATTACAAAATAATACACACACTCACACACAAATAAACAGGTAAATAAACCCTTTGTTTTTGGGAGAAGTTGAAAAAAGGCATGTTTGATTAGCCGTAGCATCGGATAGGGTCCTTGCAGCTCTTTGCAGGGGATTGTGCGTTGCCATACATCCCGCCTTTCACGAGGAATTCCTGATGATATTCTTCAGCCTTGAACAACTTCTTTGCTGGTAAGATCTCGGTCACAATCTTGTTCTCAAGTTTTGTCTGCTGTTTCTCTAGAGACTCACGTGCTAGTTTCTCTTGCTCCGGTGTGTAGTAGTATATACCTGATCGGTATTGAGTTCCCTCAAGTTCTCCCTGCAACAAGTTTAAAGATCGGTTAAGAATTGTACTTTTTCAAGAAAAAATTATGCCTACCGTGAACCATCACTTTCACTATTAACAAAAATAAGCTAAAATTGAAGACAAACACAATCAAATCGAAGTTCAGGACAAGAACACAAACTCTCTCTAAACATTACCATACTTGTCTCTACACTACACCAACCATCACAATCAGATTTATGCAAATATTTGACAAGAGAAGATAGATTCCACCAAAAAAAGATAAACCAAAAGTCAACGTTCTTGAAAGTTTCATGACTGGAGAAGCCATTGAACCAAGCAGATCAAGAATCAAAACAAGAAAAGGCAATACCTGACGATTCAAGGTGGTGGGATCATGTTTAGACCAGAACAAATCAAGAAGCGTCTCATAAGTGCACTCCTTGGGATCAAACTGAACCCTAACAACCTCTACATGGTTCGTGGTGTTCGTACAGACAACCTCGTAAATCGGATTGTGTGAGATCCCCTGTGTATAACCAACCTCAGTCGCAGTCACGCCAGGGATCCTCTGGAAAGCAAGCTGAACTCCCCAGAAACAACCTGCGGCGAACTCAGCAAACTCGTTTCCCGGCGCCGGGACATCGTTGTCAGGCTCCTCAGCTATCGGAGAAGGAACAATCACAGGTGCCTCTGCTAACTTAGCAGGCAGCTTGAACAAATACTTCTCAGCTTGGAGAGAAGGAGCAGCATCAGGTGTAGTATCAACGACTTGAGGCTCCTGAGCTTCTAGAGAAGAATCCATAGCTTAATCAATGTGACTTTTGGTGATGACTTTTTTACTCTTAAAAGTGTATTGTTGTTGATGATGAAGCCTCTTGATGCTTGTTTATATATAGAAATTAGCGAGTCATAGTCAGAGATTAACAGCTACGTCAACGCTAAGTAAGTTTTTTTTAAATGATGTAGTTGTATTTTGACACACCACAAAAACACATGGAATGTAAAATTTAATAATATGGTCAATTGTTAACATGTAACGCGTCATAATTAGATTTAACATTGTCTATTAAACAAATCAATGAGAACAAACCAGAATCAAACGATTAGTCTAAAAAAATATCATTCCATATTTGAGAAATATAATTTTATGCACTGATCAAAACTTGGACCATATGTTATTTTTTTGTCGCAACTTGGAAAATATGTTATTGCGTAGCGACTTGTGAACCGTTGACATTGATTTTTTTGTTGGCTATTAGTATTCTAGACCTTTCTTCTGTGTTTTTATTCCTCTTTCTCTTTTATTGTCGTATGTTAGTTATAAAGTTACACGGATGACTATGACTTGATAACGCATTTTTGCTAGTATGCAACTACAGGTTGGTGAGCACATTTGTTTTATGCAATAAGAAGAACTAGAAAGTCGTTTGATGATGGACTACGTACTAAAAGAGGAATGGCCCTGCTACAGTTTTGTTACTCGCTGGCTTCAATTATCCTGTTTGATGACTTTTTTTGTTAAGATAATCATGAGTTTACGAGTTCAGATCTACCAAGGATCATGATAATTGTTTGGTTTTATGTTCTTAGAGTGCAGCATCAATATTATTACAACACACTGCAGATAAAATTCCAAAGAAGTAGTTCCATAGAGCGTGATCAACTTTGTCTGTTTTATACAATCTTGACACACAAGTCCCTAAATGCTAAATCCTCTGTATTAGGAGCCTGAACATGAATAGTATATTTGGCCATCATAATAATACTGCAACGCAGGATTAACATCATCAAGATAGTCATGGGGAGTGAGTTTGCAACAACAAGAATTGTTAAATCCATTGAACCAGTCCGTACGCTGAATTGACCAGCTTGCATTTATCATTATGTTAGTCCGGATGAAAGACTAAAGTAAAGACAATCAAGTTGTTTATATATCATATCACAGTTGATCAAATGTTTCACACCGGCTTAAGGATTTGGTTTCACTACTTTACTTAGAACCCCAATAACATAACTTGACTACAATACGCTACTGAATAGCCTTTAACAAAACTAACAGTAATTTATTTGCACAAGACTAATAAGAAAATAATAAAAAGAAAAACAGCGGATAGCGTCGTCTGTCTTGGGTGCAGAGGAAACAAAGACTAGTGATTAGCCGGAGCAGCTGATAGGGTCCTTGCAGCTCTTTGCAGGGGATTGCGCGTTTCCAGACCTCCCGCCTTTGGCGAGGTACTGCTGATGGTATTCTTCAGCTTTGTAGAACTTCTTTGCTGGTAAGATCTCAGTCACAATCTTATCCTCCAGTTTTGTCTGCTGTTTCTCTAGAGACTCACGTGCTAGTTTCTCTTGCTCCGGTGTGTAGAAGTATATACCTGATCTGTATTGTGCTCCCACAAGTTTTCCCTGCAACATTCAAAAGATCAGGAAAGTTGAAGAGTTGTCATAGAGACATGCATGACTGCAAATTCCCAGAGAAAGAAAGCTCAAGAAAAATGATGGCTACTATCACATTCACTATCAAAGCTTAAATTGATGACAAAAACACAAACTCTGTTTAAGCATTACCATATATCACATTACATGTCTCTACACCAACCAAAACAATCAATCATGACAGATCCGTATAGTTAAGTCATGTGACAAGAGAGAATTGAACAAGTTAAAGACATGCAAATATCTGACAAGAAGCCAGTGAATTTAACAGAGCAAGTATTCAAGAAACACGAATTTGACCATAAATTTCAGTAGATCAGACACAACAATACTAGATCCTCTCAACATCAAACCTAGTTAAGACAAAACAAAGCAAAATCGATACCTGGCGGTTCAAGGTGGTGGGATTATGCCTAGACCAGAACAGATCAAGAAGCATCTCGTAAGTGCACTCCTTGGGATCATACTGAACTCTAACAACCTCTGCATGGTTCGTGGTGTTCGTACAGACATCCTCGTAAGAAGGGTTGTGTGAGATCCCCTGAGTGTAACCGACCTCAGTCACGGTCACGCCAGGGATCCTCTGGAAAGCAAGCTCAACTCCCCAGAAACAACCGGCGGCGAACTCAGCAAACTCGTTTCCCGGCGCCGGAACATCGTTGTCAGGCTCCTCAGCCATCGGAGAAGGAACAGCCACCGGTGTCTCTACAAACTGAGGCTTCTCAGCTTTGAGAGAAAGAGCAGCATCAGGTGTAGTACTAACCACTTGAGGCTCCTGAGCTTTTAGAGAAGAAACCATTTTTATTTATCAAAATATGAGTTTTGGTGATGTGTTGTAACTGCTAAGCCTTGAAGTTGGTTTATATAGAATAAACCTGACACATGTCAAGTGCATTAGTCAGATGTTGAAATGTGTCAAAAATAACTAGTTTTTTTTTTCTTTCAATGTAGTAGAAAAGTAATTAAAGGTATGCAAATGCAATTAGGAATGTAGTTAATCCGGAAATACGTATAAGATACATTCACATCAAAGGTATGTAACTAGGAATGAAGCTAGTCAGGAATTACATATAAGATACATTCATTCAAAGGTACGCAACTAGGAATGAAGCTAGTCAGGAAATACATATAAGATACATTCACATCAAAGGTATGAAACTAGAAATGAAGCTAGTCAGGAATTACATATAAGATACATTCACATCAAAGGCATGCAGCTAGGCTGGCGGGCACGTTTGTTTATGTACTAAAAAGGAACGGCTCTGCTACGTTTCTTTCTATCCGTTGGCTTCATTTGCCATGTGGATGGATTTTGAAGAAAACAAAAAAAAAGAGAAAAAAAAAAAGATAATTAGTGTATATATTGAGTTTTAGATTCATTAAGGATCTTTCTACCAAAAAAAAATTAAGGATCTAGGATCTCAATGACTGTTTGGTTTATATTCAAAGAGTGTAACATCATTATTAAAGCATTGCAAATACTATTCCAAAGTAGTAGTTACGTGATCAACTTCGTCACTTTTTTGACACATTCTTGACACACAAGTCCCTAAATGCTAAAATCCTCTGTTTTAGGGAGGTAGGTAGAGGAAACAAGCTTTTTAGCCGTAGCAGCGGATTGGGTCGTTGCAGCCTTTGGCAGTGGATTGCCCGAGGCCGAACCGGCCACCTTTTGACAGGTACTGCTGCTGATGATCTTCAGCTCTGTAGAATTTCTTAGCCGGTAAGATCTCAGACATGATCTTCCTATCCAATTGTTCCTGGTGACGTTCCAGTGACGCTCGGGCTAATTTCTCCTGCTCGGGTGTGTAGAAGTATATCCCAGATCTGTATTGGGTTCCCACGTCATTTCCCTGATCAGAGTAACGTCATCATTTAAAGTATCAATGTTAGCAAAGAAGTAGGCTACATAGAGTGCTTAAACGAGGTAAAAAAACAAAAATCTCAGGAGATAAATAGTCAGAATGACAATTGGTTGAAACTACAAATTATGACAATCAAGTTGTTCCTGTATCACCGTGGATCAATGATTCCCACAGGTCTAGGATTTGGTTTCGCATATGCGTAGAATTCGAGATATTCATGTCCTAGAATCTCAATAAGATGACAAAGGTAGCAGTAATTTACAAAAGAGTATCTTTCTCTGTCCACAGAGACAAGACAAATGGTAAGCCAAACTCACACTGAACAAAATAGCTAGTGCTGATCATTGAACAGGACAAGAAAAACATCTCCGAAATCCATATATCTACCTCAATTAAAAGTGATGCAACAGAGCTACTACAGAAGCTAAATTATACTACAACATAAAGCTCGATAATACAAAGAGTCAACCCCCAAAGCTACCTACTTAAGCCTCATAATTCAACAAAACAAAAAAAATCCAAACAAACTTCAATATCATGTCTTTCCTCATATACTATTTGGATGACAAAAGTTCCAAAATTGAAAGTTTCCCAGAGTTTAGACTAGTGATGCAACAAAAAAAAAAGCCATCGGATTTGGGAGAAAAAGAAAAAGAAAAAAAAATCCCTAGAGCACAAAAACAAGTCCTCTATAATCCTAAAGACGAAGTCTTTGTCAATCCGCAAGCTTCAAAATTTGGTAAGAGTACCTGGCGATTCAAAGTGGTGGGATCATGCCTAGACCAGAACAAATCAAGCAGAGACTCATAGCTGCAATCATTAGGATCATACTGAACCCTAACAACCTCAGTATGGTTCGTGGTTCCTTTACAAATATCTTCGTATGAAGGATTGTGTACGATCCCTTGTGTATATCCAACCTCAGTCTGAGTCACCCCAGGGACTCTCTGATACGCCAGCTCCACACCCCAGAAACATCCAGCGCCGAATTGGGCAAACTGATTCCCCGGTGACGGAGCGTCATCGTCTTTCCCCTGAGCAATCGGAGAAGGATCCATATTGCTTTGCCCACTTGATCCCAATCCCAGCCTGTTGAGTATATTCATGGAGAAATTTCTATAGAGAGAATGAGAGAGAGATGAGGAGGACACGACTGGAGATAGAGATGCAGCGTTTGCGTTTTAGTTGCGTTCACTTCAGAATCGGCAATTTTAAATCGCAAATAGAAATTTGCAATTGAATCAAACCGATCCAGAAATTACGGTTTCAATAAACTCTTCCAACCAAAAATATATAAACCGAACCGAATTAGAAATAACCGAACCAAATATCCTCACTCGTACGTATTTAATTTAGGAAAAATATGTATACATATACACATTACTTAGTTTGCTAGTCAATAAGACCATACGAATGGAAAAGCAAAAAGCATCAAATATACAAAAATTCCCATACTACCGGTAGAACCATTGCCGTTAAAACGGGCGGCCGAGCTAGCGACTCCGGTCGCAGGGTTATTCTTCTTAGAAGAAGGTTGAAGAATCCCTGCAGGGGCGGCTTGGGGAGATCCAACGGGGGCTTGAGATGGGCCGTTGCCTTGGACATTGACTTGTAACCTCATACCAGCAAAGCAATGGAGCCTATTACCGCATACAAAGAACCGGTCTCCCGGTTTGGAAAGAGAAACGGTCGTGTTCCCGTTCGTGAACGTACGGATGGGGTCTGTTGTGTTGCAGCTTTGGTAGTTGTTTTTAGCCACTTCGTATACACTGTGCGTCGATGAGTATTGGAACACTTGCAAAAACATTATAATACCCATGATAAGACTTAATTAGTTATTGAAAATTATCGGAATGAAAATACTTTAAACAAGACTATAAAACTGTTAGACTTAGACACTTACTTAGAACATCACCAGGAGAGAATCGCTTGCCTGAAGTCCAAGACTCAAGATCGGAGCTTATGTCCCAACCGGAGCTATCCCCCACAAAGTATGTTGTTGCGTCGCATCTTCTTATTACTACAGTCCCAAATATGATGCAAAGATTCAAAAGAAATAGCATCCTCGACGTCTTCTCCATAGTGTAAGCTGTTTTTTATTCTTTCCAAAAATTGCGTTTAGATTATATTGCTATCGTTGTCTATATGCATTTGTGACATTTTCAATATTTATATGTGTATATATATAGAACATAGGTTAAGGTTGCTCATTGGTGGATAACCTAACTTCACAACCACCACAACATACATGATCTGCTGCTTTGTTCTCTGGCCTTTAATTTACTTTTGGTATTTTTTCTTAACAAATTTTTCGTGTTTCACAATTCATAGGATTCTTGTGCTGTTAGGAAAAGTTCCACATCCCTTAAATGGTTAGATCTTCATGAAAAGTGACCTGTAAATAATGAATGTATATATATGATCTACTGGTTTGGTACTTTGATCTGAAGATAAAAGAAGTTTTTTCCAAGTTTTGAGCCTTTGAGGTTTATATCTCAGCGCATTCAAAATGATGTTTTGTTAATGTACAGAAAAAAACTAACATGCATGTACTCATGACTCTGTCAAGAAATAATTCACATTATAACACACCCTTTTTTCTCATCAATACACATTAATTTAATTTAAAAAATATATCATATTAATTCAAATATATTCAGTTAATACTTCTTAAAGTTTACAAATTAGTAACAGTAATTAATTAAAAATGTGTACAATTAGCAAGATGAAACTACTAAATATCATTCGTTGATACTACTATATTTATTTATGTCTATTAGTTAATAACTTAATACCCGCATAGGCTTGGAATTGGCGTTTGAGGGTGTTGAACCGTAACTTCTCGACTAATCCTGAGTGTTTCTCTTTACCAAACCTACCTAAAATGGTGTTAAAAATAAAACACCCTTACCTAATAACTAATAAGCTTTCAGAGAATTTCCCTTGTAACTCTTTACCATTTGTTGGAACATGCACAGTTTATACAAAAACATAACTCTTGTTTTCTTTTTTTGTTATCCTTTTGGGGTAAAAATTTCAAAATATAGTCGAGTTCTCAAAACACATACAAGAAAACAATATTGCTTTGTCCTAAAATATCATTTCCATGATAACTACTTTTTTTGCAAGTTTTATTCACCTATGTGTATATTTAGAAATGAACTATTATACTAACTACTAGATGCACTCTGAAATTTTACTCACTTTGATACTTGTATTTATATGAAAAAAAAAAATCAATGTACTATTATTTAACAAGTGATAGCTGTGTTACTAATGTTTTTTAAATTTATACTTTTCATGATTCATGAAAATATATATGTATAGTAGTACTATATTACTATGGAAGTATGGAGTATATGGTTCTGTAATGTCAGTGACATCAGACAAACTTTCTTGTAAAACTTTGTACGATCATGAACTTAATTAGAAAAAGGAAACAATAAATGTCCGTTGCATGAAGTAACCGGCGCAATACATTTTACCTAGACCTCACGCAAGTCCATATGACTATTCATTTTATTTTTTGTTACATAATCCATACAATTCCTACGACATATATGAGATATGTATGTTTGAATTTATCTAGATATATCAACATGCGTGTCCAACATATTTATGAAAGCTTGAAATCCGGACAAGAGGATGCTTTTTTGCGGAAAGTTTTTATTTGTTTTTTTCTAGATAGTACTATGAATGAGAGATCGAAAAGGTCTCTGCTAAATATTATTCATAAATTTATGTTGGTCATGTTTATACTATATACATCCCAACATCAATTTAATGGCCCGCGTCATGTTATGAATTTAGTCACTCTTATATATTTTCGTACACCAGATGAATGTTCATTATGATTCGTTATTGGTATACATGTACATTTTGACAGTTACACATGCGCTAGAGCTTCCAAAATAAGAAGAATAATAATAATTTAGTATTCGACCGTCATGTAATATTTATTATGACTCCGAAATGTCAAGACACGGCTTCAAACCTTACGTATATATAGAGGAGCCACTCGCACTTCCAAATTTAGCTTTCCCTCATTAATTATAAACCGATTTCTCAACACTAAGTCAAAAATCTCAACAATGGAGAAAGGTGAGGATTCAAGCACATTCAAAATGGGTAATTCTGCACAAGAGAGGGGTTTACCATATGTGCCCGATTGTTACGTCGTCCCGCCTTCTTGGCAACCATGTGATTCAAATTCTGAAATCGTACCCACGATCGATGTTTCTCGGCTAAATGGTGGAGATGATGAACGTCGAGGAGTTATTCGAGAGATAAGTTTGGCATGCCAGCATCTTGGTTTTTTCCAAGTAAGTTACTTCACATAATATATCTAACTTCCTAGAATTTGAGTTCTTTTTCGTAGATATGAGAAACTATTTTTTTCTTTCTTTATCAATAATATGTGAGATTGAATCCGCATTATACATTGACAGTACTAATATAAACTATTTTGCAGCATGTTATATGCTTCACTAGATCATTGTTATTATTCTAAGGGAAGTTTTTTGCTTACACTTGACAACCACGGATTCAATGTAGTCAGCATAGTTATTGTGTCACTATTTATACTATTTTTATAAGGTTTTACATTAAATTATGCTATTACTTATAATCACGTTATAGCAAAATATCAAAATATCTTTAACAAAAAAGAAAAATATCAAAATATCAGCTATATTACTTGCTTGAGTCTTAAGTCTTAACACACACACACACCTGACGTGGCTATCACATGGCCGGGGTAAAACCGGTTTAAATGAAATTTTCTGGTTAATAATCTCCGATTTTTCCAGCATTTTCCGGTTCTTTAACTGATTCTTTCTTCTTTTGGTCTGGTTAATGTATTAGATAGTGAACCATGGGATCAACCAGAACATACTAGACGACGCCTTGGAGGTTGCGAAAGGGTTCTTCGAGCTGCCAGCTAAGGAGAAAAAAAAGTTTATGTCAAACGATGTGTACGCACCGGTTCGGTACAGTACAAGTCTCAAGGACGGTTTAGATAAGATCCAGTTCTGGAGGATTTTTCTAAAGCATTACGCACATCCGCTTCATCGTTGGATTCATCTTTGGCCTGAGAATCCACCCGGATACAGGTATTACATGTCACTGATTAGGTCATATATATACTCATACAACATATACATTGCATCTACATAGTGAACAACAAAAAGGGTTTGCTTATAGCGGCGTATTTTGTCCTTTTTCTTGTGCACCTAATGAAATCTATCACCTGTACCGTCTTAACTTTGGTAAGGTTTCAGAAACGATCCTCTGTTTTTCTTCGTAACCAAAAAAAAACAATACAAGAAGAATCCTCTGTTTTACTTGCAACCCATCACGTATTATTTTTGTTCTTTTTTGTCCTTATGTTTGAAACAATATAAATAATATCTGAAATTTAAAATACTCATGAAGATCATTCATGCAAATACGCAATAGACATTGTGTGATTCAAAACCTTAATCTCAGTTTAATTTGTTTGCAAATATGATCATCTCGTATATATATTTATATATAGCTAATTTTATTTTTCCACTATATATTTATCTTATTAAGCTCATTGTTGAAAGTTGAAACTAAACGTTAATTTAGCCTTCCTTTCGCTCTTTTTTTTTTCCTTTCCTTATTATAAAGCTTTTAATATAAAAACAAATTCCAAATTTCCTTATTTTTTAATCAGTTGTTGGTCCGTTTCTTTTTTCTTACCGTTTTTTTTTGTCAGCATCCTTATTAGTAATTATAAAAACATAGCTTTGTTTTTATTTGCACGTAGTACATATTTTTGTTTTTGTTCTCTAATATAGCACACAGGTTTTAAGATTCCGGTTTGTTGCCAATATATTAAAAAAAATTAGAACTGATTTTAAGATAAACAAGTTCATGATCATCTTTTATCTTCTCATGTTGTTTTCTTTTCTTTCCGACTATCTTTTATGTTTTTCTTTTTTTTTTTTTAATCTCGGTAATGGAATAGAACGAGAATTATAAACTGTATAAAAATCCAGTAGAGTCTTTTGGTTAAGAAAAAACATAATAATTGTCCTGTTTGTTCTACGTATTATATATATTATACCCATTTAACTATACATGTGTGTTTATGTAATTATTTCAGGGAAAAAATGGGAAAGTTCTGCGAGGAAGTGAGGAAGCTATCGATAGAGATTATGGGAGCAATAACGGAGAGCCTTGGGCTAGGGAGAGACTACCTGTCGTCTCGAATGGACGAAAACGGCATGCAAGTCATGGCCGTTAACTGCTATCCACCGTGCCCAGGCCCTGACGCGGCGCTAGGCCTGCCGCCACATTCAGACTATAGTTGCATCACCATCCTTCTACAGAACTTGGCCGGTCTTAAGATCTTCGATCCAATGGCTCATGGTGGCTCTGGCCGCTGGGTTGTTGTCCCACAAGTCACTGGTGTACTTAAGGTAACGTTCCTACCTCTCCGGTTTAAAACTAAACCAAAATAAAAGACACGTGAGCCCGGTTAATGTACAATTTGGTTTTTCTTCGGCTTAGATATAAATTAATAATGTCATTACAATTTTCGCCAATTTACATTTTTATTTTATTTTATCAAATGCTTTTGAATTAGGTGCATATTGGTGACCATGTGGAAGTGCTAAGCAATGGATTATACAAGAGTGTCGTTCATAAAGTCACTTTGAATGAAGAGAATACAAGAATCTCTCTCGCCAGCTTGCACAGCTTGGATATGAACGATAAGATGAGCGTACCGTGCGAACTGGTTAACGATGAAAATCCGGTTCGGTACAAAGAGAGCAGCTTTAACGATTTTCTTGATTTTCTTGTCAAGAATGACATTTCTCAAGGGGATAGGTTCATTGACACTCTCAGAATCAAGGACTGATCGAGTCTTAACAAGTTGGTTCAGGGTGTAAGAGTAATATATAGCCCGGTATGACCCAGTCCATGTCCTTTTACGCTTAACCGGTGTGATCACGTGGACATGTATAGAAATCATGCATGAGAGACATATGTACGTGTTAAATTGTAATGTGAGATATATAAATTATCTTAAGCATCCTATTTCATTTTTCTCCTATTTCCAAAAGTTAAATGAAATTAAAAACCAACCCGAATTGAAAAATAATCTCATATACGCGTCTAATTTAACTATTTAAGTTTCTTATTAAAAAAAAAAATGTTTTCTCAGATACATAAATATAGTATACGAAATTAATAATGCTCTCGAAAGAAACAAATTAAATAAGTGAGTTTCATTCAAGAATTTGACAGAGTCTTAACCTCGATCTGAATTGACCAAAGGCATAGGCCCGAAATTCGCCAACAAACAATATTACCTTTTTAAGGGTTTTTTCACTAACTAATTACGGATTTTTTTCTTTTCTGATTTGACACAAACGTATTATCTCTTTGCCTTAACTAGTTAATTACATTGTAAAGAAACTGGTTCAATCTCTTATATACAGACAATATGTACAGATCCGCGAGCTGGAACCGTGTAGCCGAGGATTACTCAGTGCCTTGGTCCGCACCAAAAGGATTATGGAAGGGCCTAGACGAAGACGAGCCGGCTCCATACAATCCCATCGGACAAGAGGTGACCAAGAAAGAGAAGTCACGTACCAAGTTTGCTGAGAACGCCGTTCACATAATCCCTTTTGTCCTTCTTGCTTGTGCTCTCGTCCTTTGGCTCTTTTCCCATCCAGGTTTGTCTACAACATACACATTGTGTTCATATTCATGCATGATCTTAAGCTCCATGACCTATTGGTATGACTCTATATGCGTGCAAACAAACCTTCAATTTAAAAAATTTGTATGTTCTGTTCGTTGATCCAGAAATTTACTTGTGATGTATCACGAATCAAGTTTTGTCAAACAAACCAACGAACTTTTATTAATACGAAACTCACATGACATGAATGAATGATTAATATGGATATATCAGTATGGTATGTCTTGGTTTAGTAAAAATAAATGTGACAGATTATTACAAAAAACGTTATACTAGCTAGATAGTAACTTGGTAGTTCTTCAATAGATTTGTCGTTTTAAATGATTGTACATTTTTACGTATAGGTGTGGATGTTGGGGTGAAAGGGGAATCAATTGCGGCTAAGATCGAAGGAGACATTGATAATGACAGCGACGGAACTCAGACCGGATTCTTAGGCTCCGCCACAGAGGTTGGAGGTTCATACAAGACTAGACTAAAACGCGACATCAATAGGCGTCATTAGCTTTTCTTTTTTCTTTGCTGATAAAACTATTAGTAACATTCAAAATGATATCTTATTATTTACTTATATTATAGTTCGCATTTTATTCACAAAAACATAATTACATATTAATTTTTTTTTTGCGAATTAGAAAATGAAATTATATAATAAATAATTACCTGCTACTCTTGTTCAGTTCAATTGATTTCTTAAAAAGAAAAGTGAAAAAAAAACGCATGCAAGTGATTCTTTCCAAACAAGACATGTTAGCTGACATAATTTGTAACAAAAAACCGTCAGTTTACGTACCGACCTGCAATTAAATTAAACGCAACTTTAGTATCTACAGATTCTAGATACAATTAACCAATTTGTGATCTAATGAATTTAATAGATTCAGCATGTGATTGAAACTAGTAAAATTCGAGTTTTCAATACCACTATTACACATCTTAAATGGAAGATTTGATGATTAGTCTAAATTGGTGTATACATACGCTGCTTCACTGGTTTAGTTTCCTACTTAAAACAAACTTGTGAGAAACGACAATTTTGTTTAAGAAAATTATGCGCACACACACACATATATATATATATATATATGTATATAAATTGGTATTGAGAAATTTGTGTGATAGCGGGCTCACCAAACCTACCGAAAGAGAAACGGCTGTCGAGGATATAAAGGATACGTCTGGACACGTGTGCCAGATGGTGCTCCTGCTCTCCTCTTTATTTTTTATATAAGTTCCTCTGATTATCACTTACACCTGTGCCTTCCCATGCAATTTTTACCCCCACTCCTCTGTTTCCAAATGTATTTTTTCACTCTTCAACCTTATATTTACGTTACGTCTGTTAACTCATCGCTCACGAATCAATAATACCATTTATCACCAAAATTGTATATTAGGGTAATAGACTCTAGCTATCGTGTGACACTGATCATGATGCTGCATTACAAAAAAATAATAATCTTTAAAAAATCGTATTAGTTTATTTTTTTTCACTTCCGTCGCCGTTAAGATATTTTCTTTATCCACAGTTTATATTTTCATGCAAAAAAAAAATTAACTGTAACGTTTAAAATATAGTTTTGGCATTTTTCATTTCAAAAGTTTGTAGAGGGTAAAAGCTATATAGAATATTCGACTTTTTCATTTCGTTTTTCCTCCTATAAATCCCTCTTTCGTGTTCCTAGATTTTTCAAGATGATCTCTCTTTTTTTTTTTTCCTTTTCTAAACTGAAACAAAATGTATAATTCAAAATAAATTTATTTTGTTCATTGCATGGAAAGATGTTGAAAAGTGTAAGTCCAATGGCATTCTACGATATCGGAGAGCAGCAATACTCTACTTTAGGGTACATCGTAAGTAAACCTGCGATTGGGAATGGAGGAGTGTACGACTTGGACCCTCCGATCCCAACCATCGACGATGCGATCTACGGCTCAGATGAGTTCCGCATGTACGCTTACAAGATCAAACGGTGCCCTCGTACCCGCAGCCACGACTGGACTGAGTGTCCTTACGCTCACCGCGGCGAGAAAGCCACACGCCGTGATCCTCGCCGTTACACTTACTGCGCCGTCGCATGCCCTGCTTTCAGAAACGGCGCATGCCACCGCGGGGACTCGTGCGAGTTCGCACACGGCGTATTCGAGTACTGGCTCCACCCTGCGCGTTACAGAACTCGCGCTTGCAACGCCGGGAACCTGTGCCAGAGGAAAGTGTGTTTCTTCGCACACGCGCCGGAGCAGCTCCGGCAGTCCGAGGGAAAGCACAGGTGTAGGTACGCGTACAGGCCGGTGAGGGCGAGAGGCGGAAACAGTAATGGGGTGGCGATGAGAATGGACGGCGAGGATTACGACACGTCACGATCTCCGGAGAAAAGCGGGAAAAGTGTTGGTTTAGATAGTAACGAGGAGAAGGTGTTGTTGAAGTGTTGGAGTCGGATGAGCATCGTGGACGATCATTATGAGCCGTCCGATTTCGATTTCGATTTGGATTTGTCACATTTTGATTGGATCTCAGAGCTGATCGATTAAATTGTGAAAATCAATGGAGAGACACAAAAACCGATTAATAAAAGTGGATTTGAACCCCCAAAAAAAAAAAAAATCCACAGGATCAAGATTCAAGATGAGAGATCTTGTCTTGTAATGTATATGGTAAATTTAATTGTAATGATTTCTATCAAAATGTCGTAAAAAGAGTTATTTCAATGATCATGTAATTTGTAAGCTGATTCTTGATCTTATATGAAGAAGTCTAGCAGTTTCGAGAGAATTACAATCTCTTTTATTCAAACTGAAGTTTCAGAAGAAACCAGAATGTATATATTGGCAAGTTTATTAGTCACCAGTCATGCAACCGTTACACAAATATATCATTAAAGGTTTGGGGGTTACTGTCAATCGTTGACCAGAAAACAAAAAAAGAAAACAATTTAGTTGACAACATATACGATTCTTTCTTTAATTGTAGCTGAAAGAGAAAATAATGCCATAATGGGTAGCTAGAAAATGGTAATGTAATCTATACTCCATGTTAGCAAAGCCATGTTTTAGATTTTTTTTTTTAATCAACTTCATACTAAAAAATCAACGCAAATGAGCCAATTGGGAAATTGTTTACAAATTTAATAGGATGCGGACTAACATGAGCTTTACGTGCTAAAATATCCGTTTTTACAGTCTATTGACTTTAATAATATATTTAGAAAATTTTGGGAAAAGAAAGTAAACAGTTCACATTAAAAGCAACTTATATTATGACTAAGATTAAAATTCATTTCATTTTATACGTTGAATTGGTAACTACTATATCATTGGCTAACTCAAGTGAAAGATATCCAGTTAGTTTTATATCATCATGTAAAATTACTATTAAAATAAAATAAAATAAAAAGCTTTTAAAAATTCGAAGTGAAAAGTAAAGAACACAATTTTAAAACACTATCTTAAAAATTCGAAGTAAAACCTTGAATGCTAAATTTACATAATGATAACGTATAGCAGTGTTCATATACTTAAATAACAAAAGCAAACTCAACTATAAATCGTTATATCCTTTCAGGACAAATGTAATTAAGCGCTACCGCATTTATCCTATAAGTTAACAATTTTATCTCAGTCTTTATGTTTTTCTTTTCTTCCAGTATAAGCAGATTTAACATCACATATAAACATATGAAAGCTTTTATTTCATTTTAAGTATCTAGTCATAGAATTATGAATCAGTGCACACTGCACACTATATATATATGCTACATATTGGAACAACTTGACTAGTTTCTATTACCATGTAGGTGGTGTACTTCCGGCGGCAGGTGGAGCAGCTCCAGCCGCAGGTTTAGCAGCTCCGGCCGCCGGTGTACCTCCACCTGCGGCCCCAGGTATACCTCCAATTATACCTTTTAACCATGCTGGGACATTTCCAGAAAATGGTTTCCCGAATGTTCCAGAAAATGTTTTTCCTCCCCAAGATCCTCCATATCCACCAGAAATTGGCAATTTGAGTTGGGCTGATGGAGTTGAAGAGGTTCCTTCCGCATTCGGCTTTATTCCCGTCCTACGCCTACATATATACACAGAAGTGCGAACATATGTTAAAAACAAAATACGACTGAGATACATAATACGACCATCATTTAGTGTTGATTCGAAATATTTTTTTTATCTGATATAACGTCCAAAGCCTTGCCTAGAGGCTAATTTATATATGTATATGTATGAAGAGCTAGAAGCATAACTAAATCTTTGGGTGACTCATATGGTATTTGTTAAATTTTATTTAACGAGCCACCTGATGAGAGCAACAGCCATCGCTCCTAGGGCACCGCCGGCCGTGAACCCTGAGGTTAAGACAGCAGTAGCTATTGTGGCTGGTACGAGAATTGGACTGAATATGATAAAAAGTGGTGCGGTGACGGTTAATGCCGCCGCTGAACCAGCGAGTGTTACACCTGCCAAACCTAAGAAGACTATAGAGGCAACCGCAGCGATAACTACCTGAAAAACCTCCAACAATATGATGAGAAAAGAAAACATATTGGGATAGTTAAATTTTAAATTTGGATGATGAAGATAAGTTTTGCTGATTTCTTTCGGCTGATCATACTATATTATCGGATGGTTGGTTCTTAGGGGTCTTTACATGTAAAACGATGGGAGTAAATTAGAGATCTACGTCACGTCACATTTGCTTTCTTTTTCATCTCCTTTTTTTTTTTTCCTGTCATGCTTTTTGGACCTTCTTTTATTCTTGTGAAAGCTAAAGACATTAAGTGTCGTGTAGCAATTCATGTTTACGGTCGGTACATCCTAAAACTGGGTCTTGGAAAGATAATCCAAGGAGCGCGAGATTTTGCTGAAGTTTGATGGATACCATGCAGTTTGCTTGATGTTAGGGCCTTGATGCTTGCTGTAAATCTCTATCCAGCTCAATGGAAATATGGAATTGCAATATGTTGTAAAATATCGTATTATTGAATATTCACTTGGTAAGTTATATATTTTTCAACTCTCTATAAGTACTTTAGTGCGAGGATTTGTATAACCGTAGCGGTCACTGAAAATATATTCTTAAAAACTTAATACATATGATCGGTGACCAAAAAAAAAAATCTTAGTACATGATTCTTGAAAACCTAAACAACCGTCTCAAAAGACTTTATGAAACCGTCAAAAAAGAATTCATACCACATGTTTTTATTACCGTCTCACAAGCTCGATCTATTGTTTATTTTTGTAGTCAACAAGCCCAGACCTCTCTTGTTAGTTGAATTTTTGTCTGAATCAGATAAATCTATTGCAAAATAGAAAGTAACCAATAAAACATCCTCTTCTTTTTGTTATTTTTTTTTTTAGTCGGCCAACTGGTCTATTATATTAGATGTATGTTACATGAGAAGATACACATCAAAAAAAACAAGATACAACCATAGGAGTCTGATTCGTTCTATCTTCTCTAGCTAGCATGTCAGCTATTACATTGGCTTCTCTTCTTATAAATTTAAATTTGTAAGAGCCTTTTGCTAGCGCCAAGATATCTTCGATGTAGCTTTGAATTTCTGCAACTTCCTTAGCAGCATGCTCTCCATTTGTTAGCTGATCTAAGGACCTGTAAAGAATCTTTGAGTCTCCACAAAATATAACCGGGTAATAATTTAAACGCTTGACTTGAAGGATACCTTCCCGGAGTGCAATGGCCTCTGCTTCCAGCGCAGTCATTGTAGGGTCTATAGATGAGGAGCCCTTGATAAGGCATTTACCTTGATAGTTGTGCAAAGACCATCCGATTCCTGCTTTGTCAGTGGAGTTAATCCATGAACCATCTGTGTAACAAAAGTAAGAGTTAGACTGATCCATGGTTCTATGTAGAGATTGAGGATTGTTACTGTCTTTATGTTCCTGAGGCTTTCCATTGTAAGACTGGTTTAGACTGCTGGCTTCCTTCCACAATTTATAATCCATAATAGCTTGATGGATAATTGTTGGTATAGCCCATCTTTTGTTTCGGAATAAAATATCATTTCGAGCTTTCCATATGCGCCACCCAATGAAAGGAAATAGGCAGTCTGTTGGGGACTCACTCTCTTTCACATTGAGAAGGTCCTGGAAAATATCAAGAAGAGAAGATTTATGAACAAACTGACCTGGATTGATAGGAACAGGAGACAATTCCCAGATTTCTCTTGATACCCTGCAGTGAAAAAGTATATGCATGATAGATTCTTCAGCTTCACCACAGAAGTTGCATTCTTTCTGTATTTTTATATTTCTGAGAGCTAAGTTTCCAGTCACTGGAAGAGCGTTATGGAGAACTTTCCACCAAAAGTGTTTTATCTTCGGTGGTACATGAAGAGACCATATAAATTTCCAAACTTTGATGACCAATCGAGAAGGTTCAGAGAGCTCTCTGGTAAGCTGATGGTATCCTGATTTGACTGTGTAATATCCATCCTTTGTAAAGATCCAGACAGGGACATCAGGACTCTTGATTAAACGCGGCCTAACTTTCATGATATGAGAGATATCATCGGGATGAACTGTTTGTTGTAGCTTATGAGGACACCAATTTGATGAGTTCGGTGTGAGAAGGCTTGAAACAGTCAAATAGTGTTCTTCCTGATGATTAACACTTCTTGCTGGGCGAGGAGGATTATCTAGCCAAGGGTCACGCCAGATTCTGACTGTTTCACCATCACCAATTCTCCATTTTAAACCTTGTTTGATCAGCTGCAGGCCTTGTAAGATACTTCTCCAAGCATGGCTAGGCCTATGTCCCAAAGTAGCATCCATTAAACCAGTGTTGGAAAAGTATTTTGCTTGGAGGACTCTTGTCAAGAGAGATTGAGGCTGTTTTAGCATTCTCCAAGCTTGCTTTGCTAACAAGGCAATATTAAAATGGTGAAGATCTCTGAACCCCAAACCTCCATATTGCTTCAACTTTGTTATTTTACTCCAGGCTACCCAAGGAATTTTGTGTTTGTCCTTGATACTTGACCACCAAAATTTCCTGATATGTCCTGTCAATTCAGAAGTGATTCTTTTAGGTAACAGGAAACATGACATTGTGTAAGTGGGAAGAGCGGTAGCCACAGCCTTAATCATTACTTCTTTTCCCCCTGGTGATAGAAACTTAGAATACCAGCTTTCTAACTTATTTTGCAGTTTCTGACAGATATATGAAAATGTATCTTTCTTACTTCTACCCATTGCTTCAGGCAAACCCAAGTATCTTCCAAATCCCCCAGTCTTAAGGATACCTGTGTGGTGTTTAATACAATCCTGAAGATTGGTATCTACTTTCTTACCAAACAGTATGGCCGATTTCTGGAAGTTGATATGTTGTCCTGAAGCTGAGGCATATAATTTGAGAATTTCCAAGATTCTTTTGCATTCCTCTTCATTAGCTTTACAAAAGAGAAGAGAGTCATCAGCAAACAGCATATGAGAAATTTTTGGTCCACTTCTACTGGCTTTGAAGCCATGAATATTGTTACTTTTGACAGCTGTTGAAAGAAGAGATGAAAGCCCCTTTGTACAAAGCAAGTAAAGATATGGTGAAAGAGGGTCACCTTGTCGTATGCCTCTTTGGGGGATGATTTTCTTGGAAGGAGAGCCGTTAACAAGGACTGAATATGATACTGTAGTGATGCACTTCATGATCCAGGAGCACCACTTTTCTGCAAAACCCAAACGTTTCATAACAGCCTCAATATAGTTCCATTCCACTTTATCAAAGGCTTTTGCAATATCCAACTTTATAGCCATGTAAGGAGTTTTTAAGTTCTTAGTACGAAGAGAATGGAGGAGTTCATGAGTGACAATAATGTTATCAGTTATGAGTCTGCCTGGAATAAAAGCTGTCTGAAACTCTGATATCAGAGAATGTAACCAAGGCTTGAGTCTTTCAGCTAGGATTTTAGATATCAACTTATATGCTATGTTGCATAAGCTAATTGGTCTAAAATCCTTAACTTGAGTTGGGGATTCTACTTTTGGAACAAGGCAGATGTGGGTGTGATTCAACTGTGGATCTAAATATCCAGTTTCAAAGAAGTAGGTAATGAACTTGATCACACCTGATTTTATAGCATTCCAATGGTATTTGTAGAACCCTGCATTTAGTCCATCAGGTCCTGGTGCCTTGTCTACACTCATATGGTATTTGTTAACAGCCATGAATTCTTTCAATTTAAATTTTATTCGTTTAACTATATATAATAGTTTGCTTCGTTACAATTAATTAATAGAAGTAAACTCTACAACAGATTTTTTTTTAAGAAGAATGGAATGAAGTGTTACCACATTATTAATATTATTAGAATAAATATTGTCTTATAGTATTTCCTTTTTTTTTATCTTTATAATCAGATTCAACATTACATATAAAATATAAAACGTTGTAGACGGCTTTTCTTGTTTTAATTTGCCAGTCATAAAATTCTTGAACTAATGCACAATGATCTGCTTAATGTTGGAATAGCTCGATCAGTGTCCTTTACTCCTCCACGAAGCTACCTCGACCTCCGGACATACCCCCACTTCCGTGTTTACCTTTGCTTTTACATCCTCCACCTCCGTGTTTACTTCCTCCACTTCCAGACATACTTCCTTCACTCCCAGACATACTTCCTTCACTTCCGGACATACCTTTTTTACTACTTTTACTTTTTAGACCTCCGGATTTATGTCCTCTACTTTTGGATTTACCTCCTCTACCTCCGGACATACTACCTCCTCTACCTCCGGACATACTTCCTCCGGACATACTTCCTCCAGACATGCTTCCTCCAGACATACTTCCGCCAGACATGCCTCCTTCACTTCCGGACATACCTCCTTCACTTCCGGACATACCTCCTTTCTTTCCAGATTTACTCTTTATCTTTCCAGATTTACCTCCTAGACCTCCAGATTTACGTCCTCCACCTTTGGATTTACCTCCTCCACTTCCGGACATACCTTCACTCCCAGACGACATACCTCCCTCACTTCCGGACATACCTCCGGACATACCTTTTTTACTTTTTGATTTACTTTTTTTACATTTTTTATCTTCAGATTTATGTCCTAATTTACTTTTAGATTTACCTCCTCGGCCACCAGACATACCTTCATCCCCGGACGACGAAGATGAACTTTCTTCACTTCCAGATTTACCTTTGCCACCTGCCATTTTACCTAACACAGGGATCTTCTTACACCATTCTGGCAGCTTAAGCTTATCTTTAGAAATTTTTGACTTCAACTTCGGTTTTGCCTTTTTCTTGGACTTGAAGGTCAGAGATAGCGCTCCTCCACCACCAGTCGGTGGAAGTCCTCCCGGAGGTGGATTATCCTTCGGCTTTACTCCCATCCTACGCCTAAATCACACCCAAAAAAAAAGAGTGCATATAAGTACGTCGGAGATACTGTAAGAAAACTCACGATGTCCAATATATTTATTAATTACATTGACAACTTTTAAAATGGTGTTTTCAAAAAGGGAAAACACATTGTGACAGAAATTATAACTTACTAAGTATTTTATATGCATATGAATAATATATAAACATAAACCGCGAGTGATCTCAATATAATTTGTCTAATCTTACTTAATGAGCCACATGATGAGACCAATGGCCGTCGCTCCAAAGGTGCCACCGGCCGTGAACCCTGTGGTTAAGACAGCCGTGGCTAACGTAGCTGGTACAAGAACGGGGCTGAATATGATGAAAAGCGGTGTGCTTATGACTAATGCCACGGCAGAACCGGCGAGGGTTACACAGGCGAAGCCTAAGAAGATTACGGAGGCCACTGAAGCAATAATGATCTTAATAACCTCCAACAATGGCATGAGAAAAGAGAACATATGGAGAAAAGATAGCTTTCTCCCTTCTCTCTCTGACAGATTCTCAGCTGATGATTGTTTTTGTGACAGAGACTGAGCTGATGACGGGTTTTGTGGCAGAGACAGAAAAGGAAACTTTCTGCCCTCTCTCATTGACAGAGACTGAGCTGATGATGGGTTCTGTGGGAGAGACAGAAAAGGAAACTTTCTGCCCTCTCTCATTGACAGAGACTGATGAGCTGATGATGGGTTTTGATTAAGTTCTTCGCTCATCTTTTCTGATCGAATTGTTGTGTGTTTGTTGATGGGAGGAGACTGAGAGGGATTTTATATGAAGGAGTTGTGTGGTCTGCTACGTGCACGGTACACATGCATGCTCCATGCAAAACGATGGGAGTGAACGAAGACTTACGCTACGTCACGTCACATTTTCCTCTTCTTTATTATCTCTCTTTTCTTTGTGTGTGTTTGTGTACGCGTTTGGTTTGTCATGTTTCAAAAGTTAAGAGTTTGTCATGTGTTTTAGGCCTTCTTTTTTTAATTTATTCTTTATTGGAAAAAAAAAAAAAAACTCAACTGTTCATTATATTGCTTTATGATATATCAAAGCGTGGAGAAGGTTTGTTATTACTTTTACTTTTCAGCCATATACGTATATGAGACGATTTAATACTATCTTTTAGAAACGGCTAAAGTTAGAAGAAGAGTTTTGCTTAAAATCTATTTTGATAGTTTTCCCGAACAAAGTTTAACAATGTTTGTTTTCTACTTAGCAAAAAAAAAATGTTTGTTTTCTAACTTATCAACTCACAGCTTTTTTTTTTTTGCGAAAAATTTGGAACCCAATCTTAAAATTACTTCTACTACTCATGAAATTCAACTGAGATTCTCTTGACTCCATACTCTCCAAATCCAGTAACCGTGAACAAGATTATCCAATCATGGTTAGATGTGGGAAGACGATCATGTTATCAGAATTTTGTTGAACTAGAGTCTTTTCAGGGGAATGACATGATCCGCTGATGATAACGTGTTTTATTAAACCCATTGTACTGAAAAAGGTTTGGGTTTCGATCGGTTAACGCTAACCGGGTACTATTTTTTCTTCTAAAGTTGGTCCAATTTATCTTGAAGGTTGTATTAAAATTGTCTTTCAATAACTTCAGTTTCGTGTTTTTTATAGTTTATCAGTAAATAAAAAGAGAGGCGAAAGTATCCCAATCTTTTGAAAAACTAATACGAACAATATCCAACTAACATGTCTAATTATTTATGTTCACGATACAGTTTATAAGAAATTTATGATTATACAGCGCAAAGAATGAAAAATCAATGGTTTTAGGCTAAAACGAGATTAGCAATATTTAAATAACATAAGTTTTTTTACTAGTTAAAATAGTATTAAGTTCAATTTGTAATTTAAAGAAAACAAAGAAAGAGTATGTTTCCACTTAAACAAGTCTTCTTAGCTATGTTTCCACTTAATGGAGGTGCAACAATTCCAATATCGCATGACTCCATCATCCTCATAGATATATACAATTGCTTTCATTAACTTGGATCCAGTCTCATTCATGTACGTATATGTTAGTTCCTATGAGGCGATGAATTCCTTCACTTAAACAAATTATAATGTATATAATGAATGCGTGCATTGTTTTATAGCATAGATTAATAGAAATGATATTTGAGACATTAATAGGACATTAGGTTTGATTTATGAGAACCAACAACTAAGTTTCAGTTTGCTACATATCATCCTTATGAGCACCCCCCTGTTTTCTTTCCGGGTGCTTTCCCTGATTTATCTCCCTTCTCTCCTCCGGATTTATCACACTTCGCTCCTCCGAGTTTATCTCCCTTTGTTCCTCCGGATTTATTTCCTTTCGTTCCTCCAGACTTATCTTCCTTTGTTCCTCCAGATTTACCAGCCTTAGTTCCTCCGAGTTTATCTTTCTTCGCTCCTCCAAGTTTACCACCCTTCGTTCCTCCAAGCTTTTCTCCTTTCGCTCCTTCAGATTTATCACCCTTAGTTTTTCCGGACTTACCACCTTTCGCTCCTCCGAGCTTATCTTTCTTCGTTCCTCCAGATTTACCACCCTTTGCTCCTCCGGATTTATTTCCCTTCGCTCCTCCAGATTTAGTTCCCGGCACTCCTCCCAACGCTCCTCCAGGTGCTGCTCCTCCCAATGTTTCTGATGACGCTCCACTCGACGCTCTTCCCAATGATCCTGATGACGCTCCTCCTGATGCTCCTGATGATGCTCCACCTAACGCTCCTCCCGATGCTCCTGATGACGCTCCACCTGACACTCCTCCTGATGTTCCTGATGACGCTCCTCCCGATGCTCCTGATGACGCTTCACCCGATGTTCCTGATGACGCTCCACCCGACGCTCCACCTGATATTCCTGATGACGTTCCTCCCGGTATTCCTGATGACGCTCCACTTGATGCTCCTGCTGATGCTCCTCCCGATGTTCCTGCTGATGTTGCTCCCGATGCTCCTGGTTTATCTGCTTGGGTTGGGGCTCCCTTTGGAGCTGGATTGTTCTTTGGTTTTACTCCAATCCTATGTCTACATCACACAAACAAGTGCATATAATTCAAACTATTTAGAAAATTTTGAGCTGAAAACATGCTATATGCAGGTTCGTTGTAGATGAACATGCATGCTTTATAAAACTTGAATAAAAATAGACGTATATGATATACGTGAAAGAATAATATATAAGCATAAATCTCGAGAGGCTTCGATAGGGTTTCGTCGAAGGAAAATATTATAGTTTAAATGAATAAATTTTACTTGAAAAGCCAATATACGAGAGCAGATGCCGTCAGTCCGAGAGCGGCAGCGCCAATAATCCCACCGAGTGCGAGAGTAGTGGTTATAGTGGCTGGTACGAGAATGGGACTAAAGATGAGAAAAAGGGGTGTAGCTATGATGAGTCCCACAACTGAGGCGCCGAGGGTTATACCAGCGAACACTAAGAAGACTACAGATGCTATGGCAGCGATAACCACCTGAACAACCTGTACAACTGGGATGAGAAACGAGAACATTTTGTGAGTCACGTTTGATCTCTATGGTTGCTACTCTAACTCTACTCGTATGGTTGTGGAAAAATGGAGGGCTTTTATGAAAAGAGCCTTGGGGGTGTACGTGCACGGTACAGTACGCATGCATGCTCCGTGCAAAACGATCGACATAAATAGGGATCCACGTCACGTCACACCAAATTTGCTTCTACTTTTCTTTGTGTGAGTTTTACTTGTAATTTTGTACGAGGAGTTTTCTATATATCTAATGTATGATAAAATAAAATTAAGAAGTTACATGGTCCGGCTCAGGTCCATTGTTTTAATCAAAGCCTAATTACAAGCAATGACCCGAAAAATTGACCTTTGAGGATGAGTGGAATTGTCCGTAGCAAAGCGACTTCTCACATTCTCGGAAGCTCTGATTACTCCACAAAACTTCTCACTTCATCATTTGGTTCAAAGACTTTTTTTCTGTTTTGATGAAAATTGGTATGGACACTTCGAAGTTCGAACAACTCAAACTTAGTCACAATTTGTCAATTTACATTTTGTTCACACTTAATTTGTTTTTTTTTTGTTAACCACTTAATTTGTTTTTATTATTATTATGCTTGACTAAACATTTAATTTTTCTTTAGTTATCGTATTTTTTTATTATTTTTTGTTTCCCTTGAAATCAAATAATCTTCTGAAATTAAAAAAAAAAAAACGATTAACAAGTACAAAAGTAAACTCAAATGTTGTGTTTGATTTTATTGTGATGAAATATCAAAGCTTGATTTGTAGTTTTGTGTAAATAGCTGTTTTCTTTAATTTCATTGCATCATACTTCGTTTTACCCACCAAAAAAAAAAAAAAAAGTTTTTGTTTTCTCTTTTTGCCGTAAGAATGGCTTTTGTTTAGCTCATACGCATGCAATTACCGAGTGATATGGTTAAGGAGATAATCCGCAGTGACGGTTTTAAATATATATATTCCAAATCTCCTCATTTATTGGTATTAGATATATACGACCCTTGCATGTACCAGCGATTTAGCGCAGATATGTCAAGTGCCCTCGAAATTTCATAAGTATATGGCAATATTCTCAATGATATTACTTCATTACAAACAATAAAAATGGGTACATTTATTATACTTCTTTTGTAACATTCGATATACATCAATGGAATGACACTGGAGATATCCCGGGGGTAACGTAACTAGTATTTTATTAAAAGAGAAGATGGGTAAGTTTTTATTTTATTTATGGAACCCAGGCTAGTAATTAAGTATGACCACGTTACGTTCCTCCATATGATATATAGCATCCGTTATTAGGAAACGCCTAATCCTATTTTCCCGATGATGCTGGACTAGACGGTGGCGTCAATCCGGGAATTTTTGGCAGATCCTTCCCTGTGCGTTTCCTACACACAATTATATATTTTCTGATTATTAAAAAGTTCGTTGAGTCGCAAAAGTAAATTTGAATAAGAGTAAACCAATAGTATACTTGTAGAGCCACGCAAGGATGGTGAGAGCCGTGGCACCAAAGGAACCGGAGGCTGTGAAACCTGAAGCTAGCAATGTAGTGGCTATAGTGGCTGGCACGAGAACCGGACTGAAAATGACAAAAAGCGGTGTGCTTACGACTAATGCAACCACTGAGCCGCCGAGGGTTATACCGGCGAATGTCATAAGAGCTAGTGCAGCCGCGGCAGCGAAAACCGCCTGAACGATCTCAAACATCTTTTGGATGATCAAGTTATACGGCTGGGATTTCTCTCTCTGGTCGAAAGGTTTGTGATTTGGTGGTGCGAAGAAGTGGGGTTTTATCAAGAACTAGTGGAAGTCTACGTGAACGCGACGCTACACATTCATGCTCCATGCAAAACGATCTGAATGAAAATGGAAATTTTGTTACGTCACGTTGTCTCTTTTTTTTTTTCTTGTTTCTGTAAGTTGTCACGGTTTTTGGCCTTTTTCCTAATTGATTATCGTATCCCTCTTTTTAAAAAAAAGTGGAAAATACAAACTTAAATTTGGGAATTTATTAAGGAACCATCAAAATTCGTGACTATTACTTTTTTTATAAGTAAATTTGTTACCAAAAAATCCCATAATCAGAGTTCTTCGTTCATAAAAGGAAAAAAATATATTGAATACCGCGTATCGACAAATATTAGTATGAATGAATGATAGGTCATTTCCAATTGTAACAGAAACAAGTGTTACAACAATTTTTTTTGTTATTTAGTAGATTAATACAAAAATTAAGAAAAGTGCAAAAAAAATAAAAATAAACTTCGAACGAAATTTTTATTTTAGCTAATTGTGGCTCTTATAACCGAATATATGACAAAGTTTTGTAACTGATTCGATTTAAAGTACTTGATTACAAGATGAAGGATGAAATCGAATACGTTAAATGCTTATTATTAGCGGAGAGTTCATGTCAGTGCCAGGGACTAATTGTTCGGTTGTTCCAGAGTATGCAGTGGTCAGAGCTTAGACTGTTTTCGATTTTTCCCTTGACGGAGCGGAAACGACAACAACGGATCGCTGCTTATGTAGACTAACTCAAAATATTCATCTAAGGTTTATATCAGCGATATATCATATACAAACCTCGTTGTTTTAATTAAAAATATTATACAGCAAACATGAATACTTATGTTATTGTGTCTGTAGCACGGCGTGCGTTAATAGAAATGACATTTGAGAAATTTAATTTCATCAGCACGTAATTAATATGTAGCAACAAAAAGAAACTGGATAAATTATATTTGAATTATGGAATTTCAGTATAATCCTTTGTTAATGTCCTTGACTTATTTGCCCGCTTTAGCTGCCGGTTTTTTTGCCGCCGATTTTTTAGATGCCGATTTTTTAGCTGCTGGGGCAGCTCCACCTCCCGCATCTCCACCTTCTGCTGGGGCTGATCCACCTGATGCAGCTCCACCTGATGCAGCTCCACCAGCCGGTGTCAACCCTGGAATCTTTGGCGGGTCTTTACCCGTAAATCGCCTAGACACAAAAACAAAAGCCAAGTTCTTAAAAGTTGTGGTAACATAGTTTTCGTACTTCGGCCTCAAAGCTGTTCGCCACCAAGCAGCTTAATATTTGAACGAGACTTTGTTGATACATAAAAACGTTTATAGCAACGCCTAGATGAAAGCTCCAAACAGTAAATGCAAAAGAAAAAAGGATAGATAAGTATAATGTGAAAAGTTCAATTACTTAGTGGAATTTTATAGTTAATTCATATTAGTTTGTCCCATGCACCAAAAAAAGTTCATTTTAGGTTTGTTTCTAAAGAAATGATCATTTCCCCATAACTTTTCATTATAATAGATCAACTTTGAAAGTTTTGGATCTTTGGTATGTAAATTTTCATAGTGCGTGAACCAATCTTTCCATAATTACGTTTATGACGTAAATCACTTCTGAGTATCTTTGTAGCCACTACATTATACCAACTACTTGTTCAAATTAACGGAATATTTTATAAATGTTTTTTCCGTCCAAAATGATTTTCTTGAAAGACATAACCATTTTGTTCAAAAAAAAAAAAAAAAGACATAACCATTTTTTTTTTTTGTGAAGTTAGACATAATTACCAGTTGCACTTGTAAATATAGTTCACGTTTTAAATAATTATATGTCTACGCTCCTGTATAATCCATTTATAAATATGCAGCCACAAATCATACACTGCAGAGGTTAATTAATCAGTCTATGGTCTCACCTAATCTATAGTTTAACCTTATATATTTATAATAAAAATATAATCATCATCAAGATAATAGATTAGCGTCAACTATATTAAAGTTTAAAATATTGCGCGCATGCATACGTATTAATAATAAAAGCGAATGTGTTTAGTGGGTGAAGAGGTAATTACTTGTAGAGCCACATGAAGATGGTGAGAGCCGTCACACCTGAGCCGCCTCCAGCCATAAAACCCGAAGCAAGAACAGTGGCGGTAATACCCGCTGGAACGAGGACCGGGCTGAATAGGAGGAAGAGCGGCATGCAGGCGACGGACGCCACGGCACAGCCGGTTAGAGATAGACCGGCCAGCAACAAGAGGAATATTGCGGCTTGTGTGGCCAAAACAGACGTCATAACACCTTTAATCGTCGGCCTTTGGGTTCGTACTACTACTCTCTCGCGTTTTTTCTTGCCGAACAACAGTTTTAGGATTGACATTGTCGCTTGATCGGATGATGATGACTGTGGGATTTCACGAATTTGGGAGAGTGGATTTTAATAAGAAGAGAGAGAGAGAGAGAGTGGTGTGGTCTACGTGCACGGCTCGTGCTTACCTCATGCGAAACGATGCGAGTGAATGTGTTGAGCTCTACGTCACGTCAATGCCTCTCTTTTATTTGTCACATTTTCTTGGCCTCTTTTTCTTTTTCCTCTGTTTTCTCATAAAATTTCGAATGAATTATAATGGAAGTCATTTTGATTCGGTTTGAGTATATCTTTCGTTTGATTCAGTTATATTTGATTTGATGTGTTTTTGTTAAAGTTTGTTTCGGACCAAATTTTGACATAAAGAAAATAAGGACCAAATTTCATTAAATATTCTTGGTTTTTTAATTAATTAATTTATATATTTTTTTTGGTGAAACATTGAATGTTCTTGTTAAGTGGCTTTATTTAATTGTATTTGTAGAGAACCAAGTGGTGGTGAGACTGTGCATCCGTATGGCAATAAAACGATGCTAAACTATTATGTACCAAATGATATGAAACTCGCATAAGGGAAATTACTCGATTGCTCTCAAACAGGGCGATTAGAATCTTCAATATACAGAATAGGATGATTTCGAGACCCGATAATTCGACTGTGATATCATGTTGACAAAGATTTTTACATCAATAATTAAGATATTTGAGCATTTTAGTTTCATCAATAACACTTAATTAGTATTTTTCTACCAAACAAAAAAAAAACACAAAATTAGTATTTAATGAAAAAGGTTGATTAATAATTTCTGTGATGATTATCTATTATAATTTTCCTTATTAATCCCTTAGATGCCAGTTTTCCATTCTTGTTTTTTTTTCCTTGTTCATTTTTTCGGTTTAGCTTTCGGTTTTGCTGTTGGTTTAGCTTTTGGTTTAGCTGCCGGTTTAACGGCTGGTTTTGTTGCTGATTTCGCTTTTGATTTAGCTTTTGGTTTAACTGCCGGTTTTGCTTCTGATTTTCCTTTCGGCTTAGTTGCTGATTTTGTTGTTGGTTTTGTTGCCGCCTCTGCTGTTGGTTTTGCTGATGGTTTTGATGTCGGTTTAGCTTCCGGTTTAGTTGGTGGCTTTGCTACCGTTTTAGCTGATGGTTTAGATGTCGGTTCAGTTGGTGGTTTAACTACCGTTTTAGTTGATGGTTTAGTTCCTGGTTTTGATGTCGGTTTAGCTGGTGGCTTAGATGTTGGTTTTTCTGTCGATTTTGATGTTGGTTTAACTCGTGGCTTCGCTACTGATTTTTTTTTGGCTTAGATGTTGGTTTGGATGTTGGTTTAGTTTTCGGTTTAGATATCGGTTTTATTGCCGATTTACTTGTCGCTTTAGCTGTTGGTTTAGTTGTCGGTTCATCTGGAATGGCACCTCCAGCTGGTGCGGCTCCACCCGATGCATCTCCAAACGGTATGTCTCCAATCGGTGGTGCGGCTCCACCCGATGTGGTTCCAACCGGTGCGGCTCCAACCGGTGATGTTCCACCGGATGTATCACTAACTGGTGTGGTTCCTCCAACTTATGAGGCTCCAACCGGTTCGGCTCCTCCTGGGGCGGTTCCAACCGGTGGGGCTTCAACCGATGCACTTCCAACTGGTGCGGCTCCACCCGATGCATCTCCAACCGGTGCGGCTCCAACCGGTGTAGCTCCATCTGGTGTAGTTCCACCCGGTACATCTCCACTCGGTGCATCTGCTCCACTTGGTATCAATCCTGGAATTTTTGGTGGGTCCTTCCCAGTAATTTTCCTAGACACAATTGAATATACATGCATGGTTATCAAAATCAGGTTACCAACGTTTAGTAACTTGGCTCAAAATTGTTCGCCACCTAACAACTTTAACTATAATCTGTACGAGACTGTATTTATGACAATGCACACAGATAGATGCTCCAAATGGCAATTGAAAACAAAAATTGGACGATATAAAACGAAAGTTCGATGATTGTGTTTTATTTCCATATATATTTACCTGATTCCTCCATAACTTGTTTTTTAAAGTCGCATAATTTATTTATAGTAAGCCTAATTTTGTTTTTCTCTAGCGAGTTACATTTTATTTCCAGTAGCTTGTACTATAATAAATGGATAATTTTCTTAAAGTTCTTAACCTTTGCTTCATAATTTAATGGTGTTTGGTGTGATCATATATATGCTTTATCATTATTTAAGACATAAAATCATCCCTCCCTGTATCTTGAACTTATGATCTTGAGTATATTCGGAACCACTAGCTATGTTAATAACACTAAATTTTTAAGAAATAAAATTACTTGTAGAGTCACATTAAAACCAGATACTCGCATTTGCTAATATAATGAATGTGTTTGTGAGTCAGTGTTAATTACTTGTAGAGCCAAATTAAGATGGTGAGAACGGTCACACCCGAGGTGCCTCCGACCATCAAACCGGAAGCAAGAACAGTGGCGGTAATACCGGCCGGTACGAGAATCGGGCTGAATAGGAGGAACAGCGGCATGGAGGCTGCCACGGCTGTGCCAACTAGGGATAGACCGGCCAGTAACAAGAGGAACACTGCGGCTGTGGTGGCGAAAAAAGCCGTCATAAGACCCTTAAGCGTCGGCCTTTTGGTTCGTACTATTACTTTCTCGCGTTTTTTCTTTCGGAACAACATTTTTAATGGCCAGAGGAAAATTATAATACTTGTTTTATCGGATGGTTGTGGGATCTCATGAGTTATGAGAATGGATTTTATGAATAGAGAAATTATAGATGGATGGTCTACGTGCACGCAACGGCACGTGCTTACCCCATGCGTAACGATGCGAGTGACTGTTGAACTCTACGTCACCTCGATGCCTCTTCTTCTTCTTCTGTTGGGTACGTTGCCACATTTTTTGGGCCTTTATTCTCTTTTTTTCTCTGGCTTTCTTGTAAGATAGTTGTGGGTATTTTGGTTTACTTTCGGATTTTGTTTGACTAGTTTAGTTTTCCATAATAGTATATGTTTTGAATTACAAGTGTTATACCACAAAGTCAAATTTGATTTGGTTAGAGTTAGATTCTGGTGTGGTTTTGATAAAGTTTGTTACGTTTGTAGCTTACATGTGTTTAAATTTCCATATGGTAAGTAGTCTAGCTAATTGAACTGTTAAGGTTGAGTGGTTAAGTAAAAAGGCTTTGATCAGAATCATCATTCTTTTTTTTTTTGCTTTTACTCAGAATGATCAGGCTTTGATCAGAATCATCATTCATAAACCACATAGAACATAACAGATGATAGATCATATTACCAAAGAAAATAACTTCATTAACTGTGAAGTGAATAAAGAATCAAATGCTTTAAGAACAAATCCATAAACCAAAATCAAAACTCCTATTAGTAATCCCTTTCAACAAAATGAAAAATTACAGAATCAGTAAGCTTCTGTCAATGTTCATGTTCCACCACCCAGAAGCTTTTACTTTCGTTCTCAACTGGCTTTAGCTATATGAACAAAAAATGTTTGTGTCTATAAGAGGAAGAAACAAAAATAAAAAGTTTTTCCAAATCATTTCACTTCCATTGTTTGAGAATTCAGCCGAAATTTTCATACTTTTGTTCACAATTGGAGAGAAGAAGACGAAAAGTTAATAATAATACAAATAGGAGAGGAGGAGCATCACTACTATTTCATTTTTTTCAGCCAATCAGAAGGCTCTATTTCATACCCACTCGCACAAAGTGCGCGTTGTGCGAGTGTATGCAATTCCTGTGGACTATATAACCCCCAAAATCGTGCCTATTTGATTCAACGCACTTATTTCTGAAAAACTCATCGCGTGACTTTTTTTTAACTTTTTTTTTCCTCAAAACCTTATTTTATTTCCAATGTAAACCGAACCAACATTAATCGTAATTTCCAATGTAAACCGAACCAAAATTAATTGGAAATATAAAACCGACCAAAATTAATTGATTTATACAGTAACTTGTAGTAAATCAAAGTTCCTGTCACTCGAAGTTGCATAACTTAAGAAAGAAAAATATGCAGAACAGAGAGAAACATACACTGCATCTCTTTATGCTCTGTGTTAACACATATAAAACCCATTTCGATCAAAAACTTTTTTAACAGTTATCATCGATTGGGAGCAAGTCAGTGTAGAGCTCTCCATAGAATCTAGTCACAAGATACAATATAGGGCTATTCAGGTTCTTCCAATAATAGGCCTATTCAGGTTTTCTATATATATATATGTATTTTATTGCTGTATTCCATATAAGACCCTTTTATGATATTTTACTTGCAAAAAAAAGAAGTACATTATTATTTTGTTCTACCTGAAGCTACTTACAAAAATTAATAGTCTAGGTAACGATATTCAATTATGAACATAAAAAAGGTGATTAAGATATCATTGAGATCCAATAATGGATGATGGCGCAAATAAGACATCCCTCCAAACCAATCATCATATATATTGTATGTTCTTATTTTGTGTATAATATTTATGAAAAAGGAGGGTGTGGATTAGGTTTAACTGTTTGTGGAGTCCTCCTATACAAAATTAATTAACAATAACAAAAAAAAATCAAGTTGCTGCAAATCAGATCCCACAAGGAGAGAGAGGCCTACCAAGGTGAACAACTTGATTGTGCTGTCTAATTTTGCTCTTTTTATAATACAATACAATACATCTCTTTTGGGAATACACCTAGCTAGTTCATATGAGCTTTCGGAAGCCAATCCCAATGTGATACGTCGACGTTGTTTCTATTTCCCGAACTAAAAAAAGTATAAACTATTCATTGCCTAGCTAGTCTCTCAACAAATACTTTGTCCTTACTCTTTAATAATTTCATGTTTACAAAGAAATCAGTTTTAAATATAAAAAATTAATAATCACTATAATGAGTATCTCGATCTTTTATACTTAAAGGTCACAATTACAGAAAACCGAATTCACGTTCGTTATACAGCTATATTATGTATATGATTATTTGATCAAGTGCATGGTAACGGAGAGTTTCAAGATAAAAGTTGTAAAGTTGGGTAAGTACGGCTACCTAGTTCAAATCAATATTTTTACAAGTAATCCTTATGATATATATCAAATAATAAAAATTAACCTAAGTAAATGCATATTTAGTTGCTATCAAGGTTTGATTTTTGATGAATTTTTCTTTCACGTGCAAAGAATTTTTACGTTGGAAACACATCATAGCAACTTCATAGCGTGACTTGGTCTTATCTTTGAATATAAATTAAGAAGAGTGGAAATATGGAGTTCCAAATACAGTTTTTTAAATAATTTTTTTGTCTTTCATTTATTCTACTTCTACATAAGAAACAAAAAACAAGTAAGAACAAAATTACGTGACTTGGTGTAAAAACAGAAAATCTGTATTCGAAAGGAATATATCATCACTATGCATAATACCAATAATTATAATTTTCTAATATAAACAATAATAATAATGGGATATTAGGAAAAAGAAAAGAAAAATAAATACGCAATGCCGTTGAGAATCAATAATGGTTTTTTATTGTTATTTTAGGAGTCAGCATCAAGAGGTAAAAGACAAGCTGGGCATTAAAAATGAGAAGATTCATCAATCGTTAGAACCAAAATGTAAAAAAAGCTTTAGCTTTTGCTTTGGTTATAGTTTTTTGCAGTGTGGAAGTGTCACGTCACAGGTCACACACACAACAACTTGGGGTGAAGAAGGTCCTTGTAAAAAAGTTGGACGTTGTCTTCATAAATTTGTATTAATTGAATCATACTTATGGCCCATCTCTAAAAACCACTAAGAGAGCGACAAAACCAGAGTTTGTATCTGTCCCTACTCCATCCATGGCTGCTAAAACCTTGTGATTACCTTCTTGTCTCCTTCCTCTTCTCTTTCCCTCTTTTATATAACAACCAAACTATCAGAGCTTTTGTTCAATCATCACTTCTCTCTCTCTCTCTCTTTCCTCTGTCAAAAGAAAATCATGGCGACTATTGAGGAAAGCTCTGATTTGGAAGCTATGCAGAAGCATCTCTTTGAAGACTTTCTGGTATCTGATGGTTTCTTGGGAGATTTTGACTTTGATGCTTCTTTTGTCTCTGGACTTTGGTGTATAGAACCTCAGGTCCCTAAACAAGAACCTGATTCTCCAGTTCTTGATCCGGACTCTTTCGTCAACGAGTTTCTGCAAGTGGAAGCCAAATCATCACCAGAACTGAATACATCATCATCATCAACATACGAGACTGATCAGTGTGTGAAAAAGGCAGAGAGGTTTGAAGAAGAAGTGGAAACGAGACATTACAGAGGAGTGAGACGAAGGCCCTGGGGGAAATTTGCGGCAGAGATTCGAGATCCGGCAAAGAAAGGATCAAGGATCTGGCTTGGAACATTTGAGAGTGATGTTGATGCTGCAAGAGCCTATGACTGTGCAGCTTTCAAGCTCCGGGGTAGAAAAGCCGTGCTCAACTTCCCTCTTGATGCCGGGAAATACGAAGCTCCGGCGAATTCAGGAAGGAAAAGGAAGAGAAGTGATGCCCAGGAGGAGCTTCAAAGAACTCATAGCAACTCATCTTCATCGTCCTGTGATGCATTTTAACATTTTAAGAGTGTGAGCAGTTTCCTTAAGTTGTATAAATTAATTGCACAAAGGAACCGAACTGTGTAGATTAGTGTGCCTTGCAACAAATGTGTATGGCTGGATGTTCTGTTACTTCATGTCCCTAAGATTTACTTCTTATTGCTAAGATTGTTATTAAGTTCCATAACTCTAAATAATCTTAACTAGTGAGGTCAATGGTTCATGAAACAGTTAAGGTTTCAATCAGTCAATCACACACATAGAAACTTCACTGAAACAGCTTCAACAAGTGAGTGTACCTAATAATGTTCTCACAAGAGGAGAGAGTAAGGAGAATATCAAGATGGCAAAGGTGCATGAATGTAGTAGCAAATATTTGTCTCATAAGTTAGATACAAGTCAGCACCCATGGACCACACAAGCTACAGAGTACAGAGAGTTAAAAGAGAGATGCACAACTTGCAAGTGCTGCAGAATAAACAGAGCAGAGATATTTATCTAAAATATCTCCTTATCCTTGTTTCTACTCTATGGTTGAGTATTAAAAACACTAAAAAACCAGAATACCATTTTCTCAATCTGTCTGGTTTCCTAGTTTCATTGATATTTTTATGAGATTTTTTCGTGTTTATTAAACCCTTACTGGGTGGAGGAATCCCAAGGCCAAAATGGGATCTATATACATATATACATAGAACAAAATGAGATATCTTATATACATATGTCACTTTACATCCATAGTGAGCTAACCTGTAATTAGATTGAAGAAATGTCTTCGAGGGTTGACTGAGTTGTCAATGCAAGGCCCACCGTATTGGACTTATTGGTCACCGCAAGACCAAACTTGTCATACACTTACAAATCATGGCATATACCAGAATATCCATTGGTTCATGGAAAATAGCATAACACTCTACTCTAATCACTCATTCTCCACAGTTCCAACGAAATACCTAAAGAAACTCAATCATATCTATCTCACTTAAAACGATGATCACGGGATCAATAATATAAATACTTTCATTTTACCAGAAAGTGTTATATAGTTGAAAGGAGTATGAGAGATCTTCAGTTTAGCATCTATCTGTGTTTCCAGAATCGTAATGCATCATTAACTTTCAAATCAGAGTTTGGAAGATACCTATGTACTTCATATGGATCACCATTTCCTCAGCATTTATATAAACGATCCTGTACCATTATGATTAAGAAAACACGTATTGATCAAAATCCCATGCTGATCATCAAGATACACATCCAAAAACCTGTTCCACAGATATTGAAGAGTTTCAGTATATACCTTTCTTGAGTCGACCATAGCCTATTTCCTGAAATGAGAATTTCATTTTGTTGGGTCAAGAAGAAAACTTCTTTATACATTGAAGATATAGTTAACCATCACTACATAGCCGCAAGAAATAAAAACACTCCTAAAACTGAAAGACAAAAGGCTGGAACTTTTACAAACAAAAAAACCCCATGAGGAATCTTCAGTCATCAGAGCTGTAGTCGCTGGACTCAGGTAGAGACGGGACAGTGGCACAACAGAATGCATCTTTGTCTTTTAGAAGGAGACAGCTTCCATCAATGTTCCATTTGAGGTCAGATATGGAGAAGCCTGGGAGGGGGTTGCATACACAGAACGCACCAGAGGGAGTCCACATGTAAAGGTGAGAGCTTCCAGTGCATAGGAGGAGGCGTGTGCAGGTTGGGTCCCACACAGCGGCTCGTATAGGTTCCTTCTGGACCAGGATGGCTGCAACCTCAAGGTGGCGCATGTCCCATATCCACAGAGCAGTGGGCATACTGTCGTTTCGTGTGCATATGTACTGGCTGTCTTTGCTCCAAGCCAGAAGTCCTGAGAACATTTTGAAAGAGTTTAGCTTTTGGAACTTAAAAGCAAGAAGGATATTTCCATATCTGATTGCAGTTTCTGAGGTTGCATTTGGTCGCAGAAGAAAGAGCTTACCGACTCCTTGTTTTGGGTTAGGCTTGTCTGCAGGAGGTTTCTGGAAAGGAAAAGCTACCGGTAATTCCATGACTTCATACCTGACACTTATATAGCCTTCTGAAGCATCTGGACATAGAACCACAGAAGAAAACAAGATAAAATTACAAACAACAAGAGTGATACAGAAGTTTTCCTTATCAGACAAGAACAGGTTTGGAATCGTTCTTACCATAATTGCTTGGCATAAAGTTTTCATCCAATGATAATTCAGACATATCAAGCTGTAAGGGTTCATCGATCTCCTAAAAAAAGTAATGTCCAATAGGTTAAATACACACGCCTGAGCTGACATCGCATTGTCAGGCTTTAGAAACTCGTTATTAGAGGGTAGAATGGGCAATACCTTGAAAATAGCAGCAGAACAGGGCGCACGAACCGTTGATAGGTGTAAGAACTCGGCGAATGTTTTCCAAGTAAGGTGATTCAGGACCCGCAACATCTGATCGTAGCTACCAATGGCAAGAAACTGACCACACGGAGACCAGGAAACAGTCTTCACACCAAGTCCACATTCATATGCCTGATACTTAAATAGACACCTACCATCTGGAGAATAGATTAGAACCTGCCCAAAGGTTTACAACTTTAGAGAGATTCCCGACAAACCAAACATAACAGAATTTAAAATAGCCAGGTAAGAAACTAACTAAAAATAGCAACAAAACGATACATACCTTATATTCAAGAGGAGAATCCCACACTACAATAGAACTATCATCAGGTGACCACTCAAGATCAGCCAAGTCCAAGGTGTCAACAGCAAAGCTCCCCATTATCTCCCATGATTGACAAGACAAAAGGTTAACATAATCCTTGCAATCACGCCGCGTACAGATTGCTGCAAACTTCCCATCTTGATTAAATGAAACTCCCTTCGAACCATGCCTTGGCCACTGAACATGAACACACGCCGTGTTCAAAAGGGACCAAACTGTTAACCTTAGCTGAAACTCCGACGTAGTGAGTATGTGACGGCTGTCGGGACTCCACCTAGCGTATGAAATACCAGCAGGACCTTCATCAATCTTGCAAGTCCATTCTGGTTGTGTCAATGACCAAGCTTGAATCATGGGTTTTTTATAGAGACCACAAAGAATGTACTCAGAATCAAGAGCCCATTCTATGTAGCTTATTTTATCTAAGCAAGAAAACAATTGCACAACCTGCATTTACATCCACAACATATTCATTGGAGATTAGTAAATAGACACCAAAAAAAAAAAAAAAAAAAAAATCAACGACATTATCATCATCCTTATCTCTAAGGTTCCAATTCCCAAAATTTAGCAAACCCAAGTTAAGTATTACCCGAATTAAGCACAAGATCTAGTTGCATTTGAACATTAGAAAAAAGTAAGATCCAAAAATCTCCTAGCTAAAATTTTCATTCTAATCAAAGGGTTTAGGTGGATTAACTACCAAATCGAACTAGTTTATACCTGAAACGAAAACGTATCACGGATCACGAGACGATAATCATTAGCGACGGCGAGGTAACGAGAGTTGGGGGAGAAACAGCAAGGACCTGTTTGCTTGTACGGCTCCGTGAATTCCATATTTGAGTACTATGCAAAGAGATGCTGCCAGAGGAGAATAGTACTCAAATGTCTTTGATCTTTGATAATCTAAGCTCCTCGATTCATAGTGGTGGGAGAGTACTGCGAGAGAGCCATGGAGAAAAACAATTTTGAAAATTGAAAGGCAAGAGAGATGAACGAGTTGTTTCAAGTCGGGTCGGGTCCGGTGGGTTGCGGGTATGGCTTTCAGGTTATACTGGGCCTAAGGCCCATTCTTCATTAACTCGTTTCTTAGATATGATAAATTAATAATATAGCCTTATTTAACAAACACCATGCCGTTCGTAATAACTACAATACAACATTTTGCCGGTTTACTCTAACACAACTTGATCTCGTTTGTTAAAGCGTTTGGTAAATTTTCTCGTTAGTTTTTTTAACTTTTGAAACACGTTAACCTTAATTAATCTGTTGTTTAGTTGAGATGCATTCAACATGAATTATTTATAAAAACAAAAATTAAAACGTTTCATAGATTCTTACAACTTTTTTTTTTTTTTTAAATGTAGACTTTCACTTTTATTATATTTTTTAAAAAGTTTTTTTGGATAGGATATTGAATTTAAACACAATATAAATCTGCTACAAGTTGGAACAGCTCGACCAATGCCGTTTACCCCGGGGGTTTTGGTGCGGGTGCCGCTGCGGGTGCGGGTGTACTTGCTGCGGGTGCCGGTGGTGCAGCTGCTGGTGCGGGTGTACTTGCTGCGGGTGCCGATGAACTTCCACCGGCCGATTTATCTCCAAAGGATCCAGTAAAGGTTTTTCCTCCCCAAGATGCAGTCCAAGTTCCTCCATAACTAAAATTTGACATAGCTTGCAGTGATGAACCTCCTCCCCAAGATCCTTTAAAATTTCCTTCATAGTTAACCTTTGGCTGGAGTGAAAACAGAGTTTTGGCTGGCGAACTTCCTCCAAACAGCTTTAGTCCCATCCTGCGTCTACACACACACTTGTCATCGTTTAATTCAATATTTCAAAAACAAATAAAATTGTTACCAAATTATCATATAGACTAATCCATGTGCACGTTATATATAAGCATAAATCTCGAGTGATTTCAATATACTTTGTTTGATGTTAGTTAATGAGCCACCTGATGAGAGCAACAGCCATCGCTCCTAGGGTGCCGCCCGCCGTGAACCCTGAGATTAAGACAGCAGTGGCTATCGTGGCTGGTACGAGAATCGGACTGAATATGATGAATAGGGGTGAGGTTATGGTTAATGCCGCGGCTGAAGCAGCGAGTGTTAGACCTGCTAAACCTAAGAAGACTATAGAGGCCACGGCAGCGATAACCACCTGAAAAACCTCCGACAGTGGGTTGAGAAAAGAAAACATATTGTGATAAATGTTAAACTTGGATCACTAGATTTGTTTTGATAGAGTCTTTCGGCTCATACTTGTTATCGGATGTTTCTTTGGGATCTTACATGCATCTACGTCACGTTACATTAGCTTTCTTTTGCTTACTTCTTTTTCTTTGGGTTGTCATGTTTTTTGGACCCTTCTTTCTTTCTTGTAAAAGTTCAAACATTAATTGTCGTGTTGCAACACGTCTATGGTTAGAACATCCTAGACTAGGTGCTTCTAGATATAATCCAAGGAGGCAAGATTTTACAGAAGTTAGATATCAGTGTGCTTGATGTTATTCGATTTTTCCAGGAGTAAGTAAAGTTTTCATGCTTTGTTGTTGAGTAGCATATGATAACTTCAATCGTAACGATGTCATACACTGTTTCAAATAAAGTTATATTTCACTAAGCATTTTAACTGATTCTTGATATTCATTGGTCTTGCAGCTTCGAGATAGGCAGATGGCAAATTTTTTTTAAAACTGAAGTTTCAAAAGAAAACAGATTTTGTGTATTAGTCATTACATAAAAGCCTTGCAAGTTGTAAGATCAGGTCAATGTCAACGAAACTCAAAGATTATTTGATAATCAAAAGCTTCCTCCTCAATCTTCTTGACTAAAGAAAAAACAGAACATGATACACACCCTTAACTCTCTTTATAATCCAACACCAGAACCTCTCTTCTTCTTCACTCCAATATACTCTAAACCAGATTCTACTTCTTAAAAGCCACTCTCTAGCTATGTCTTCTTGTTCAAGAACGAGAACAAAAGCTCCAAGATCGGCCAGAGGCCACAGAAATGGCCGTTTCTCTTCTTCATCGGCTACAATTGTGGCAGAGATCGACGATATCTTGATTCAAATTCTCTCTTTGCTTCCAATCAAAACCCTTTTAAGATCCAAACGAGTATCCAAACGCTGGTTTTCTCTCATTACAAATCCTGATTTCTCCAACCGTGTCATCAAGTCCAACCACCCCTTGCCCGTTTCTGGCTTTTTCTTACATTTACCAAGAGCCATCATGTATAGTTTTGTCTCTCTTGATGGTGATGATGACGCAATCAACCAACGGATCTCATCATCATTACCTCTCTGGTTTACAGATCATTCAACAGATATGATCATAATGCAATCAACCAATGGCCTTCTCCTCTGCAGATGCGCTTGTGCTTCTTCTAACCAATTCAAAACAAATTACTATGTTTACAATCCGACAACGAAACAATACACTCTTCTCCCTCCCGTGACCACAGGTTACATCACACTCTCTCTAGCCTTTGATCCTTCTACATCTCCACACTACAAAGTCTTTTGCTTCAGAACAAGAAGTATGACCTCTTTCTCCTTCAGCATAGAGGTTTATTCTTCCAATGAAGGTCATTGGAAGAGACTTGTTTTGGTTCCTTCATCTCCTTCACCCTTTGTAGAGTACAAAGACACAGTCTTTTGGAATGGCGCGGTTTACTGCTATGGTCCAGGCACAATAGATTGCATCTCTTTTGATTTCAGTCAAGAAGAAACAAAGATTCTTCCTCTCCCTAATCTTGACCATGAAGATGGGGAGCCGCTACCTGATCCCGGGACATTGAGGTATTTGGATGAATCCGGGGGATATCTTTACTTTGTTGAGGTAAATGATCAGGGTTCGTCAGATTTACCGGTTTATGAAATGGAAAGAAACAGCTCAAGCTGGTCCCTGAAGTATATTGTTGATTTGGAGCCTCTTGCAGCCGCTTTCCCCGAGATGATCAGAACCGAATACTACACCAATAGGCGGATATACGCGTTCTCTGTCATCGGTTTTGTAAAGGAAGTGACAGATGCCGAACCATACATTGTGCTTCACATTCCAAACAAGGCTGTAAAATACAACTTCATAAACAAGACTTTCAAGAAACTTTGCAATTTCAAGCCATTGGTCAATGATGCTCCTGAGGAAGCGTTTTACAGATTCCAAAAGACTTTCCAGTTCATTGAGTCTCTTGCTAACGTCTAAGAGTAGTTCATTCCCCCTCCCCGGGAAGCCGAACAATTTATCTTTGAAATGCATCCTTATGTAAAAGCTTTTATATCAGATGAGATATTTACTTCTATCAGAAACCCAAACGTGGCCAATCATTCTCAAATTCTTCTAGCATTTCCTAATCTCTTCGAGTTTCCTCAAGACTTGCTTGATGTTTGGCCTAAGAGAAGGCGAAGGAGAGCAACAAGACATTGCAAGCTGAAAATACTTGAGGACACGTTCTTCACTCAGATTAGCATCACTCCTGAGAATCTCAGGACGGTATAAATCAGACAACCTATGATCAAGAACCGCATTCCTCATGAAATCAGGAAGATAGAACTCATCATCCCCCGTTGGATTCTCGTTTATCGGTTCTTTACCAGAGACTAGCTCAAGCATGATCACACCGAGACTATACACATCACTCTCTATGCTCACTTCCTTCATCTTTATCAACTCAGGAGCTTTGTATCCTTCAGCTGCAGAAACATCAAGAATCTCTTGTCCTGCAGCTAAGTTCAAAAGCAAATGCAAACCGAAATCAGAGATTCGAGGTTCGAAACTCGGACTCAGAAGAACGTTCTTGGTTTTCAGATTGCCATGGACGATTGGTTTTTGCATTCCTGTGTGGAGATGATCAAGAGCTGTAGATATTCCAATTGTAATGCTTAAAATGTTGATCCATTTTTTAGACTCATCATCTCCACCTGCCAAACACAAGGAATTGCTGAGTTTGATGTTCTTGAGAATAACTTTTATCTTCTTCTTCAAGTTTCTTACTTTTGAAGTAAAAAGAAGTGGAAAGTGACAGAAAATACAACAAAAATAGTACCGACAAAAGACAAAGACTATCATCATCATCATACCTAAATATTGAAAAAGCTTGGCAAAGAAAAAACAATATTTAAGACAAAACAATGAAAGACTGAATTAAATGGTCCAGCTAATGAGTTTTAGTTCCAGCTGTGTGGTTCTCTGTCATATTTGCAAACTTATATTCCTATGAGTATATTTATTATGAGATATCATAAACATGGAAATGGTAAAATTATTCCTTAGAGGTTTCTTAACCATTTTTCCCGGGAAAATAGAATCTCATAGATTCTGTTTTTGTTCCCCCGGAAAACCTATAAAACAAGTGACAACGAGATTCCATTGGAGTGGAGATTAAAGAACCAAAAAGTTAAAAGAAAAAATCTTTACTTTTTGTCGGAAAAAAAGAAAAAGTTTGGTCCTTTTTTTTTTCTTGAGAAGATTAGAGAAGAAAGAAAAAAACAAAGACTTACTTCGGATGAACTCAGAAAGATTCCAAGAAGCAAAGAAAGGATGAACCATAAGCTTCTCTCCTCTGTTTCCACCATAGAAACCTAACAAAGGAACCAAATTCTCATGTCGAACGAACCCAAGCGTCTCAATGACACCTTTAAACTCCTTAGAATCCGATCTCACTGTACAAACCGGTCTGAGGAACCTAAGAACTCTAGTCTTGCCGCTACGTTGCAGAGAAGCTTTGTACAGAGTACCGTAGCTTGATTTACCGATGACTTCTCCTGGAGCATCGAGTATATCGCAGATCGTGAGATCTTCTCCGCCTTGGAACGTTACGAGCTCCTCTGTTCCAGAAGAATGTCCTTGTTTGTTGTGGTCGAGTGACTCGACGTCGTATTGATCTGATTCAGTAGATGATGATGATGAGGATACTTTTCTTCTAAAGAAGACGATGAACAAGATTACAATCAAGAATGCTGATAGAGATACTCCTAGTAACAATGTTAGAAGTTGAGTTTTTCTCATCTCATCAAGAATTTGGAATCTGGATGTGTTTGAGAGAGGTGTTTTTTTCTTCTGTAGAAAAAAAAAAAGGTATTTGTGTTAGGAAATGAGAAAATGTATTTTGATTGATTAGAGAGTAGAACTGTGAGATTTGGCAGGAAATACAAGAAACAAAAAAGTCTGAGAAAAGAAAAGGAAACTGTGGAATTTATTGTTCACAGAGAAAAGAGAGAAAGAGTGATGGTGATGTGAGATTATGAATAAGAAGAAGAAGAAGTTCAGAGAGGAGGACAGATCTAAGAATATCTTTTTTGTTTTTTATTTTTTATTTCTTTCCTTGTATTGTATCAATGTTGACTTTATGATTTCTTTCATCTTTGGCTTCTACGGGTCTATTATGTATATATATATGTACCTGCATGTGTACATACATATATGCAAAATATCATAATTCATTCCAATGTTTACTGTACTTTACTCTCGAGTTCTCAACCAATTAATTATGACCTAATTATTTCACATTGTTCCCAGTAAACCATGAAACGTTTGAGAGTATTCTGATCAGTTCAGGTTGTATTTCGAGTTTAGAGTTGTGTAGTAGATATCATAAAAAACTTTTGGTTCGGTTCTTTCAGTTTCAGAATTTTTAAGACTTTTATACAAAAAAATAAAAATACTGTTTGAAAAAGTTCATACTAACAATTTTCTTAGCAAAAGAAAAAGTTAATAATACATTATTACGAAGTTTTTGGTACTCATTTTTCATATAAATAGACTGAAAACTCACAAATTATGTTAAGAAAGAGTGACTGGCACAAAATGATCACAAACGTAATTTTAGTCATAAGTAAAATTTATTTTGGGAAAAATGATATCTCGAGTATCACGTTTTAATGAGTTTCTTTCAAGGTAAATATTATGGGCGAGCGTGGTAATTAATTCTAATGATCTAACAAAATAAAATAAAATTAAAGAACGTTGAAAGTGGTGATAATTAATGTTGGGTTTGACTAGTGATGGTAGTTGAAGTGCGTGGGGATACATCTTCATATCCTTTGATTGCAAGTTTAGAGTCTGAACTGGTGGACTGAAGAAGAAATTCAAAATATGTGAATTGGGAAGCATTTTGTTGCTATGACTTTTTTTCTGCTTTTCAGATGAATGTTTTTATCTCGTTATTGTTGATTGGTGAGAATAAAGAAAATAACAAGAGAACCTGTATAGTAGTAATATTTATTTCCTGCTAGAAATATTGACCAATCAGAATTTTAGTTATTTTATTGATTTAAAAAGGAATTATAAACTATTTTCACAATAATAATAAATAAACGTTTTCTTTGATAGATTTTGTAACGCAAAAATCATATATGTATAATTTTGTGTTTGGAGCAAAAAGATCTAAAAGTAAAATCTGTTGAGATTTTGACAGTCGACATCACGACTAATCTCTTTTGTTAGCTTTAAGCTTGTCTCTTTAATTCCTTTAATTAGACGGTTGAGTGTTGACATGAATGAATGATCACGAAGTTAGTCCACTTCATCTAACTAACGGCTCCAAGTCACCCATTTTTTCTCAACATTTGGATTCCACTAGTATATCACACATCATCATTATATATCATAATCTCATATGTATTCAGATTTACCTTAATCCTACAAAATTTCGGGAATCCTATCCTATTATTTCATAGATAACAATAAAAAGCCAATGAGCCTACGTCCACCTTCTAATAATGGTGTCTAATATATTGTGGTAATCAATGAAATGACTACAAAAGTAAAATTGTATTAAGGGGGATCGGAGGGTTAAATCCATTTCAGAAGGTGAAACATATGGTTTTTCTTCGGCATTACCTTTTCGATTAGACTTATTCAGTTGGACCATTATAAAAACGAATATTTATACCTATATTACACACTACTCTATATTATATATTAAGTACATGGGCCAAAATAAAATTAATGGATGAGGCTGGCACATAATATACATACTGAAACTGACGTTGGTCGGCGGTTTCATTTTATGGTCCCAATGTGATATACATATATATGTAAGGAACTCCTAACAAGAGAATTCAAAAACATATGTAATTCGTACTCTACATGTTACTATATGACATGTGAGCGCAATATATTAGTAGATGAGAACTTGGCTGATCAATAGATGGAACTTTATATTTTTCACTTTATTTCAGGTATGTCAAGTATTACCAAACTTGTGTATAACTGACTAGCTAGCTATATGAATATGACAACGTCTCTGACTCATCCATTGCATTCAGTTTCAAGTTGTGACGAACTGAATCTTTCTTTTGCTTGCCTATGTCTTTTACTTAAACTGTGTTGCATCCTCAAGAATATGTTACTGCATCCTAAACTTGTAATGAAAGATATTAATTAGTCAAGATCATGCTCGTAAAACGGATACCATAGAATCCCATCTGGCATCCGTGGTAAATTCGATGAGAATTTCGTCTGCTGTGAATCTGATCTTAACATGTTGTGGAGTTGTTAGAGTGACACGTTAGTGTAGTTTGGTTTGTTTCAATAACTTCAAAGTTCAAAAGAAAACACAAAAAAGTTCACAATTTAAATTTTAAAAAAGGTATATAACCTTAATACTCAGTCTATAAGCAAAAGGTCAGGTTGGCCGAGTGGTCTAAGGCGCCAGACTCAAGTTCTGGTCTTCGAGAGAGGGCGTGGGTTCAAATCCCACATCTGACATATTTTTTTTCTCTTTTACCCAATTATTTTAAAAGAAAAATCCCCAAATCAAATCAAAACCCTAAAAAACAAAAATCGAAGATTATCTGTGTGTTTGTGATCAGATAGTCAGAGCACATAGCTCAATGTTTTAATCCATTCTTTGAAGTCATGATCCTTTCAGATTAAAGTCACTTCGATTCGTGCAATAGAGTCGTCGTTAACCCAAGGAACTTTTGAGTTCTGCATTCTCCAAAAATGGCTACCAATAGTGACAAAGTTAATCTCTCGCGCACGTTCAAGTATTTACTAGGTTCGTCTTCATTGTGTGTTTCTTATTTCACTTTATTTTCCCGGAGATTTTGCTTTTAATTAGGTTTTTTCCCCGTTTTCTTCTTGATTAAATTTTGGAATTAGCTACACAGTTTATATCCAGAAGCATCCCCTTCATATTCAATTCATGGATCGTGAGGCATCTCACCGAAAAAGACTATGCGGTAACGAATCCTTGTTTTACCAGTCCAATGTATATATATGTTCTTTGATTTTCGCCAATGTATGTGATTTTGGTTTGTTCCTGTATTTGTATGCATTGAGTATAGTAAAGATTGTTTTTTTTTTTGTTTTGGTATCATATTTGCCAAGTAGCAAAAAACTTGTATAGTTGGGTTCAGGAATCCTAGATGTGGTTGTAATTGTATGGACTCTTAGGTGTGCGTGGAAGCTAATTGTGAAGTCATGTCTTTTAAGTTTTAGTTATGCTTGCTTTTTACTGGACTTTTCATTGCAGTAGCTACGTGGATGATGTTTTCTTCTTTCAGTAATTTAATGGTTTTGTTTTTTAAGCTCGATCTATCTTCTCTCATTGGAATGCAGCTATACGCAGTCCAGTTCCATCTTTTTGTTACTTGTGTCTTGTTTCTCAGCCGGGAGGGATTCCGGCGTGCTTGTTTGCGGGCTGACATTAACAGGTATGCATAAAGCAGTTTGCGCTGATCTCCGTCACATAACCGGTTCATGACTTTGTTTTCAGTCAGTGATATTCCTTAATTTTCCTGCTGCAGTGATGGTCTTGGGTCAGTGGAAAATGTGACTAGGCTATTGAAAGTAGCATGGATGACTTTTCCACTCGGAATAGCCATTACTATTGCAGCATCCGTTTTTGTGTTATGGTGGCAGAACCTTAGTTACTCCGACCCATATGCACAGGCTATCTTGATTCATGGTACATTGTTGTGATTTTCTGTGCCTTATTCATACTTCTTTTCCTTACAGCCTTGAGATTTGGAAGTTTGTGTTTTTCAGTCACTTACTTGGGATTTTTTTCTTCTTCTTCTCTAATTTCTCCATTGATTCCTCTCGTTCTTTCCTAAAATATTTTTCATTTTTTCATAGTAGTCCAAATATACATACTGATGCATAGTCTGATAAACCTACTTAAACGTGGCAGGATTTGCGTGTGTACTGGAGCTAATAGCCGAGCCTTTGTATATCCTCTCTCAGACATTGCTGAGACTAAGGTTACGCCTCATTGTTGAGACTGTCGCTACAGTTGCACGCTGTGTAACTCTGTGCTCTCTCTTAGTTATGCAGACCAACATGGTACAGATCTTGTACCATTTCATTTAACTTTGAGCAAGAGAAAGCTTATATGATTAATTGAAAATCTAATTATCTTCAATCTTTGTAGGAAAAAGTGATAATCTTTGCACTGTCACAAGTTGCATATGGAGGTTCCTTATTTCTTGGGTACTGGGCTTATTTTCTAATTTGTGGTGTTTACAGAAGTTCAGATCTCTTTCCTTTCAGGTATGAGTGCTCTATTATTTGATCTCCTTGCCAACATTCTTAATTCTTGATATGTTCTAACCAACTCATTCATCCCCAATAATGTTCAACAATTTTTGTGATGTCACAGACCTGGGAACCTAATGAATTTCGATAGGCAGCTCTCAAACATGAGTATGCTATTTACTTTTCAGTCCTTCCGGAAATTGATCCTTCAAGAAGGTGAAAAGTTGGTCCTTGTATGGTTAGATACACCTTATAATCAGGCTGTATATGGGATCGTCGACAAACTAGGCAAGTCTCGTTAATGAAAAAATGCAAATAAGCTATAGCTACAAAGGTTGCCTGGAAATGTTTCTTACACAATTTCTAAAACTCCAGGAAGTTTAGTTGTACGCATGGTGTTTCTTCCTTTTGAAGAAAGTTCATACGCTACATTTGCCAGGTTCGCATCAGGTTCATTTCTCTCCTGAGTGTATTGTATTTAAGTATGTAATAATATTGGTTTTGATGTTTCATGATTTTTGGTTCAGATATTTATCTCCCAAGATTCTTACAGTTCATTACCATAGATGGTTTTTTATTTTAGTCTCTCTCTCATCTGACAGGTGATCATCAGGAAAGGAAAAAGAAACTCGGAATATGCTTGACTGAGGCCTTGAAGTTTGTGATATTAATAGGTATATTCCTATCTATCGCAGAGTCTCCAAAACCGAAACTACAGATACAGAATTGTTTTTGTATCTCAGTGCAGATAAGACTTTTTGAATCTAATCTCTGGTCATTTTTCTGAATACGTGAACATTGTCTAGGTCTTATATTTATGGCATTTGGTCCGAGTTATTCGTACTCTCTCATCAGATTGCTGTATGGTGAAAAATGGAGCGATGGAGAAGCTTCCTTGGCCCTACAGTTTTATTGTCTCTACATCATCGTCCTGGCCATGAACGGTTAGTGATCATATCTAGATCAACTAGTGGATTTGTCAAGCTTCTTCTGTTGGCGGATACTAGTTGTATATATCAATGTATTACTTTGTAAATTATTTTTTCAGGAACCTCCGAAGCATTTTTACATGCAGTTGGATCAGAGAATGAACTTCAGCGCTCAAACGACATGTTGCTTGTATTTTCATTGGTTTACGTCACCTTAAATATTCTGCTGATAAGATCTGCCGGAGCAATAGGTTTAATCATGGCGAATTCTTTGAGTATCCTTCACCTATATAGATAGATACTTCAACTAGAATCAGATTACTATATCTCCTTTTGTCTTCTTGACTTCTTAAAATACAGATATGATTTTTAGGATAATCTATTCAGGGAAGTTCATCCAACGTTACTTCCAGGTATGCTTGATTAAACTATAAAATCATGTAATTGCCCCTTTCGTTAAAACAAAATCTGGATTTAACCTCCAAAGTCGTCTGCAGGGCACTTCTTCGTTCTCGTTCCGAAAATGCTTCCCTTTAGGTTGGCAAATTCTTATCCTTTCGAGCATAATTACTCTCATCTCAGAGAAAACTGTTCTCCACCGTATGAATTTCTGGGGAACATTTCCTCTCCATTTCGCCATCGGTTTCATCTGCTTCTGTGTTTCGGCCATTGTCATGTAAGTCCCCTCCTATGGCTACTACAGTATCCATTTCAGAAAAAAACGACATTTTACTGACTTATATCGGTTCTATATATAAAACTTACTTTCTGAAACCTTGTGTGTTTTCTCTGGTAGATACCGGCGTGAGAGGCTGTTCATCAAAAGAATCATACATTTCAGGGATTACAATCACGACGACTGAAGTAACCAAGAAATCGGTATAAGTCCTGCTTAGAGTACGGGTAACGATTAGGTTTATGCTTACAAACAGATTTTAACGCTGAGAAAGAAAAAGTGATTACTTCTGTATTACCGAATCCAGCTTTAATGGAAAAAAAAACTTCAATTCTTATACGAGTTATTTTACCAGGTAGTTCTTCATCGTTTTTGTTTTTGGTAATGGTAAAGTTATCTTTTTTTTTTCACTTCATTCACTAGTCAAAAATAAAACTCGAGGCGACAGACAAAAACCTATAAGAATATTAAAAATGTACAGCAAAATTGACCCCAAAAAAAATAAAAATGTTAGAAACTGCATATATCCAATTATCATGATGGAATATATCCAATTATCATGATGGAATATATCATCCAATTCCAGTAAGTTGGGGTCGGTTGATGATTCGGACCAAATCATAAAACAGAGTCCTACCTCTCTCAGATAAAAGATAAGGGTTAGAGATTGAAGTTAGGTTTCTCCCTTCTCTATACTTCAAAATCTGTTATATAGATACTTGCTATTTTTGACAAAAAGGCAAAACCATTGTTTTTCCTTTTTCTTCTTTAAGGGGTTTTACCTATAAAAGAGAATGCTAATTCCCCATTGAGGTAACCTCTTGTGCCCTCTCTTTCGTTTTTCTTCTTTTAACGCTGGCGTTTTGTTAAGTTCACAAAAGCAAGAAACAATCAAGAAGCCTTACACGATGTGCATGACTTATCGGTTATACTGCAAGGGTTTGGTGAGTGAAGAGGTGGTTAAGGATGAGACTAGGCAGATCGGTGGTTTTGGTGTGGCCATATGTCACGCCGAGGATAACCGACTATATGAGATGAAGAGTCCACAGACCAGGAAGTTGCGGAATTGGCGGCCTTAGTTCATGGGTTGACATGGGCCTTGGAGCTTGATTTGAATTTATGGAACCTGCGCAGTTTGATCGTTGGACCCGAGAGTGGGAGCAGAGCAGGATGAGGAGGATCAGAGAAATGTCTAATCCAAAGAGTTCAGTAAAGTGTCCGTAATTTGAATGTGGCGTTTTAATGGCGAAGAACAAGCTCATTGAATACTCAAAAACGTTCTTCGTTGATGCTGAGCGGTCAGGAGCCAGAAAGTGCATGGGGTGTGGGCATTGTTACTGCGACGACTGCGGAACAGAATGGCAATATAACATGACATGTGATGAATACCGTGAAACAGAGTCTTATCAGACATCTTACGAAGCCAGGGCTAAGAGTTTAGGAGGGAAGAGATGCAAGAATTGCAAGTTGATGATTGTACCTCATGGTGAAGGTTGCGGCCGTATCACCTGCAGGTACGCTCTCTATCTCTCTCAACTCATGTCTCTCTTGTTATTACAGTGATTGTGTGTTGGTTGGACATTTTGATTTATTAATAATATTGAGTTTTGTTCTTTTGTCTTGTTAAATCCTCACAGCAGATGCAACTACCGAGTCTGTTCTGTCTGTGAAGCTGGATGGAATGAGAAAACCGGATGTAACTGGCTAACTGCTCCCGGGGCTATGATGAATCCTAGTAGGGAACGGTTTTGGAGCCAGAGGGAGGACTACTAGATTTTTCTGCGAAAAAAAGAGAAAGCTGAACCTTTTTGTACCTCAAATTTCACATAGAGTTGTTTAACTTTGCACTCTTCTTTTTAACAAAAAAAAATGAAAAACTTTGCACTCTTCTTTATTCTTTTATTGTTCGTGAAATAATAACTGGTTCAACGTACGTCATTGGTCAACGAAGAATGACGCCATTCCGGGTAGAATCAAAAATCTTAAAAATTAAATTGCAAATAAAACTTAATAAAAGTAACTAGTAATTACTTCTTCTTATCTATAATAAAATTAATAACATCATTGTATCAATGGACAAAAGAATCTTAATGTAAACGAATTATGACTGTATATCGCATGTTTTATATAAATCCTAAAGTTGGTACATTTAAGTTATATCCTTTTTTTGCTTTCTCCCGCGCATTAGACACCTTAATGAACGACATCTCACTTCAGAGAGTTGGAAACCCTAGAAAGCTCTACAGACATGGATGAACATGGCGATTCTTTCGAAGATCAGCGACCTAGCTCCTGTACGATCGCTAGGATACGCCTTGAGAATTTTATGTGCCACAGTAATCTCGAGATTGAGTTTGGCGACTGGGTCAATTTCATCACTGGTCAAAACGGAAGTAAGTGTGTTTTTATACCAAATTTGGTTCCTTTATTGCTTTTAAATGAAGGAATTGGCTTGTGGTTTCGTTTTTCTCGAGCTGGGTTATTGTTATTTTCCGTAAAGGAGGGATTTTTAGCTTTATTTTTTTGGTTCGTGCTCAAACCTCGAGCTGGGTTTGCTTGCTGCTGTATGATTTATACCGTTGGTGTTTTCGTGATTTTCACAGGTGGTAAAAGTGCTATACTGACTGCGCTATGTGTTGCCTTTGGATGTCGAGCCAAGGGCACTCAGCGCGCCACTGCGCTGAAAGATTTCATAAAAATTGGATGCAGGTTCGTGTTTTCTTCATGATTTGGAAATTGCTGAGTTTTGCTTCCCCACGAGACTAATATCAGAGATGATATGAGTTTCTTCCAATTTTATTTGGTATCTTTTGCAGCTATGCCCTTGTTCATGTCGAACTGAAAAACCAAGGACCGGATGCTTTTAAGCCTGAGATATATGGTGATACTCTGATTATTGAACGCAGGATATCTGATTCTACTAGTTTTACTGTTCTCAAGGATCATCAAGGTTAATTATATTTTTTTATGCTAAAATTTTCCATCTTTTTTAGTCTGTGCTTCTGCTTGATCTGCCTTATCCATGTCTGTTCTCACTATGATTGTCATTGTATATCTTCTTACTTGTTATGTCAAGTCTTACTGAATGTCATTGCTTCTTAATTGTGGTATGCAGGAAGAAAAGTATCTATCCGAAGGGAGGAGCTACGGGAACTAGTTGAACATTATAATGTGAGGTTTTCTCTTTGATTCAAGTTTAAAGTATGATCATGTATTTTATATTAGTGGGTTTCATTGCTCGGATTTTCATTATGCTTTCTTTGCTAGATTGATGTTGAGAATCCCTGTGTGATCATGAGTCAAGAGAAGAGCAGGGAGTTTTTACATTCCGGAAATGACAAAGATAAATTCATGGTATATCCTTTAACTCCGCTTGTGCTAATCTTGTTGATAGTTTTGCTGAACAGCTTTTGTTCTGTAGTACTTTTATAAAGCAACCCTTCTTCAGCAAGTCGATGATCTTCTTCAAAGTATTGACACAAAGTTGAAATCTGCAAATGCTCTTCTGGATGAGATGGAGAAAACCATAAAACCAAAAGAAGAGGAGATCAGTGAGTTGCTTCGAAAGATCAAGAATATGGAACAAGTTGAAGAAATAACCCAACAGTTGCTGCATTTGAAAAAAAAACTAGCTTGGTCATGGGTGTATGATGTGGATAGGCAGCTCAATGACCAGACTGAGAAGATCGTGAAACTCAAAGAACGAGTGCCTACTTGTCAAAATAAAATTGATCGGAAACTGGTAAGTAATATGTTTCCATTACCTCAAATGTAAACTGCTATGACAATCAGGAATTTGCAGGGGTGGGTGACCTGTCTAAGCTTCTCTTGGATACTTTAACACCGAATTTTATTAGTTGTATTAAATAAAGATTGTTGAAGCTTGAGGTTAGCTCTACCCTAAAAGATTCTTATAGGGTCATACGGATTGTCCCTTGTGTTCTATTCATTTAGGTGAGGTTGAGTTTCTAAAATGTGTATTTGCTTACACACTTATAAATTCGATTGTAGCATCAATCATACCTAAGCATATCACTTGAATCCTTCATCTTGAAGTTGATTATAACTGACCTTTTTGTAGGGTGAGGTGGAATCTTTAAGGCTAAGCTTGACCGAGAAGAAATCTCATGTTGCCTGCCTAATGGATAAATCAACTGCGATGAAGAGAGAGATAGAGTGTTTGCGGCAATCAGTGAAGATGGTATGTTGAAACTTAGATTTAAAGAATTACGCTTTAAATATATAGTTTGATAAATTATCGTACATCTTATTTACAAACTATGTTTTCTTATTTAGCAGTTTGGAAAACAAAAGAAGCAAATGAATGGACTGGATTTATCAAATAAATTTATCTTATTGATATATAGAGATTGCAAATAGGCACTGCTCTTGACCTCGTTAATAGAATGTTTCAAAGTGTAGTTTTGAAATTGTGCTTGGTTTAGATACTTTTCGCATCTGTTGCTACTTGACATACAATTTAAAACAGGCTGCAAGAGAGAAGATCGCTTTAGAAGAAGATTACCATTATAAGTGCAATAACATTCAGAAGATTAAGGATCTTGTAAGGAGGCTTGAAAGACAGATTGGTGATATTAATGAAATGACTACAAGAAGCACACAGGTCCCCTCTTTTCGCGAACTAAGATCCTTTCAGTTTTATGCTCAGTGTTTGGTATGGTAATTGAGGAGTAGTTTAGTGTTAGTGTATAGACTTTTTACAGGCTGATAATGATGCAGGCTGAACAATCTGAAAACGAAGAAAAACTGAATCAATTGAAGCTAGAGGTTGAGAAGGCTGAATCATTGCTTTGCAGGTCATTATGCTTTTTCATTCTTCTCTTCAGCTAATCCGTTTTCGCTATTTTCTTCTTTTTTGTTAGCTAAACATGGATTGGATTTTACACTTTTAGTTTGAAAGAGGAAGAGAACAAGGTAATAGAAAAAGCATCAGCTGGAGGGAAAGAGAAGGAACACATAGAGGCTAAGGTGTGATGATGCTTGCAGTGTTTCTTATTAAAATCTTAGTCCTAGAGTTTACCCTCTTTCATATTTGTGCTGTTTTACATTCAACTATTTTGGGCCCTTTGGCTTCTAGATTAGAGCCCATGAAAAGAGGCAAAGTAGCATAAACACTCACATCAATGATCTGAAGAAACATGAAACAAATAAGGTACTTATCCAATTACACGGATATGCCAGCAAGCTTTTATATGTTATTTATTTTCTTTTGGAGGACGATAATTTCGAGGATTAGGTGGATAATTTCAAACTTGTCTTGCTAGGTTACCGCATTTGGAGGGGACAGAGTCATTAATCTCTTGCGGGCTATTGAGAGACATCACCACAGATTTATAAAGCCACCGATTGGTCCAATTGGTGCTCATGTGGTAAGTTTCTATTATTCCCTTCCACACATCTGTGCACAAAGCATGTTTTCTCACATGGAACATGCATGTCGTAAAGAAAATCTGACATATTCAAGTGTTATGATAACAATCTCTGCTGTTTAAGTTTGAATTCTTCTAATTGTGCGGTGTTCTACAGACATTGGTCAACGGTAATAGATGGGCATCTGCAGTTGAACTAGCTCTTGGCAACATCCTAAATGCCTTTATTGTGACCGATCATAAAGATTTAGTTACTTTGCGAGGCTGTGGAAAAGAAGCGAATTATAACAATCTGAAGATTATCATCTATGACTTTTCAAGACCAAGGTAATCTAAAAGACACTTTCCAATCATTTGGTTTATGCTCTGCTTTGTGAATGGATAAATTTAGCTATATTGCAAACTCCATGGTTATTGTTTATGCAGGTTAAGTATACCAAGCCACATGCTTCCTCAAACAGAACACCCAACTATTCTCTCTGTCTTGCACTCTGAGAATACTACTGTTCTTAATGTCTTGGTGGATATGGTAATCTTACTTACAGATTAAATATTAGTATATTACTAACTTCTCACCCTCCAAGCTCTGTATAGTAGTATTCATTAAACTTTGGTGTCTGGGTATTTCCAGAGTGCTGTGGAGAGGCATGTGCTTGCAGAGAATTATGAGGTTGGCAAGAGCATTGCCTTTGAGAGAAGGCTCTCGTATCTGAAGGATGTTTTCACCATGGATGGATACCGAATGTAAGTTGCCAACGGCGAGAACAAATTTTTAGAGAGCGAGAAACAAATATTTAGTTCAAATTATAAGTGGAGGGACACTGAAGAGGTGTCTACAAATTTGTAAAATGAGATAATGAAGAAGAGGTCTGAGTTACGATCATTAGAACCCGCTTCTTTTCTTAGGTTTTCCCGTGGGCCTGTTCAGACAACCCTTCCTCCCCGTCCTCGAAGACCTACTCGATTGTGTGCTTCTTTTGATGACCAAATCAAGGATCTTGAAATAGAGGCCTCAAAAGAACAAAGTGAGATACACAAATGCAGGGGAGAAAAGAGGGAGGCAGAAATGAATCTCGAGGGTCTTGAATCTAAATTGCGCGGACTGAAGGTAGTGTAACATTACTGATGTCTCTTTAGATGTATTCATTGTTTAATGCACTGGTCATATCGGATAGATGTGCCCAACTTTTAATTGTCTTAACTGATATATTTCACTTCTTTCAGCAAAGCCTAAGCTTTTTTGGATTATTAACCTTTTTTTTTTTTTTGGATCAATGTACAGAAGCAACGCACCCAACAAGAGAAATATTTGACTAGGAAGGAACTTGAAATGCAGGATTTGAAAAATTCAGTCGCTTCTGAAATCAAAGCATCACCTACATCAAGTGTTAATGAGCTTCATCTAGAAAGCATGGTTTGTTATATTGGTTGAAACTGTTTGATTATTAATATTCCCGTAGCATCATTCTTGATTGCGCTCTTTGTATTTCTCAGAGATTCAGAGAAGAGATGAAGGAGAAAGAATCCTTGCTGGAAAAAATTCAAGACTGTATGAATGAAGCTGAATTAAAGGCTAATGAAGTTAAAGCTGCATATGAAAACTTATATGGTATGTTGTCAATAAATTGATTTTTCTACTGCATATGAAAACTTATATGGTATGTTGTCAATAAATTGATTTTTCTAGGATTTGTATTAATTCATCAAATATTAATCATCTTGGATTTACAGCCCAATTTGCTTTAATATAGTTCAAGCTAAAATGTACATGCAGAGTCAGCCAGGGGTGAAATTGAATCTCTTGAGAAAGCAGAGAATGAGCTAAAGGAGATAGAAGAAAAACTCCAATACGCAGAAACGGTGCACCTTCTTTAAGAGTTTGGTTCTTACTTGTTTTGCACTTAAGACTGAATTGTGATTCTGTCTCAGGAGAAGAACCATTATGAGAATATTATGAAGGACAAGGTCTTACCCGAGATTAAACAGGCTGAGGTTTTATATGAGGATCTTGAAATGAAGCGGCAGGTAAGAATAAGCAATTATGAAATTCCTTTATAGTAATATATACGATAAAAGGACAAAAAATATCAAAAAATGAACAATGTAAGTTACTTATTGCTTCTTGGATTTTTTTTTTATAAAAATATTTCGTTCAACTGCTGAAATTTCAGGAAAGTAATGAGAAGGCCTCAATAATCTGTCCTGAGAGTGAGATAAGAGCTTTGGGTCCTTGGGATGGGGCCACTCCTTTTCAGCTTAGCGCTCAGATTAACAAAATAAATCATAGGCTGAACCGAGAGAATGCTAAGTGCGTAAATTTATGTGCCTTGTGATTGTTCGTACATACAGAATTCCCTGTTGAATGCCTGTTAAGGTTGCATGCTTTTATCTTTCATTGATACAGATATTCTGAATCAATCGATGACCTCAGGATTATGCACGACGAAAAAGAACAGAAGATTAGGAAGAAACGCAAAATTTACAAAAGCTTTCGAGAAAAGCTCAAGGTCAAACCTTGCAAGTGTTTATAGATATATCTTTCCTTATCCACAAACTTCAATATACATATGCTTATTCATTTAATGTGTGCATTGCTGATTAATTAGGTCTGCATAGATGTGGTGGGTTCACGGGGGAGGATGCTCCAAAGAAATAAATCACTTCTGAAGCGCGAATTAACTTGGCAGTACGAATTGTTTTTCCCATTATTACAACTGGATAATTTATAGTTCTCACCTCAGTTATGTGATTTTCATTGCTACTTTCCTTGACTGGTGATTATCAAAGCAGATTCAACTCTCACTTAGGGAAAAAAGCTATCAGTGGACAAATCACGGTCTCTTATGAAGACAAAAGTTTGTCCATAGAGGTAATTGGTGCCAAACTGCTACGTTTTGCTTATGTTGTGTCCATATTATTACATTAGTTATCTGGTTGGTTGCATTTTTTTCTTCAACAGGTGAAGATGCCTCAAGATGCAACAAACAGTGTTCGAGACACTAGAGGACTTTCAGGTGCTTCTCTACTCTAGATTTGAATATGAAATGGGACATAAAGTCCCACATTAGAACAAGCGTGGGTTGAAAAAGGTTAAATGGATGAGATTTAAGTATCTAATCCCTAGAAGATGAAACTTAAATGAACGAATCTAATTGTCTCGACTCTCGACCTTTGCTTGCTATTGCCTCAATGTTTTTTCCTATATTAACTTTCCTATTTTTAAATCTCTGGAAGCTAATTGTCCATTGAGAGTATAACTTTATTCATTCAAATAGACAGCTATTCCGTTAATAGCCAGCTCAAAGTTAATTGACCCTCTAGTCGTAAATTTCAGGTGGGGAACGGTCTTTCTCGACTTTATGCTTTGCATTAGCTCTTCACAATATGACTGAAGCCCCAATTCGAGCAATGGACGAATTTGATGTATTTATGGTAAGAATCATCACTTATTATTCCCTCTCAATTACATTTATTATCATAGCTGCTAAGAGAAATATAGTGTTAACGATTCGGTTTCTGCAATCTCAGGACGCAGTTAGCAGGAAAATCAGCTTAGACACATTGGTTGATTTTGCAATAGCACAGGGATCACAGTGGATGTTCATTACTCCTCATGATATCAGGTAACTTCCATTTACATAATTTTGCTGGATCAAAAACACAACAAGATGGAACCATTAAATTAATAATCCAACTTTGTAATGACAGCATGGTGAAGTCACACGATAAGATAAAGAAGCAACAAATGGCTGCTCCTCGTCCTTGAGCCAAAGAACCTCTCTTTTGTAAAACTCTCAGTAACTTAAAAAAAAAAAAAACAAAACATATTGTAATGGCAAATCTTCTTTAGGGATGGATTCTAAATCTATTTCTTGGAAGTGTCTCTTTTGTCAATATCTAAACAGATGGATATAATGATTATGATCTTAGTGGATGAAAAGATTGAGAGTGACGGGTATAAATTTTTCCTTCTTCACTGTTCATTTGAGACCGTTTGTGCATTATTTCCAAAAATCTAAACAGTTTCCGGAAAAACAAAAAGAGAGAGACCGAATCTTTCGTCTAAAGAGAGACAACAAAAAATAATAGTATTATTATTTTATATAAAAAACAAAATCTAAAATCCCTAAAACCAAATTTGTTTCCTCTGTGATTGTAAGTTCCCCGTTTCGCAAAGCTTCAAACTTTCCATTTTAATTGCACAAATCCGTTAAAGCTTTTTTCTCGGGAAAATCAAAACGAAACCTTTCGTCCGAGAGAAATCCCGAGAAAAACCCTTCAAGAACGTTGCTTTCAAGTTTCAAGGGAGGGGGAGGCGGAGGCGGAGGCGGAGAAGAATGTGAAGTATGTCTTATAGGGGGAAGAAGGAGAACAGTCCAGTTTCACCATTGAAGAAGCGACGAGCGAGCTGGTCGGAACTTTGGGTTAACCATCATCATCTATTGTCTTCTTCTCCGCTTGATTTAGCCGCAAAGTTTCAGTCTTTGACCCCTCCAGTCTCCAAATCCAAAACCCTACTACCCCCTGATTTCACGCTTCTCTTACCTGACCTCATCCTCATCAGAATCATTGAGAAAATCCCTAAATCTCACCGGAAAATTCTCTCTTTGGTCTGCAAGAGATGGTTCAAACTCCATGGCCGCCTTGTACGCTCTCTTAGGTTGTCGGATTGGGGATTTCTAGCGTCTGGTCGGCTGATTTCGAGGTTTCCTAATCTGGATACTGTTGATTTGGTCAGTGGGTGTTTAATTTCGCCGCCAAATTCGGGTATTTTAGTTAACCACAGGATAGTTTCGTTTACTGTTGGTGTAGGGTCTTATCAGAGTTGGAGTTTCTTTGAGGAGAATTTGTTGTCTGTTGAGATAGTTGATAGAGGGCTAAAATCCCTTGCTGGTGGCTGCTCTAATCTCAGGAAACTTGTAGTGACCAATGCTAGTGAACTAGGGTTGTTGAATGTAGCTGAGGAGTGCTCCAGGTTGCAAGAACTCGAACTGCACAAGTGTTCTGATAGTGTTTTACTTGGCATTGGTGCGTTTGAGAATCTGCAGATTTTGAGATTGGTTGTGAATGTTGATGGTTTGTATCACTCTTTGGTTTCGGATATCGGGCTGATGATTTTGGCTCAAGGTTGCAAGAGACTGGTGAAGCTTGAGCTCGTTGGATGCGAGGGAGGGTTTGACGGGATTAAAGAAATTGGCGAATGTTGTCAAATGCTCGAGGAACTCACTGTTTGTGATCACAAGATGGAGTCGGGTTGGCTTGGAGGGCTTCGATATTGTGAGAATCTCAAGACGCTGAAACTCGTGTCTTGTAAAAAGATCGATAAGGATCCAGATGATTGCTTAAGTTGTTGCTGTCCTGCTCTCGAGCGATTGCAGTTGGAGAAGTGTCAATTAAGAGATAAGAATACCGTAAAGGCTCTGTTTAAGATATGTGAAGCGGCAAGAGAGATTGTTTTCCAAGATTGTTGGGGATTGGATAATGATATCTTCAGCTTGGCCGCGGCTTTCGGGTACTAAAAAACTTTATATTCCCTTTATGTGCTTTTGATATCTGATAATGGTGAAGATATTAACTGGACCCTGTGAATCTCTAGGAACAATGTGATCTTTAAAGTTGCAGCCGTTAGCCAATTTCATTGCTGCTAGTAGTAATGAACCCATTAGATCTACTTGATATTAAAAGATAATATTTTTACCAATTTTGATTGTCTGTTGGGTTTGCAGGAGAGTGAAGCTTCTGTATCTGGAAGGATGCTCATTGCTAACAACTTCAAGTCTAGAATCAGTGATTCTACATTGGCACGAGCTAGAGCATCTGAAAGTAGTTTCGTGCAAGAACATAAAAGATTCGGAAGTCTCTCCGTCGCTGTCAGCCCTGTTCTCAGCTTTAGTAGAGTTGCAGTGGAGACCAGACACCAGATCCCATCTGTCTTCAAGCCTTACAGGGACAGGAATTGGGGAAAAAGGCGGAAAATTCTTCAAGAAGGCATGAAAATTTACAACCTAACTCTCTGCAACACTCTTAAATGTTTTTTGAAAGTTTCTTAGGTTCTCTTTCTTTGTTACTTCTCGTTGAACAATGTAGCCAATTACTGTAAATTTTACTTTTCTTTATCCATTTTCTGTTTGTAATCAATGTTTCATAGCTACGGGATCACAGTTTTTATCTTACTCCCTTTTGCAAAGAGAATAAGAACTATTGAGCCAGTAGATTGGTTGAGAGAGTAAAAACTATGAATTTTTTTTGAGAAAAAGCTCACACAATGACACAAAGATCGATCAATAGATTTATGGATACGTATATTTAAGAGTTCCTTTCGTGCTTAATGAAATCAACCATAATCTTTTTTTTTTTAATTAAAGAAAAAAATATGGAGATGCGGGGTATCGATCCCCGTACCTCTCGCATGCTAAGCGAGCGCTCTACCATCTGAGCTACATCCCCATTCGATACACTTATTAAGTTTACAAATTTAGTACTCCACAATAAATCTGGATTTCTCACCGGACTCAAGTGATCCTGAACCTGAACGATACAAACTAAAGTATATATAAGTAACTCCCTTAGATATGAACTCCCTCGATCATGCATTGCATATTAAGAAAATATCTTTAAATTGATTATTAGGAATACTAAAATAATAGTGATATATCTGGTCATGTAAAAATACATTTAATCTTTCCCCCCTAAAATCACTTAACTTCAAGATCATTACAGATTAAATTCGTGAATATCACCTCTTGCAGCACAAAATATAAAACATAATATATATGTTGATATGTGTGTGTGAGAGTCTGAGAGAGATCCCCAATTGAGAAAAGTGTACATGTGTCCAGTGACATACAATATTTGCCTAATTAGGCCAGTAAACAATATAAAAGTGATACAACTTGAATTAGGTTTTCTTAAGTGGTTTAGGTTCATCCATATGTACTTTCATATATATTTATCTCTTCTTTTTTCGTTTTAAACCAAAAATCTCACATGGGCCGGCTTTGTTCCACATTCTATGTGATTTTCGTTTTCGGCAGCAATGATGATTTACCGGGATCAGTTTTTTATGTTTTTCTTAATTATAACAAATATAACATGGGGTTTTCAAATGATTATTTTTGTTTGATCGATATATTGCAATGTGTGCGTAGTATACTACTGGCCAACAACATATTGTTCTCTTTTCTTTTGCCATGATCAGTATTTGATTAATCAAACATGTTGTAATAGAAGGTTACAATTCGTGTCTTCTTTAGTTGTTAGAGCATCTCCAAAGGGAGACTCATATTTAAGGGTTCTAGACATAATTTTTAAATTTTTTATGATTAAATTAGAATCCCTTTGGAGATGGTCATAATTCAAAGATCCATGACTCGGATATTTCCTCTAACATAAGTTAATTTATATTAATTAAATTTTAAAGGTCCACTACTGTTGTTTAAGAAAAGAATGATCACACAAATACATAGTGACAGTATTATTTTCTCTTTCTTAACCTGGACAATCAATCACAGACAAAACATTTTCCGGACTGGAGACATAACATATTTTAACACACACACACACATATATAGCACATTATTCAAATTCGATATTGTAAAATAAAACGTTTTCTTCCAACCAACATATATTTAATCTCGCTTGAGAAAGGAGAATATCTTATACAATCTACCATGAACAAAAATAACCTATATATATCTACGACTTTTTTCTTTCATTGAAACACATTAAAAAAAAAAAAAAAGACTTGCTTATTTATAACGAAACTAGTGAGTGGTCAAAACTTTAACGGTGAATTAGTGGTTTCTCTACAACATAAGTTTGATTCTAATGGCACATATATATACGACTTATCACAGATTTATCTTATAACTAACAAATTTAGATGAAATGGCTGCGCGCTAGCTCGAAGGTAAATGCGAGGCACTTTAATTATATACTTAATTTTCTTATATATATATATATACATATATACTTAATTTTCATTTCAATGATCAATTAAACTTGAGTTTAGGTTCATACAGAGATTACTATAGTTAGGGTTTTTTTCTATATAATGTACAGATGTATAGAGGATTTGTATAATCGTACTTTTTTTTATATACATTATTAAACTTTTTCGCCATTTTCCATTTCCTTCTTCACATCTCACGTATTGTATGGCCAATTTTATTTGTCGTCTTGTACGGCTACATTTATTTTATTTCCTGTGCGTTCAAATAAATAATGCACCTAAAAATAAAATAAAAAGATAACGCTCTTAATTGACTCTACTAGCCACTAAGGTACCGCCACGTAACTCGGAACCAGTACTTAGCCAGCAAGGTCAACTGTTGCTTCAGTTATAAAATACGTAGTTAGCTTTCAATCAAGACACGTGTTTACCTATAATTGGTTAATAGCTGGCACGGAACATTTTTTAATGTGTAATTAAAAACTCGGCATGACGTGGCAGATGTGGACAAGTTGACTATGCTAATGACCGGGGGAAGATTTGCTCGAGAAACAGCCAGACACGTGGTCTTGTCTTATTAGACCTATTTCCTTAAATAGAAATATTAGTCGTTTTCCTACTAACCTAATTTGCAACATTTTCTATAATTAGCATTTTAATTTATTAGACGACCAAATCTTATTGGATCAGTTCTATGCTCACCCTCCCCTAATATGTATTATTTTATTCATTTACAATGTTATCCTCCTCTGATCCTCTCTATCAATCTTCTTGACAAACAAAATTTGTCATTACTGCTTCGCTTTGGAAAATTTGGAAGAAGATTAACATAAGAGTTTTTCTTTAAGATCGTAGGGAATATCACTAATTTAGAAAGAAAGGATGTCTATTACGATAGGTACTTACCTTAACGGGGTAAATTATTTTATAGTAAAATAACTTTGATAGTTGATCCTAATCGTATATTTTTCCCTTTTTTACTACGTCTAGATAGATAAGTGGGATAATAAGTGTTTGTATTCTCCCCGAAACTGTATTCTCTCATTTGTCACCTAATATCTGGTTAATTATATATAAATTTAATTCTTTCATTTTCTTTGAGGGTATATACTAGGTCACTATTATACCTTTGGAATTTATATTTATTAAAAAACAAAAAAAAAATGGTGTTTAGTGGAAGCACTGCTTCACCTTGACACCTTATGCATCATGTCATTTGCTTGAATATGGAAACTATATATACATACCACCACTATGGCCGGCCGCTTTTTAGTGTAGCTATGGATCTATATGTATTGTAATTATACACAAGAAATATGTAAATTATAGATACCAATATGGCTTTAACGTAGCTATGTGTATATGTAATTAAAGTAATCTCGTAAACATGCAGATGGAGTTTAATCATTGATTAAAAAATCAAAGTTTGTAGATACCATTAATGGATGTAGATTATTTAAGAGTTCTTCCTTTAATTTCTTTCTTTTTTGTTACTTGGATGAGTAAGATTATTGGTATATAGTGTCTAGACTAATATTATATTTCTTTGGAGTATTTAAAATTTTGACTAAGAATAATTAATGATATCACCTAAAATGTTCCCTAACCAACGAAATACCTAAAGCATATTAGAATGTTAAACTAAATATTTAACCCAAAAAAAAAACTATAGTAGTCTTAGAATTTATAATGAAAATTTTATAAGATCTCACGGGGGTCGAGAATTCTTCTATTATATGATTGCACCCGATGCTAAAAAAAATGGTACACTTTTCTAATAGGAACGTAACACATTTGACTAATAAGGAAACAAAATCAAAGAACCAATAAGAGTAACGGCCGAAACACCATTTGTCAAACATATTCATGCCTTCCTGACACTACTTTTGAGAAGAAAGAGTTGTATTTTAAAAGTAATCAATAGTATTATAAGTTGACAAAATAAAACTAATTAATATTAAGGAGAACTTTAACATTTTGCCAATGACATTCACATATGTACCTCTTTATCAAAGTTTTGAAAGTACATGAATGAAATAATACCTAAAACGGTTACAATAATAACTCGCACATATCATATAAAAATATTTCTACACACAAATTAAATTTTACTTAGCCAACGATATATGTTTTAGGCAGTATTTTCATCATTACGTTATTTGGCAATAACTATTCACCGTGTTAAATTCAAAGAACCAAAATTAAGACTAATTATATTTCTAATTTTTTTCACGAATATATATTTTTTTGGTGAGTTTTTTTAATCACGATTGTTATACATATACTATTTTATTATATTTCTCTTTAAAAAAAAAAAAACAGAAAAAGGTTTCTTTCTTTTTTAAAAAGGTAAAGTGCAAAACAACCTAGCCAAGTTGCGTAACACACTACGTATCTTTTCTCCTCTCACAAAATATGATGGACAATATATATTTATATTTTTAATACATAAATAAATGAAAATTCGTATAATGTAAAAACGATCATTTTCGTCAAAAAATTCCACCTTTCTAGTTCCATTTGGGTTCCGTTCCTTTTTAGTTCCTCTGCGTCTTCTTAATCTCTCTCTCTCTCTCTCTCTCTCCCTAACTTCTCTTTCACCTTTACTTTCTTTCTCTATCTCTCTATATATATATTCTCTGAACCCATCTCTTGAAAACATTCAAGATCAAATCTTTCTCGTTCTGTTCAAAGAAAACCATTTGAGAAAACTTATGTTTTCGGTCATATAAAGGTTTGATTTTGTTCCGGATCAGTTTTTTTTTTTCCTTTTTGGCTTTTCTTTTATAGGGCTTAAGGTTTTAAAAGGATGGAAACGTTCGGTGGGTTTCATTACAAGGAAGATGATGAGCAGATGGATTTGCCTCCTGGTTTTAGGTTTCATCCAACAGACGAAGAACTCATATCCCACTATCTACACAAGAAGGTTCTTGACATCGCTTTCTCGGCTAAAGCTATTGGTGAGGTGGACTTAAACAAAGCTGAGCCATGGGAGTTGCCTTGTATGTTCTAACAAACCAAGTTTTCTAACATACAAAACATGTTTATATTATTCTTGTTCTTGAATTCTAATGAGTTTGGACTTGTTTTGGTGTATTCTTTTTTGTCAACAGATAAGGCAAAAATGGGTGAGAAAGAATGGTACTTTTTCTGTGTGAGGGATAGAAAGTATCCGACTGGTTTGAGAACTAACCGTGCAACTCAAGCCGGTTACTGGAAGGCGACAGGGAAGGACAAGGAGATCTACCGAGGCAAATCGCTTGTGGGTATGAAGAAAACACTTGTCTTCTACAGAGGCAGAGCTCCTAAAGGCCTCAAAACTAATTGGGTCATGCATGAGTATAGGCTAGATGGGAAACTCTCTGCTCACAACTTGCCTAAAACCGCTAAGGTAAAATATTAATTTAAAAAAAAAAAAAAATCAAAGCTTTGCTCTGTTCTACAACTCTGTTTTTGCTCTGTTTTTGTTTTCCATTTGGTTTGATAGTTTTTGGGGTTTGGTTCCATTTGTCAGAATGAATGGGTGATATGCAGGGTGTTTCATAAAACTGCCGGTGGCAAGAAGATCCCTATTTCGACTTTAATCCGAATCGGTTCTTACGGAACCGGGTCTAGTTTACCACCTTTGACCGACTCTTCAACATACAATGACAAAACCAAGACCGAGCTAGTTTACGTGCCCTGCTTCTCCAACCAAGCTGAAACCAGAGGAACAACAATACTCAATTGCTTCAACAACTCTTCCCTCAGCTCGATCCAACCAGACTTTCTACAGATGATTCCACTCTACCAGCCTCAGTACTCTCTCAACGTTTCGGATAACCTACAAGGTTCCAGTCCTGCTCTTACGCAAGATCAGTCAGCTTTACAAGCAATGATGGAAAACAACAAAAGGCAGAGCTTCAAAACGTTGAACATTTCGCAGGAAACGGGAGCAGCTTCTAATACCGATAACACTTCGTCGGTTTTTGAGTTTGGGAGGAAACGATTTGATCATCAAGAAGTTCCATCTTCCTCTGCCGGTCCGATTGATCTTGAACCTTTCTGGAATTACTGAAGATATAGAACCTGAAAACTCCATTAATTTAGGTCACAAGTACAAAAACCTTTGCAAAGTTTTATCCTTTTTAGCGTGGTGTGTGCTAAGTTTGTATAGATATTATTATATATCACTACTTCGACTACTATTCTTTTGGTTTGTTCAAGTTCAAGATTCAATACTTCCATTATACGTTCAAGGGGAAGTTACTATTAGAATTTGAAACAACTTATCAAATTCTTATTAGTCTTTCTTTCTTGAAACAATTTAGGTCTCATGCATTGTGTTGGATTATTATTTTTATTTATTAATCAAAACCATACTTGGGATCACGTTGAGGGTGTTTTGAATAGATACATGTCCTATCATTATTTTCTAACGATAAACAAAACGTCTACCAAAAGTACAGTGCCGTAAAATATAAATCATCGTTTCGATCATGAATATATGAAATAAATATAGCTGAAAATAAAACTTTTAGTAGGTTATAAATATATTTCAACTTTCTCGTTTAATATATATGAACGGGATCAAGTTTCTTATATCACTCTAACAATGTGCTCAATACTTTTTATTGCCCTAGCTTTTATAGTTAAAGGATATAAGTTTTTGGGTTCCTTTTCTATATATCCTCTTTCATTTTGTTTCATGAAAAATCTTATTCCGTCATAAAGTTGTTACGAATGATGTATGAAATATATATAAAGTTATATATGTGAAATAATACACTGTGCACCTTTTAACTGTTCTTTTGTTGATACACCTTTACTCATGGGGTCTATATATATTAATATATTATTGTATTGAAGTCTATATATATATATATACATATATATAGTTTGCAGTTTAATTTAATCAGTTATATAAATAAAAAATCGACATTATATTCTAAATTAGAGTATAGTAATTTAAGAATTACAATATAATTGAAAGCCTTCCACAATCTTTAACCCCAAATAAGAAAGACTTCTCGCAAACTTAATTTTCTTAGCCTAAAAACAATTACAAATATGAGTGAAAGACTTCCACAATCTTTAACCAAAGAAGAAGAAAAAAAGACTCCTACAAATTCAGTTTTTATCCTGAGTTTTGGATAATAACGAAAAAAAAAAGTTAATAACTTTAGTTACCTTTTACAGTTAGATACCTAAACCCAAAAAATACTCGAATTAAATTTTGTATGTTGCTAATTTCGGATTAGAATAAAATTCAGATGAATTAGAAATCTCACCTCAGTAATTACGGATTTCATATGGATACGTATTCCCACGTGTCGTATTCTGTATATTTGGTAAAGCTCACGTGTCGTATTTTTTGTAATTACTCGTCACTTCAGTTCAACTTTTCTCCTTTTTCTTACCGGTTTGTTTTAGTTTTTCCTTTTCCCACTTAAACAAAATATAATTACTAATTGCCCAAATTATTATTTTAATTTAATAAAGATGTTCATCAAATTATGGGATTTTTCATAACTAATAATTCTTTATGCTGTAAAATGTCATTAATTAATAAATTTTCAATAGTCTTTATTTCGTTGTACGTATGAGAAATTTCTGACTACAAAATACTATAAATGCATTGAAATAGAGTAACAAAATCTATTGCAGTTTTAAATGAAAAATATCAACAGATAATAAAAATTTAGTGTTGGTGTTGCATCTTTTAGTTCTAACTAGATGTTGACCCGCGATATACCGCGGGATAATTTTGTTTTTTTAAATTCATATTTTTAAAAATTTATAGATGTTAGAGTTTATTTAATAATTATTAAGATTGCATGATATCAATCTTTACTAAATTAGTTTAATTATATATGTTTTATATTAGTGTCGGTTAAAAAAGTAGTAAAATGACCCGTATTGAATTGTGAGATTAATAATATTCTTTTTTAGTCTGTAATATTAAGTCAAACCCGTTCCATCTTACAACCCGACCCGTCATATAACTTGTTGGAAGCATATTATAGTATTTCTCGTCTTATACCCCATCATGTCATATAATCGTCAAAAAAAAA